CAGTCATTGATCGATTCTCCCATTTCATCCCCAGGACACCCGTCTCATCATACGGGAATCTCTGAAATATTGAAGTCCGGAAAGCATGCTTCATTACCCACCAAGGTTGACTTAGTTCATGGACATCATCACTCTACTAGCGCACAGAGTTTGGAATCACAGGAGGCCAAGAGACGGCGTCGACGTGCGTCGCATAACATGGTGGAACGTCGGAGACGCGATAATATCAATGAACGAATTCAGGACCTTTCTCACCTCGTCCCCCACCATCGCCTGGAGGATGACAAGATTCGGAAACAGCTTGTCAATAACTCGGCACTCGCTAATTCTACCACTGGATCGGGTTTGAGCCCTACAAATGCTGCCACATCCCTGCTTGCTGGAGGAAGCGGACGTCGAGCCACGGCTGGAAACATCACCATGGGCTTGCCGATTGAAGAAAAGGAGAAAGGCCCCAACAAAGGCGATATTTTGAATGGTGCCGTTGGTTGGACGAGGGATCTAATGTGGGCTATGCATGTCAAGCTTCAACAGGAAGATGAGCTGGCGGAGTTGATTACCTCCCTTGGTGGAACTTGGCCATTCGAGCAAACCGAAGAGGAGAAGCGCATGCGCACTGAACTTATTGATGCCATGGAGAAGAATGACCCGAATACCTTCTCGTACAGTCGAGCACCCGGAAGTGGGCTCCGTGTTCCCAAACATACCAACATTGCTGGAGAGGCTTTACAGCCCGATATCTTGAGCCCACAGAGCCTTAGCCCGGCCTTTCACAGTGGCGGGAGCGGAACCAACAGTGGTGGAGCTCAGCCGCAATACTGGAATACATCTGGCCATGCTGGGATGAGCTTCAAAGAGGAAGACGAATATTCTATGGAGATGAATTAGGATCTAGTCATACAGCTTTAACATTTCCTCTTTGATTCGAATATTCACGGTCTCGATAGGTTGCATGGCTGGCGTTGGTCCATGAGGTGGCAGAGTCTGGTTTAGGGGGCGTTTTGTGTCCGACCGGACCTTTTTTAACAGCATTTGACCCGATTTCTTTCTCAACATCTGTTGCATTTCAATTTGACTGGTTTTGTGTTTGTCGTTGATATTTCTCATCTATTTACGTTTGATTTCTTGCATATTTACTCTTATTGCGTACATTTGTTTTGTTCATTTACTTGCTCCTCCGTGATTTATTTTTTACCCCCTATTCTTTCTTGTTGTATCTCTATTTAATACTGGAAGGAGACATCGTCGATTTCCTACTTATCCTATTCACCTAACTATGTTTCTCGCCCCTCCGCTCCGCTCTCGCAACGCATCCCTTTTGTTTATCTATTCCGCAATGCGAAGCCAGACAGTTCATATTCACTGTGATTTTTATCCTTGTTAGTTCCCCTCTGATTTCTTCCACCCCCTTTTTTGTTCGGCCCATGTGTTTAGCTTATGCGGTGGAATTTTATTCCAACATCGATACCCTCCCCCTTTTTTTTCTTTTTCCTTTTCGCCCTTTCCTTGTCGATGCCCTTGAAACGTCACGTTTATATAATCTATTTCCCCCTATTTTTATGTTTTAAATACATTGCTTTTTTAACCTTGCATATTTCTTTGATAATATATTATTCTGTTATATATCCTTCTGCGAATTCATTTCCCTTTTTCGCGTATTCTATTCTGGCGGAGAGGAATTTCCCAGAGAGCAGCGGGGCGCGGGTCGTTGTATTTCCATGGCCCGGTTGCATTTTTCCATAGTTTTCATATCTTTTCATTTTCATTTTCATTTTTTTTTTTCTTCCCTGGGGGGTTTGCGTGGTTCAACCGTTGTTCGCTATGGCGGTTTATTTTATTTGATATTTTATTCGATATTATAGCGTACAGTACATTTTACCATGCATTATTTTATTTTATTTTTTATAGTCCCGTTCTTTTTGACATCTTAACCTTGCCTATTTGACATAACATATTTATTTACATACATTATCAGAGTACTTAATATATATATTTTTAGCCTAACTTATTTATATCCGCTTCATAATCACAACAATCTCCACTTTCTATGAAACCGAACAGATACACTTGAGAAAATAAGTCACTCTCATCCGGCAACGGACAGGCACCCCTTAATAGCCAAAAGTAGCTGAAGATGATGGAGCTACGTCATAATATGTCAATATTTTTATTGCTGGCAATCCGTACTGCGTACCTACCGTACTCTTTAGCCTATGAATGCGCCCGCCCTACCATGTAAGAAGATCCCAGATCCCAGATCTCTGATCCCAGATCTCCTGATACCCGAGCCGAGATGGGCCACCACCCCTAATAAGGCCACTGGCGATTGTTTTTACGGCGGGTAGGTGTTTTGGTGCGTGTTGTTTACGCTATTTGTTTTTGTATATTTAGGGCCTGTTCGGTGACCCCGTCCAGGGCCGTATAAGGCCTTCTGTTCAGTAGATTCTGTGTATAACTCTGTACAACTCATCAAGCATGTCAAGCTGACAGTTAGATTCATATTATAGAGTTCAATGATGTATTTAGTTGAAAAAGTGATAGATCTAAATCTATTCAAGTTAAATCTGTACTGTATATACTGGAATGAGTCATGATATCTGCTGACACATTCCAGTATGACTGTACAGCATTCAGAGACCTGCAAATATTATAAGATGATCTCCCGCTCCAAGGAATTGATTTTTGTGGGATATGAGATTGGTTGACCCCTCCAATGGGTGTCTATACATATCAAAAGACGTCATCTTCCAGGAGGACCTCCATCTTGCCGATCCATCGATACCGACTACACACAACCTGAAGGTCCTACTCAATGTGGCCTGTAAAGCGGCTGCGGTGATTCCTTCGGCGACACCAGGCCTACCCGCTGCAGCAATTCCTGCAGTGATTCCTTCAGAGATTCCTTCAGCGACTCCCGACTCATCAACTGATGATCTGTTCATTGATGAGGAAATCCAACCTGAGTGTCCATTATTTCTCGTACCCACTAATAATTGGTGGATTGTGTGAGAGAGGTTGAACGTGGTTGGTTGTTATTGTTATCTAACTAGTAGCTAGTGAAAGCTAAATATATGTGTGTGGGTCACGTGGGTTAGGGCTTGTGTAGTAGCTCCAACAGATTGATTATGAAATTTCCGCGAGAATATCTACTTTTTTGGTGCAGAATACACTGAATTCCCCGGAACTCACAGTTGAATCTGATGACCCTCCGACATCTACAAGGGATATCACTATAGTGGGGGAATCTACAATGGGGGAATATACAGTGGGGGAATCTTCAGTGGGGGAATCTTCAGTGGGGGACAGTCATGAAGACCTATCTTCTGATCCCGAGATTGCTGCACTTCCGATCCCGAAGAACCTCACGCGCGCCAGAGCTTCCATGGAATGGAAATATTATTACAAGGCCTGCGTTAAAGAGGTCAACTGTTTGAAACAGAAGGGGGTCAATTACTCAAGGACCTTTGCACCTGTTGTCTCTGCATCCACCTCCCGAGCTCTCATGGCGATCTCGGCATCCCGGGGCTGGTACATCCTGCAGATTGATATGGTGACCGCATTCAAATGTACACTCCGATATCTACAGGGTTCAATCAATGAGGGTATAACCTATCACAGGGATGCCGATATTGAACCTGTGGCATACGCAGACGCCGATTGGGCCGGTAGGGATCCAGGATCCCGTTCAACCACCGGTTATATCATCTATATGGCAGGTGGCCCCGTTGCATGGCGGAGCTGCCGTCAAACTGGGGTCTCCAAATCATCAACAGAGGCCGAATATATTGCATCCTCCAAGGCCGCATATGAGCTTGTCTGTCTCCGCGAGCTTCTAGAAGACGCTGGATTCATTCCATCCCGTCTCAATAATCTGGATGCCGATGATCACCCCATCCCCACCACAGCCAATGGTCTCGCTTATACAATCCATGCCGATAATAAGTCCGCCATAGAGCTATCCTCTTCCGAAGCAATTCCGCGCCGCTCGAAGCATATAGAGGTCCGTTTCCACATCCTTCGGGATCTCGTCCGCAAGAACAAGATATCTATCCAATACATTCCATCTGCCGAGAACGCGGCGGATGGGCTTACTAAACCACTTGGAACGATGAAATATACGCGTTGGAAGGAGAATATTAAGATAAAAGAGATTGAAGGCGAATTTTGTATGTAGCATCGTGTATAGTTACTCTGGTGAGTGGGTGTGTCAGGTTACGTGATCTGGCTTACTAATCCTTCCACCATATAACTTCCCACAAGCTAGCAACCTTTCAATCAAGCAAGCTTTACAACCTTCCACAGTTATGTGTATGAGACTTGGCATTGATGTTTTGGAACATCAAAAATAGACAGGGTTTTCACAGAGATTATGCTTCAAATATCTCCACAATCAGTGGTTGGGAATCTTCCAAAATCAAGAGGATTGGTGCATAGAGCTAGGTCTCCTCACCTTACAATTTGTATGGCAATTTGACCCAGGGTTGTGGCGTGGTAGGGGTACACAGAGGCTTCCAACCACGTTTGGTTGCATAACTCCACCACCACACAGGGTATGAGGTTGGTATTGGGGTCAAAATGCTCGTAGGATCGAGGGCTATTCGGTGGATCTATCGCCGGTTTCTTATTCGAAGAATTGAGCGAGTTCGTGGTGGAGCGCTGTATGTTTTGTCACTGAAGCTCTATCCAGAGGTCTCTATACCTGAGGGGTCTCTATACTTGAGGGGACTCTATACTTGAGAGTACTCTATACCTGGTGAGACTCTATACCTGAAGAGGCTCTATACACCTGAGGAGATTCTACTCATTTATTACTATAGACTGTCATATCAACTGTAACTTTATTTTTCTCAATAGACTGTCATATCAACTCTATCTTCATTTTTCTCGCAATGCTCTCAAGAAAGTAGAAAAGAAAAAAGAAGAGAAACAAAAGAAAAACAAAGTAAGAGAAAAAATCTCACAACAATAGCAACAACTTGAATAATAGATCAACATCACTCTCAGATACAATAACCAAGACCTGAGTTAGAAGTGAAATGGCAAAATGTACATCCAAGGAACTTGCATTCATCATCTTTTTTGCAACTGTGCTTTTTGCATTCTGAGGGTGGGAGTTTTAATGGACCCCTGCGAATGAAGGACTTGCCCAGCGGGTCCCACCGCTTCTGCCCTGGGTTGTGCAGCTCATCATGATCAGGGTTGTTAGGATTACTGGGTTTACCCGCAGGATCCGAGAGACCCGGGGGTTGAGACTCAGAATCGGTATCGTTGCTGGCCTTCTTACTCTATTATATCAGATCATGGTTTTCGGAAGTTTTAAGACTTTCTAGATAGTAAAGAAGTGGTATCAACTCACCTTCACACTTCTATTCATCATCACTGCAGCACCGCTTGCAACAGCTGCAAGATGAAAGCTCAGCATCAAGTTAAACAAAAAGAATACGATTCTCATATTGAAGATCTTATTCTTAAATCTTTTTCAATTCTTAATTCTGATCTTGGTGCATTGCAGAAGTTAACAACTGTGTGATTAATGTGCTCATTTGACAGATGTAAAGAGAGATCTATCTAATGATATATATATGTATATGTATATAACTATAATGATTGGTGGTAGCTGATAGTTTATTTATAGTTTTTATTACTTACTTCAATCAAAGTTTTTGCTGTTATTTGCTTCTCTCATTCTTTTTCTAGTCATATGATTAAAGATTTTTATTAATATAATATTTGAATCTTTTTCTCTCTTTTATATTTTCAGTCTCTTATCTATGTTCTTATGTATACTGTTTATTTCATGATGTATTAATCTTCTTTTTTCTGTGATATTTTATTCTGCTTTGTCTAACTGTGATTCATGGCTCTTTGTAACAGTAGGCACTGGGATGTTTGTTAATTAGATGCGACTGTTTAGTCTCTCGCAAGTAATAAACTTAATCGGGTCGGGCCGCCGGAGCGGGTAAGGTACCACAATATAAGAATAGGAGCACGTGGCTAGCCTGCGGGCGTCTTATACTCTTTTTGATCTAACTAAGATCTTGAACCCGGCAGCTTCTATATACACAGTAACATCCTCTAATTGTTGTGCCCGTGCCTCACTCACTGCTTGTTTCTGACAGGCTGAGGAACAGCGACGGGTGAGACACTGACACAATTATTATCTTTGATATTTTGAGTCTCAATATTCTTTGAGGGCTTTCATTTTCAGAGATTAAATCTTCTGTTCTCTAATTTTAAGAAAATACTATCTTGTATTAATGAGATTTTAAAGGAAATTTCTATTTCTACTATGTAGTTAATAATATTCAATAATTATTTTTATACCCAGATGAGCAAAATAGTATAAAAATATTTAAATAAAAATTAAATAAAATAAAAATAGAAGGCTTAGAAGTGTTGCCACTAAAGTCGCTCCAATATCACGTGATTCACAATGCGATCGATCGGTCAGTCCATGAAGTAGCTTCTCCAAGATTAAATAAACTTAACCATCCGGTCCATTCCACATATGACCCGGCCGACGTGTTTTCGTATATTTTTAAAAGAACTGCACTGCCAACACGTTTGAATAGGCTCAATTATTATCTTTTTATTGTTAATAGCTGCTCTAAGAACACCTGTTGCTTCTATGAGATGTAGGTGGATCATGTGCGGGCGAGGTGAAAGCCCCGTGGCACAGGTCATCTGAGCCAGGGCTCTAAGTTAGTTAACTAACTCCACGCCGCTTATCTCAGCATGCTCAGCCTCTCCGCTGGATATTTTCAAATTAGCGCGACCAACTAAACTCCTTTAGAACTTTCGTCAAGTTCACGTGCTCGGGAAGAGTTTTCCCGGTGATGTCTCATTTAGGTTTAGTGTCTGCCCGGGGGATTCGGCTCAGATGTTTAGCAGGACTTGGCAGAAGGTGTCAATAATTCGGATCGGGTTAGCTCGGAGTGGAGTGGCTAAGTTTACCGAGATAAGGCTGAGCCACACTGGCGTGGATATTACATACAAAATTTGGATTTCATCACTCTCTATTCTACAATATTCTGCTATTATAGCCTAAAAACACAGAAATCTCATAAGTCCAGGCTCTGACACTAGCTCTGACTCTAGCTCCCAGTCTTAGTTGATTATCTTTCAAAGAATTGATTGAATTCTTATTTATATAGAGAATAGGTGTCGGGAAATAAGAGGTCATACACGTGTATACAGAAAACTTGACCTCGCTAAGTGCGCCACTTGACCTCGTTACATAATCATGACCCTGACCTCGCAACAATACAGTAATAATCAGTTGGTAATTGACTTTCAACCTTTCAATCCACTCAATCTTTTAATTCACTCAACCTTTCAATTCACTCATTCTCATTCACTCAGTTTGTCAACCAATCAAAGCATGTATAGCTGATTCATAATCAATTAAATGAACAGACAAATTCATATAGAATATAAAGAGATATTTTACAGAATTTTAAAATATATTAAGATAAAAATATTTAATAATTGATTTTAAATTGATTTTAAATTGATTCTGAATTAATTGTTAATTGATTATAGTAATAAAAATAAATTCAATTTATATATTTAAGTAATTAACAATTGATTGAAAATTAGTTAATAATCAATTCAGTGTAAATTATATAAATACTTACTTTATTATTAAATTCAAGAATAATTTCAGTATTAAATTGATTTTAAATTGATTTTGAATTGATTATAGAATTGATGATAAATAATTAAGTGGTTTCAAATTACAAGAAAAGATGTATTGAGTGAGGTCAGATAGTGGCACGGGCCACATTTGCGAGGTCAGCTTACATAACGAGGTCAAGTGGCGCACTTAGCGAGGTCAAGTTTTCTGCTTCCTGGTCAAGGGTCATACACTGATGAACGCCACCAACATCGTATTACTACTATTTTTCTGATCATCAGCTTACTACAAAACTCGTCTAATACTTGCTAATGCTAGCTCTCTTGGCTCGCACATTTGTTTCACTATAAATAGCTCTATCTTTTGTATGGAATTAGATATAATAATAATAGATAGTGTACGGATAATATAAGAAGCAGATCTTGATACACATAAGATTCATATGTTTCCGACATATTCATCCGAGATACCCATTCCGACAGTTATAATCCCGGAATCCCGACAATAGGCCTTAGGCATTTAGTAGAGTGAATTGCTCGACTGTGGTTGAAGGGTGAAGCTGATTTGATTGTGTATGAAAAAGATTGACTATATCATGCCTTAAACTTTTGTTGATCTTTAAATATGAATTCTAGTCATTTGCTAGTCATTCTGTCAAGTTCTTATCATTGTTCACTCTTGTAGAAGACTCATGAAACTAATCTCTAGGTTTTAATGAAAGCATGTAGTTGATGGCGCAGAACACAGTCAAGAGCTCATAATCTGATGAAGGTGGAAGGTTGATTGATTGTATAGCCACATTTCATGTTCTCGGAGTTAAATATGTACACTCAGTTAAGCATGTAGATAGAGATTGATCTATGTTATTGAATGAGATTGATCTATGTTATTGAATAAGAATTCATATAAAATCTATAAATCAGTAATACTGAAGAGTCTACAAATAATATCTCTGTAAAGTGAAGTAGAAGATGTTTTCCGGCATTTGAGCTTGTAGAAGAATCAACATTGTTACTATTAATAGTTAATTAACATAATCAATCACTCAACACTTATTTACAATGCCTGCTCAAATCTTCATTCTTCATTCATCTTTAAACACTCACAACATGTTTTCCCCTACTTTTGCAACAGGATTTGTATCGGTATCTCTCGGAGAAGTTGATGCACGCGCAGATAAATCAGAATGCCTCGAAGTAGAAGTAAGACGGCAAACGAAATAGCACTCTATATCTATGAAGGCAACAAGATGAAGGGATTTGGCTGAGAACGAATTTCTCGTATGTATGAAGAATCTGGTGCTGGTGACACGCCGTAGAACACTCCAAAACGACCGCACTGGGGTGTTTTTTCAAGCCCAAAAACAAAATTGAGGAATATAATGGTGATTGGGCCGTATGGGGATGAAAAGCTAACCCAGTTGACAAGATGACAACGTGCAAGAAGAGGAAGAGGAAGACGGGGAAGATGAGAAGGAGATATAGGAGAAATGAAAAGTCTATATGACGGATGATTGAAGCAGTACCAATATCACTATGTGGGAACTGAATGGTATATGGAAAGGTATCGGGGTGGTTGTTTGTTTGTTGTGGTCGTTTCTCGGGAAGTCGGGTCTGATTGAGGGTGGAGCCAAGGAGACAACTGGTAATGGAGGTGAAATCGACATGGAAGTCTAAACTGCATTCGTATGTCCCTCGTAGGTGACCTCGCTCCGCGCCTCCTGTTCTATATCTGTGGCAAAGAAAAGTATTCTTAAAACATGAACACGCTGGAACGGCTTCTATTACGGTAAAATTCCAAAAACGCCCGCGGAAATCGGTGGTCACAGTACAAGAGAAATGGGAAACTTTTGCGATATATTTTAATCCCCTCTAAGCTGCCGGAAGAAATCAGTGACAGTGGTGAATACCACCAGTAGAATTCCTCCGCCGGGACCCAGTCTGAGCACCTTGGGCGTGAATCCTTTATAAAGGGCGCCGAAGCCCTCTTCCTTCATAATGGTGCCTAGAGCTGGCCATGCCCAGTTGTACTTCGGAACAGATCCCGCGACCTTCGGGCTATTTTGGATGCGGGACTTGACAACATCCATGGGGGTATTCAAAAGAGTTCCAGCAGTTCCACCAATCGAACCTGCAATCAAGTCATTTCGCATCTGCTGAGTCTTGTTTCCTGGTTCTGGCTGTGGTAACTGGGCGCGGATCTGGAAAATACAACCAAAGTATCCAGCGTTCCAAAGAATATGGCGCCAAAGCGTGGATTCAAGGCCATTGTATAGCGCGAGAGGACCTTCATACTTCACAATCTTTCTCACTACGTCGAGCATTCCGCTGTATTTACCAGCGGAGGCTTTATCTTGCAGACGAATCTTGACAAGCTCGAAGGGAACGACGACGAAGGATTCCGTGGCACCAGCGGTGGCGCCAGTGAGGACTGCGAGAGGCTGGTTGGTCTTTTCCATGCCGAAAAGGTTTCGATAAAAGGAGCCCCAACTGTCGTTGGCGGCGAATTTGGTTGCTCGCTTAGGGGCTTCCATAAGAATAGGGGCCGTGATGCCGCGATATAGGCGGGAGAAACTGTATAGAGTCATAGTTTATCAGTTTGTGTAAAACATTTTACACAGGGTAGACAGAGATCAACCCTACCCTTCATTTTTAATAATTTTGCGGAAGCAGTCCACCATTCCCTTGTATGCTTCTTCGCCAGCGCCTGCGCCTTGTTGGAGTTGACTACAGAATTATTATTTCAACATCAGTTTTGAGAGAGCCACGAGCGAGAAGGTCTCAACAGGCCAATGCTTACACTCTTGTTTTCACAACATCCAAAGGATACCTAATGCGATTCTCTTGTTAGCATACGCTATTTTGTAGCTGGTGGTACCGTCATCCGACCAGGGACTACGCACATTACAAGAATCTAGAATGAGCAGTGTAGCCGTTAGTCAATTGGCCTTATAAATTTCAGGAATGGGGGAAACTGACTTCAGATATACCAGCCACTGCTCCCGCAGCGAACTGGTATACGAACGGCAGAGGCTGCTGCTCTTGTGACATTTTGACGTCGCGGTTTTAAACGGGAGCATATACTAGTGTGCGAAAAATTTTGCGCAACCAACCAAAACGGGGCTGGGCAAAATAAAACTTGAAAGCACAGCTGGCGAAGAGGAGAAGGGATAGATAGGGAACGCTGACGTCTGCGAGAGAAGGGAACAAAGGAGAATGGTGACTGTGGAGGAGGAGGGGAGCAAAAGGTTGCCAAAACGGCGCGTTCCAACGGGGTGGACTTTTGCCGAGATTTCGGTGAAGCGGGCAAAGAATCTCCACTCGGGTCCGCCTAAGCGCAGAGATTTTTCTGCGCGGCTATTTCTAGCGCGGATTGCGGCAGAGTGGCCCGAAATTCTAATTGGTCATTACATAATGCAGACGCGCCTGCACGCTCTTAACTATTTACGCGTCTGGTATACGACCGATCGTTTCTTAACAAATCAACAGCCTCACTGCCCCTCAGTTATACTGCGCAGCACCTTTTCAACTACTTGTTTATACAACGTTCCAACCGCGAGTAACTTTGAATGGCGTCTATCTCCCGTTAGATAGCCTGTCTTCCCTTCAAGGGAGACAACGCGCCCAACAAACCCCGTTTCGAGAACCGAGCAAATGCCTCTATAATGCCTAGCGATGCTTTCGTGATATCATCAAAATCAAGAATAAAGTTAAATACGTTTCGTTATGCCCCAGCTGTACCACAGTATTCTCACAACATGCCAACGGTCGACCAAAATTGCGACGATTCCGGTTCGATGGATAAGGAAAATGCGGAGATGAAAGCTCGTATGGGAGAAGGCGACATACCAGTGCCTACTCCACAGTCGAGTGGAACGAAATGCCGAGAGGTTCAGCCGGAGAAGAAATCGCCTCAAACACCGGCACATAGAATTCCCCTAGCTGATCTGATTAGCAATACAGAGGACGCTTTCAGCAGAGCCCCGGGAAGGGTTATCAGTCCCGAAGACCATGTGTTTTGGAAGCATGAGCCGTGCAACACAGATCCTAGAGACGCCTCAGGCTCACCCATTACAAGAGGCCAAAAGCGCTATCGAAGCGCATCACCGACCAGCTCCCCTCTAGGAGCAGATTCGAAACACATTATGTCGAGCCCCCAGCCCTTACCGAAGTTCGTGAGAACGCCCCAGCACGATATTGCCGCGGACCTCTGGAGTAAATACATCGGGAAAAGCACAGGAAACCCCGGTGGTGATGCTCCAAAACCTCAGTTCGCTCATCTCGTCTCATCCTCACCACGAACCCCCACGGCCGCTCGAGCGGGTAGAGATTTGTCGACGCTTCGCAGATCAAACAGTTGTAATGTCTACTGGCCGACATCTAATACTAAAAGAAGAAGAGTTGACAATGAACAGCAGGCTGTAAAGAGAGTTCGGGACATTTTTGCTGGATCGCGAAGCTCGCTTCTTGGTGATGGCACCTCAAAGTCCTCTAAAATCAGCCTCTTGGTGGGGAAAATACAAGAAACCCTCTTGAAATCGCCGAGGGGAGAAATATCAGGCCCGTCTAGCTCCACTCCTTTGCCGGAACGGCCTGATAATATAGCGGAATTCTCTGGCTCACCGCCAAAACCTAGGAACGAGAATGAAAACAATCCAATTGATACCCCTTCTAAGTGCTCAAGAAGAGTGATGGCCAATGATGCCGTTTACAATGACACTATGTACACCATACAAGACTTGAATGCAACGTTGTCCGAGTTTGACGATGATGGACTAGATGATGATTTCCTTGAATTTGCTGGAAAGGCTGACAATCAACATAAACCCATATATTCCGAAGTTGGTCCGCTTCCTGACGCTGTACAGGAGGAAAGGCTTACGGGAGTTTTATATACGGCGCACGCCAAACCTGATCGTCCTAGGACCGGTTCCATCAACAAGAACGATAAACAACCCACGCTGCCAACTTCACACGCCCATACAAATTCCGAAGAGGTTGATGAATTTAATGACAGCGATGACGAATTTCCTGAAGCAATGGAAGAAGTTCTAGCCCGTTATGACTTGAAAGAACAGACGAACGCAGGCAAAAAACCAAACGCTATTTTAGCAGAACCGCCCGCCCCTTCCTTCGGAATAGCAGCCGTAAGGAAGACTGAACCAAAGACCCCTTCTTTGGACGGAGCGATATCTTCCTCCGGTGATGAATTCGATGAGGACATCGATTTGGAGTCCATTGAAGCAGCAATGCAAAAGGTTGCTGGTATCAACGGTTCGAGTCATGTTGGTCATCCTGTGTTCTCGATTAGCACCTCTTAAATTCCTATACTAAGTGATTTAAAGAACCGTAAATCAAGACAGACTATTGAACGGCATCTTATTATAGACTCGGCAGAAAATACGTATCTAAATTCCAAAGGCCAATCAAAGCCTCAAAAAGTATGACTATGATGTCTCGTATATTACATTTGAGATGTGCTAACATCACTATAGGTACTATTTGTGCAAGAGGAGAAAACGAATAACAATCGAACTATCACTTTACGGGAGTCATGGTATGATACGCCATGCTCAAAGGGATCTTATATCCACCTCATCGGAAGCTTCGATCATATGGGACGATGCCTGGTGGACAATTCTGACAATATGATAATCCTTCACCCAGACCATCTAATCTCTGCAACGGTGGTGGCGGACTCGTTTACCTGCCCCCGCCGTGCTGTTCTCCAAGACCGCGTTAAGGCTACTAGCGAAGCCAACAAACCTCAAGTGTATGGTCATATCCTTCACGAAATATTCCAAGCAGCCGCGAGCGCAAATCGCTGGGATCAAAGCTGGCTGCGTGAAATTATTTCGCGCACATTAGAGCACTATGTGGAGAGTTTGTATGAGATCCAAGTCGAAGTTTCTGAAGCTACTGAGTATTTAATGAGCAAAATACCTGCTCTAAGCTCGTGGGCGGACATCTTCATGCGATCACGCCCTACGGTATGAATGAGGCCCTTTACTTCTAGCTTTGACATTTATATATATGCTGATAAGCATGCAGATCGAGTCAATTACGGAAGACAGGAGTGGCACTACTTCGTGTCTAAGCATCAACAAGCTTCTTGAAGTTGAGGAGCATATCTGGTCTCCTATGTACGGATTGAAAGGCAATGTCGATGCGACTGTGCAAGTGGCCGTCCAGGAAGGGACAGAGAAAAAGACGCTAACTGTCCCATTCGAGTTGAAAACGGGACGGAACAATTCCAATGAGGCTCACAGGGCGCAAACGGCATTGTACACCTTGCTTGTTTCCGATCGATATGGTATGTTCTTTCCACGCAAGTGGGGATACTCATTCGCTAACTAGTCGTATTCAGATATCGATGTGACCTTTGGAATACTCTTCTATCTCGAAGCAACCAAAACTTTCCGAGTTCGAGCTATCCGAAGCGAAATCCGCCAAATGATACAGCAGCGTAACCGTCTCGCTGAGTTCATATGTAAAAAATCAGACTTACCTCCAATGCTTAAAAAGGCACGGATATGCAACCAGTGCTACGCCAAAGATGCATGTTTCATCTACCACAAAGTCATGGATGACGGAGATGATGAGAGCAGCGGAATGGGAACTAGTTTCATTGAGATTGTCGGACATCTTACACCCTCCCACCAAAACTTCTTCAAGAAATGGGACGCTCTTTTGACTATGGAAGAGCGAGATATCCTTAAATTCCGACGGGAATTGTGGACCATGTTGAGTAACGAACGCGAGGGTGTTGGCCGCTGCTTCGGTAACGTTATGGTCGAACCGGGGTCCGCTTATGAAGAGACCGGTGTACCGAAAATTAATCGATTTAGGTATACATTTTTCAAACACCAACCACCTTCAAACTTCTCCTTTGGGGACTCACAGCTTAGTGTTGGAGAACCCATCGTTGTCTCTGACGAAAAGGGTCATTTCGCACTCGCCAACGGCTATGTCACCCATATTAGTCGTACGCGAATCTCGGTCGCAGTTGACCGGCGGCTCCATAATGCCCGAACGAGATGTTCGAACTTTGATGCAGATCGACATCAATCCTTTACAGGTGTTATGGAAATTGTTGAAACTGGCGGATCTGAATCTACCGTTTTTCCTGAAAAGGCCGAAGACACGACTCTTTACCGCCTAGACAAGGACGAATTCAGCAATGGCATGGCGACTGTCCGAAACAATCTTGTTTGTATGATGGATAGAAACACCTTCCAAGCTAGGCGGCTCAGGGATTTGATTATTGATGGCCACATTCCTTTATTCAAGCCGACCTCTTCATCAGCCATACCATGCCTCCCTGAGACAGAGCTAAATATCGACCAAGAGCAAGCTATCAAGAAAGTGATGAGTGCAAATGATTACGCTCTGATCTTGGGGATGCCAGGAACTGGAAAAACAACCACCATAGCCCATATTATACGGGCTCTTATCTCTCAAGGGAAAAGCGTCCTTCTAACATCTTACACTCATACCGCTGTCGACAATATTTTGCTCAAAGTGAAGGACGACAATATTCGAACGCTAAGGCTGGGTGCCACAACCAAAATCCATCCAGATGTCCAAAAGTTTGCTGATTTGGCAGCAACTCCCAAAAAGACCATAGAGGAGTTACGGGATATTTATGAAAATTCACGGATCGTGGCAACCACATGCTTGGGCATTAACCACCCTATTTTTAATAGCCGCACCTTCGACTACTGTATTGTTGATGAGGCGTCCCAAATAACTCTCCCGGTCTGTCTAGGTCCCATTCGTATGGCGAAAACGTTCATCCTCGTTGGAGACCACTATCAGCTACCTCCACTCGTTCAAGATAAGGAAGCCCGGGAAAGTGGATTGGATGTAAGCTTATTTAAGCTTCTCTGCGATTTGCAACCGGCCTCAGTTGTCAACTTAGAGCACCAATATCGAATGTGTGAAGATATAATGCTCCTTTCAAACACCCTCATCTACTCGGGACATCTCAAGTGCGGAACCCCAGAAGTTGCTCAAAGTTACCTCAAAATCCCGAATCTCGGTAGGCTGAAACAACACCATGTCGACTCATTATCGTTACCCCCCAACGTCAGAAATTCCTGCCTGGGCTCCCGATATGGCCGCTGCTGGATCCGCGATCTGCTCGACCCTGTCGCTAGGACCCGACTTGTCAACACTGACCCCTTAGAGCCACAGGCGACTGAGTCATCCAAGGGTTCCCGAATCATAAATCCCATCGAAGCTACGATTTGCGCGCAACTCGTTGAATCGTTCATTTCTGTAGGTATCCCAGCCGGGGATATCGGCGTCGTAACCCTCTACCGAAGCCAGTTATCCCTCCTAAAACAAAACCTCCGCCACCACCCGGACCTAGAGATGCACACAGCAGACCGCTTCCAGGGCCGTGATAAAGAAATCATCATCATGAGTTGCGTCCGCAGCAACTCAGAGCGGAATGTTGGTGAACTACTCCGGGATTGGAGACGCGTGAACGTCGCGTTTACTCGGGCGAGAACCAAACTGCTTATAGTTGGGAGCAAGAATACGCTTCGTGATGGCAATGAACTACTAGGAAATTTTGTCCAGCTTATGGATGCGAAAGCATGGACATATGATTTGCCGCGTACCGCTGTTGAGCAACATGTTTTTGAAAATGCGGAGAATGGGCTAACACAGTTGAGCCCGCGGAAGGGCATGGAAGTGATGCGATCGAATTCACTGAGTCCTAAGAAGAGGAGCCCGACAAAGAAGATCCCAAAAAAGAGAGTCACATTTCATGATCAGAGTCCTTTGAAGGATAAACAACGGATCGCTTTGAGCCCAGTCAAGAATAGACAGCCATCCGCTGGCCAGAGGAGGCCGGAGAAAATAGGAGGGAAACTCCTAGACGGTGCAAGGATTGTAGCTACGAGACCGGTATTGATGGATGTGCTGAATGATTTGATGTAGTGTTTGCTTCCGGTTTATTTACATTTTTGGGTTGTGATCAGTTTCTTTTTTGGTATTATCACCCTAAATTTTGGGATAAGTATTATCGGTACTTTGGATGATGAGTTCAGCTCGGAGTTAATTCTTCGCTGTTATTGCTTTCCATGCCACTCTACCAAGGCACTTTTACATAGAGGAACTTCCATTTCCACTCTATAAATCATTACAATGTATCATTCATGCCAATCAATTTTGACGGATGTCTTTTTCTTCACCATTTTGACTATCAAGTCTGATCTCAACTTTAGCTCAATCAGCTATGCGACGAGCCTCCCGCATATTCCCAGCAAATAAACTGGTGCTGGGGCCGCTCTCTGGCCGTGGAATTCTCTGATGGTTGGTTTTTAGTAGGCACTTTGTTCAACGGCTGGAACAATATCGTGTATCCGTCTTTGCTTTCGACCGCTTCCCTGCCTAGTGCGAAAGATGTAAGAGCAAACCAGCCATCAGGTTTCGAAGGACCAGGCGCGAATTGCCGCCTATTGATCGCCATTGATTGTTAGTAAGTTTCTTAAGAAAGATGTTTTCGTGATAAAATGAAAATGTTCAGTAACCCGTTTCGGAGGCGAAGGCGGTCTGCCAGGACTTCAGACCTGCAACGTGATCGACTACCAAATGAACAGGTGGCAGAATGATGAAATAAACCCACAAAGTGACTGCAAATAGCTGCGTTATCCACGCAGAAGGAAGCAATCCTTTCCAGAAGATCTTAACCAGCTCGACAGGCTGGCACTCATCTTGGTTAGGAGGTGCGTAGCGGCTCAAATATGGGTCAATGGTATCGTTGACATGCACGCGTGGAGAATCGAGGACAACCAGGCCGAGCCATTCCTGAACCTCGTCGCAAGTCTCGTGAAGGAATTCCTTTCCAGTGTCTGTTTCGAGACCTGGTAAATGTAGCGGTGGAACCATGATTGTCCCAAGAACATTCACGTCCGGTGCACATTGTATAATCTGGGGATAGTGCTTTTTAATCGGAGCGTCTGCAAGAGGATTGTCAGGATAAAGTTAACAAGGTAAAAAGGTAAAAAGTAAGGAAGGGGAGGGAATATTTTACCTTCTTCTGAGTAAGTTGGAGATGGGGTTAAGTCGCAGAACAACCAAGTTACAGATGTCGTTAATACGTTCTTGAAAGCCCATACGATCCGCTCGAAGCCCTTTTTCCCGTGGAGCATTGATGGGAGTCGAAGATTGATTGCCACGGCTAGATGTGTAAAAGCATTAGCCGATAGTTTCCGGTTGAATAAAAGAAATAAATAAATTACCGTATCTTTCCTTTACGTGTTTTCTCCCACCACTCCGGATTGGTTTTCCATCAAGTCCGGCTCGCTCAAATGAGTTCTTATCCAACTCTAATCGAAGAACTCCTGGAGAAATATGTTAGTATGGCTAGTGCATTGTGACTACATAGCTATAAGAGAGGGACAATGACGTACCATCTTTGAGGGTATAAACATTATCCACGCCGCTCCTACCTTCTGAAATCAAGAGGATATCACCTATACACTGGCATTAGATAACAAAGCACTGGTCTGCAGGTTGATATTAAATTCAAATAAAGTCTACATGATGAAAAGGACGTGAATTATCGAATACCAATTTTAATATAAGCGTTGAAAAAGTCATGCTCCAACAAAGCCGACAATGGCATAATCACTTTGGCATATTGACGGGTTTGTATTCGGTTAGATATGGAATCCCAAACCGAGTCGTAAATTTCTTTTGGTAAGATGAGCGCTGTCTTTAACGTTATTTTAGAATTAGCATCCCCATAAATTCTTTCCTGCACGTATTGAGAGACAAGTCAATGAACGAGTTAAGCAAGCCTACTTACAGAATGCACAAACGAGTGCTTCGAGATGGTGGAGAAAGGTGATTTTTTAATTGGCGGTTGCTGGGGATCGACGAAGGGAGGTAGCTTCCCAATTGTAGTGTAACATTTCTCCTTTTGTAAATCAGGGTCGTCTATTTCATACATCCTGTTGCCTTTGTATTTTCGTCAACTGTCAGGGCTTTGAAATGTGTTATTGCGAGCTTAGGATTGGTTTCAGAAGATGAGGTCAAAATTAGCTTGGCGAAGAATAAGCTTAAATTTAAAACTCCACAATGCCGCTCGCTCTCATTCCATAGTTACACCAGCACCTCCACTTCTTAATTTTCATTTTCTTCTTCCATACGGAGTACTCCGTACACATAAATCGAAGATATAGTATAATCCTTTCCAATACAAATCCGGGCCAGTTTTACATATTCAGCTTAAGTTGTTTCAAGCGTACTCTCCACCATTCGGCTGGTTTCAAAGCTGACCCCCGATTTCAAAACCTTTCTACTTCATTCTTTGATATGCATTATGCATTCAGTCTTTACCAGGTCTAGATAAATTAAAATGGTGCCTGCTTTGCAAACCGCTATTGGTCAAACATCAAGGCATCAATTGTGCATATGATGCAATAGGTTCTACCAGAGGAATGTGAGTCGCTCTGCTTCGCTAAAAAGACTCCAAAGAACGATGAAGCATTAAACGTGTCACCTACCAGGGTACGGACATATCTGACCAGCTGATGGAGTTGGATCATACTTCATCATTTCCTTCGTTTGTGCTCGTTAACTCCATCCCGAATTTGGACCAGCCCAACAAGCGATAAGCGCAAGCGCCAGGGCCAAGCCAGCCGGATTCGGGCAGACTCTAGCGACAATACCCGCAGAAACTCGCAACTACTTCGCGACCTTGAACGATGCAGAATCACTAAACCCTGATGCCAAACGAGATAACGCCCTGCGGCATTTTTTGTAACCATGAGCATTTCATAAGGAAACTTGCGAAACTAACGCAATTTTTGTCCACTTTATTGTCTCAAAGGGCATGGGCTTCGGCCACCTACCATCATGCCTCCAGCGCCATCTCGACGGATGGTCCCAAAGGACCGCTTTGGCCAATGGTTTGGCAGTTTGAAAGTTCAGAGCTATTATGATCCCGCGGCACGGGGTCCAGGCTCTCATACGTATGGATCATTAATACTTCCCTTTCTTTTGGTGTCTGCTCTTTACAATTGATAAGCTGACTTTACGCCTGCATTTAGCATTCGCACCCTTGCATGGAATCCGACAGGCAGCTTGATCGCAACCGGCTCCGTGGATCGCACCCTCCGCATCTGGAACCCCGAGCGCACACATGTAAAATACTCGACGGAATTACGTGGACATTCCTCTGGTATAGAAAAAGTTGCCTTTAACCCCGTCAAAGAATCGGAATTGGCAAGCTGCTCGAGTGATGGGACGGTCCGATTCTGGGATGTGCGGTCCAAAACGTGTATCAGCCGCGTTGATGTAGGAGGCGAGGCATTTACGATGACATGGGCTGCTGATGGGAGCGTAATACTCGTCGGTAGGAAGGTTCGTTCCGAAGGTCACCATCTTGACGTCCTTCCCTCACTTACTCAGCATCAATGGGGACGTAAAGGGAGCGGTTGATCACGTCCAATTAGCTTATATGTCTTTATTTTACTTGCAGGATGACACCCTAATACCCATTTCAGTCGAATCTCCATCTACTCCCACCCTCCAAATACCTGCTGGAACCACCGCCCCGGCGAACACCTTCAAAGCCCTCGGCCCACACCCACAAGCTATCCAAACCAACGCCACCACATTTTCACACTCTTTTAATACTTCCGATCTAGACCTCTTTCTCACAACTGGCGACGGCACCGTAAAAGTCGTCTCATATCCGTCGTTCAACCCACTCCACACAATCCATGCCCACACCTCGGCATGCCTTTCAATTGCGCTCAGTCCGACGTCCCGCTACCTAGCCGTTGGCGGAAGCGATGCTCTAATATCCCTCTGGGACACTACAGATTGGATCTGCAAACGCACCGTATCAAGTGCCAACGGCGGCGCCGTGCGGGGCGTCAGCTGGAGTTGGGACGGTCGGTTTATCGTGGGGGCTTGCGACGAACCCGGTTGTGGCGGTTCCGGGCTTGAGATTTTCCACGCTGAAACAGGAGAAAGCGTATGTACCATTCCTACAGGAGGAATGAGCTCCGCAGCCAACGGGATGGCTGGAATCGGAAGCGGCCCTGGAACTTCTGTGGGCGTGCCGGCTGTCGCTTGGCACCCATCTCGATACTGGCTTGCTTATTCTGTCACTGCTGATGGGATGGGGAGCAGTAGTGGTGGTGGACTAAGGATTGTTGGGGCTGGGAGTAGCGGACCCTTTTGACGTTCCTGGTGTCGACAGATAGGAGACTTAGAGCAGCATGTTAGTGGGGCGGTCAGTCCCTCAACATGTACTCTAGTAGAACAGGAAGGAAAGAAACAGTAAAGGCATCGGACCAGATAAGTTGCAACTTGCGTTTGAAACGTCCTCCCCAATCCAAATGGACGAATCTAAATAGATTTCAGTTGAAAGACCTTGTGGCCTTTGCATCTTTGCATGGCATTGGAGAGAATTTACATTTGAAACTTCCTGTTCTGAATTCTGAGCGTTAAAAGGTTATTATGACTTCACATCGTAAAGTAATGCCTGAGTAGACAAGCCATCCCCCCCGAAAAATATCAAAGAGTCATAGCTGAATAAAATTATGAGAAAACAATAGTCACGGAATGCGTTTTACGATCCTACTTTCCCATATGAACAATTGGAGGATCCAACCTGCCGTCAGTTTACAAAACCAGCAAACACGGGAACAGACGAGCTTAGGAGTTGATAGAGATGACCAATTTCTCCGGAACCGACATCGTAATTCGTCACTTATTTCATTAAGGCCACTATAGAAGTAATAAACAAAGCCCAGCCAAAGAGAAGGCAAAAAAAAAAAAAAAAAAAAAGGAAAAAAGGGAAAAAAAAACGAGAATGCCGTAAATTCCTACACCTTTCCGTCTCAAAGAGTCCTCCCAAATCTCCAAGATGAAAATATGATTCCAAGCTCATACTTCTTTTCCAATTCTTGTCCTGGCATCCATATAAATTGATATAACAAGTGAAAGTTTGGTGTGATAAAAAGCGAGTAGACCATTGAAAGTCAAATGGGTCGAAATTATAGGGTTAGTATTATACAACAGTTGTCAGCAGAAAGGGGCAGTGTCTGTTCTTCTTTCAAAAATAAAAAAAATAAAGAAGAGGATTTGGAAGTAAATGGAAGCGAAAAAAACACAAAATGGTCAAGATGCTCCAGTGAATTGGCTACTGAAAATTCTCCCATGCGAGTGTATCTACGCCGCCTGGCCAGGTGATATTGTCGAGGTTTGGTATTTGGTCAACGAGCCCTGCTGAAGTAGTTGTTGAGGATGGTTCCCTTGGTTGGGTACGAGGAGGGTTCCACCCAACGGGAAATGCGAATAGGTTTCCAAATCCAGGGGTGGTTTGTGGTGGATTACCAGGCGTAAAGTAGTTTGCGTAAGTAGTTTGAGTGTTGTTGTCAAGGTTGGGTTCAAATTGGGAAGTAGGGAGGTCGGTGACATATATATTGGGATTTGATCCCTGGGCTTGTTGACGGTGGTGTTGTTGAACGGGGGGGGATGGTTGATCTATTGTACGGGGTGAAATTGAACTGCTCGATGATGGATTTGTGCCTGGGGTCGGATGATCAGAGGACAGGTACTGGCGATCACTTGTGGTGCTTGCCTCCGACAAGTCCATTTCCATAACCATCGATTTTATGAAGTTTGTATCCGTGGGAAGCGTAAACTGTCCGATGTCCGCTACGTGGGCGTGGTTATCATTCCCGCCAGTTGACGCCGATCCAACTGAGGGTTTGGACCGATTCGGCAGTGAGGACAAAGCTGGAGGGATCGTAGTCTGTTCATATGACGACGACCCAGGAATGCTGTCCGGCGGCTGGTGGGTATTGTCCTGAAAGAATGATTTCAAGGACGGGCAATAGTCGTTCGTCTGTGAAGAGTTCTGAAGTGGTGAATGGTTAGGTACTAAGTGCGCAATTACATCTTTTGCCGGGCGGATGAAGGGGGGGATTTCGGATCGCCAGAATAGTTCGCTAGCACAGACCGGACTTACCTCGCCATACCGTGTACCGAAAGAAAACTTTGATGTGTCAACTTTACTGCCAAGACCGGTCCCTTCAAGGTCTGCATCGAGCTGCATAAGAAATGATTCTGTGAGAGGGTTTTTATGCTTGAGGACATTCATAGCAGCCAGTAAGAATTGAAGAGATGAATGAACTGATCCATCGTCTGGTCGACACTTCAGATACTGCAAGAATACTCGGCACGAGACATATACACAGAACGCAACGAAAGGATTCATCTAAAACGGGTTAACACAGACATGTGAAAAAAAATGCCAGCCGAGGAACTCACTAGGGTCAAATCAGTATGGCTGGCCATTTTCATGATACTTGTTATCTGATCCGCAGCAACTATGCTTCGCCGCTTACCCTCTGCTGCGATTTGGCTAGGCATGTCATTTTTCTCCGCTTTGAATATAGCCGCTTGATGCAGACAGATGGTTGAAGAATGGATGCAAAGATTGAGGAAAAGGACGCTCGAATCATTGATACCTTCTGGTAATCGTAGATGGCTAGGTAACGCAAGAGATGTGTTGAGGATGATGTTATCCAAGGCGCGATGCCTTTTCCAAAATCCGCCATTCAAATCGCGAGCATTATCATCTAGTGCTACCCGGTGTAGATGATGGAGATTGCGGCCAAAAATGCAAGCGATTAATACGAGACCCGCAAGAGCTGACAGCGTTGAAATATTTTCGCCAGCCATAACACTCGACAAGGTGTAAGTTCGTTGCATTGTAGAGTTGACAAATGCTTCATCAGACGCAGGAAGATTGGTTAAAATCTAGCGTGCTCACTGGTTAGAAAGGCGTTTCTTTCGCAGAGGCCAAGACGGGGCAGGTAGGTATCCCTTACATCTCGCTCGTCCACCATCATGGGCCATCCCGTGCCCACGCTGGCATACCTGTCTTGGCAAAAGGCTACCCAAAAGGTCCTTCTCCGTTCTTCCTGCTCAGTCCAGTCTCGAGAAGGCGCAATGCACATCTTTACCGCAGGACCACTACCATCTAGACGATGTAATCCTAGCATCAGAGCCAATCTCATCGCAAGGCCTGTGCTCATCCATGCGCGAGGAAAGAACATCATCCTGAACTCATAAGAAGACATTAAAATCCAAGTTTGGGCGTGAGTAACGGTGGCCATGGACTCGCCAAGGCCTCTCATCTGGTCCAACTCTGCATATTTTCGTGCACGTTGATAGAAATGCGGATGCAATGTTCGATACTTATTCGTAACAGAACTAGCCAAAGCCCACATTATATATCGTAAACATACAGGGGGCCGCATGTTAGGCGCAAGATTCATTGCGGCATAGTATCGCGGTTGGTGTAAGATTGGCATTGATGGGTGAATTTTCTGGAAATATATCTCATTTCTAGACACCATCCGTTAGGTCATATCTTATGTCGTATGTTACGCTGAGAAGCTAAGAATTACACGTACAGCTCATCAATAACATCCTGTGCCGGAAGGGGTTCTTCCAAACCCAGACCAATCATCTCCCATGAAAAGTCACCCCCAGAAGTGATGTTACTATCCGGGAGGTTGATCTGAGTAGAATTTAGGTCACCAAGCAGGTCAAGGGAAACTGGATGCGCATTCCCTGTTGTGTTCGGGCATGCGAACGTATAAGGCGCGTCATTAGGAAAACCGGTAGATGTAGGAGGTTGAGGTGTGCTGTCTGTGGGTGCGGGCGACTTCCGCAAGACATCCCCGGAGTCTTGAGATTTGAGTAAAGTCTCGACTTGGGCTAGAAGTAGGAAGGAAACAATCCATCAGCAATGCTCTACAGTTATCTGGATACAAATCCAGTGGACGCATGAGCTCCGTAATATGGTTATACCTAATCTTGCTTCTAACTGCTTCACATATCCCCTCTTTGGACCGCTCTTTTTTCTCACTTCATCGTAGGAACAATCATGCCCCAAGCGGGAACATGTACCACAGCTCGGTTTGTTTCCATCACATCGCAGCTTTCTTTTCCGACATATAACACAGGCTATCCGTTTGGGGCGAGGTACATAAGAAGTTTGGTTTGTGCCATTGGTTCGTGGCTCCGGGTTGCTATCGTTTCCCATCTGTGATCCCGATTGATGAATCGCGCTATCTCGGCCAGAGGACAGGTTCTGCGGTGGTTGTCCTAATCGAGCATCGAGCACTTCAGTGGAATGTGGATTGGCGCCCTCCATCATGCCACGATGTTGAGTCCAGCGTTGGCACCAACTTGTGCGCGGGGGGAAAAGTAATCAGCGAGCAGATGAAGCTGAGATGCCTGAGCAGGCAAGATTTGAGTGCGAGAAAGGTTGCTTATCCAAGCTCTCATCGCACTTATAAGGATGGTATGTTTCGCAGGACCTGGCTTCCAACTTCCAACAGATTCGTCAAGAACAGTGCTGCCTTGCCCGCCCCAAGATCTTCTTCAAGCGCATATTTTAGCATATTTTAGTGGCAGCCCTCGTATCGGCAACAACATCCCCGACACTACCAAGACCCCAAGCGCGCTAAATTTGCCTCCATAAATCTCAAAGAACGTCATCGTACAAACACAGGTAATTCTGCGGCACGAGGACGGCTATCCCTTACATATTTTGCGGATGAAAAGTCTTCATGATCCCATCTATGTCAATAGCATGTCATGTCTACAGAGTACTCGAGGCCAAAACGGACGATGTTGTTTACACCAACCAATTAGGGTTTGCTGACTAATCATATACTCTCACCACTGCACTGCGTAGTGTTTTTTCTGGAATAAAGCAATGCGATTAAATATTATGTCTTCGTGTCGACGAGGTTTTGCCTCCTGAATGATGGAAGACTATTGGCGTCTGGATCATTTGAATTGAATTCCTCCGTACACGGCGTATAAATACCTGCTTGTTCTATTGACTGATCAACAAATATGTTCATGTGCTGAGCTCCCTCACCATCAACCCAGAGCTGTAGTGACCAAACAAGTCCCCAGATGCACAGGAATATATAGGCTCATTCATTCATGGTATTGATTAACAAAGTGACGTGCTCCGTACAGCTTGAGAAACCTCCTCAGAGCCCCGATTAACAGATTGGGGGACGGGAGTTCAAGAAATTGTCGAGACAAACTAAATAAAAATCTCCAGCTCAACGGGGTAAAAAACCGCTTGCAAAGTCTCTACTCGTGAATCACACTTTCGAGTTGTTGAGTTCACGTTTTGGGGTTGCACTCATACGTCAACCACGATCCCTGGCAAGTTAAATGGAAAATCCTTCACCAACTAACCCCACACACTCCAATTCATGCCAGCTACTCGAAGACTAGTTTACACCATCGGTGTCCTAACCAGGCGTGTTTGGACAGAGGTTGTGAAGAGGGGACCTACTTTACAGCAGATCGGCTGTCTCAGACGACGTTAACTATCCAGCAGCCACATATGGTAACAGGCGGTTATTTATATGCCATCAGCTCCCGATCTTATGAAAGCGTCACTGAAAATCGACTCGGCGTCAAGACTGCTAGTTGAAGCTAGCTGAAACTTGTCGGGTTTAGGAGTAACGGTGACTTTTATGGCTCACCGAGTCTTGGGCCTGTCGGTAGTTATGTCAAATAGCGGCCACTGGGTCCAACACTTCGACCTAATAGCACTTGGGTTAGAAACTCAGTCAACACCAGAAGAGGGCGGCGGTAACTGTTGTTCTCTTATGGTCGATTGTGGTGAATCGTGATATTGCAACAGAATGCCGTGTGCTTAAACACGTTGAATATCGCTGCAAAGGCGACTGGTTCACAGTGATTGAAGCGGACCTAGCTGCTGTTGGAATACCGTCCGTATGTCGGGGCTGATTGGCCAGAGGGTGGAAATTACGAGTGGAGACGTTGGAAGTATCGCTCTTGATGGCTGATCGGAGGAGACCAACCAAAAAGCCCATGGGAAGACCGTAACGAGTCGATAAATTGTTCATTGGAAATGAGACGGACGATGGGATTCGCTGCGTGGATAACATGTAACTATTCATCGAGACTTACCAGTTTTCTGGAATATTCGAATGAAGACGAAGATTTTGTACGGGATATTTGGTCTGGGGGTTGCAGTCGAACATTCGGAACTATTTAACTGCAGCTTCTATTCCTTTGTGAACATGTACAGTACATGTCATAATTTCCTCCAAATGAACCAACACAGCCCTTTCATCAGGGTTCGGGAAGTCCCGAAAGAGACTGTCAAACCTAGATAATCTTCTTCAATGAATACATGTAGGTAAGTCTCAAGTTATCTGGCCCTGATTCAACCAGTCAAATGTTTGAAAAAACCAAGATCGAGTATAGGATGGAAGTTATTCATTCCCGTCTTAACGTCACAGAAACATCGCAAGTCGTTGACATAAAATGATGCCTGAGCTGAAAACTAGTTAGATATTTTTAAGTGGCCGCCACCCCAATGAGCCTAATCAGCACCAAACAACACATAATCACCATCAGCCCAGCAGTTGAAAACCAGAACTATGGCACAAATTAAATAGAAAACAGAACATAAAAGCCGCCAGAATATATAACATTAAAAAAAGGAATGGGAGAAGATGATGAAGATGAGCGCGTCTTCTTGTTTCCCGAGACACTATGCTGTATAAGTTGACGATTGATTAGTTTCAATAACCAACAACGGAGGTTGGGCAAAAGAATTATTTAACGCCAATTACATCCAAATGTCAAAGGCGGTTTACCTCGACGTGGCTTACTTGCATGTGAAGGAAATTCCTTCCTTTACCATCCTTAAAGCCGGAGAGGAGCAGAAGCAGATTGACAAACCCTGCTGACCGTTAGGTTCAATCACCAATAGCGCTTCAACACGCAGCATTGCTGGCTGCGAGCCTTGCACAAAGATGTCTGCAGCGCATAGCCTTTTCTGACGCACCTCTACGTGTTCTGACTGCAGGAAGAGCTCTCCTTGCAGCTGGCTCTTGGGCCAGTGAGATGTGCCACAAAACGAGGCGAATTCCGTGTTACACTCGCGGAGTGGCTGCGATTCACTTTATTCAAAACCGGCGGCATCAGGCGAATTCTGAATGCTATATTTTATATTCGGTTTGCTTCCACTTTCTTTTGGAAGCCTACAACTCCCTTTCTCTTGTTTCCTGCTCTTCTCCACTTTGCGCCAAAACACTATGGTGTGAGTAAACGATGCGATGATTTTGGAGTGCCGGCCGTCAGCGTCAGGGTATCTTCACCTCACACACACGTCAAGCACTCATGTCGACAAGAACCTCTGGGCCACGTCTAGACCCGTTGCCCGTTTCGTGGCACTCCACCTCCGAGGGACACCACGCCGCTCTAGGTGACGATGGTGCTGCGTTGCCTGACCGCTTCTACCCCAAGGAGACCTCGCCATTTGACCACGACTCTCAACCACCTGGTGACGATGCTTGGATAGCCCAGGAGCAACCACAAGATGTTCGTAACCTCACTGATATCAGGCAGTTTGCGGTGTGTTGTTTCGAGGGAAACAACTTTCAATAGCTAACAAGACAGCCAAGTTTAGACATTCGCTTCAGAACCATTTTGGCATGCACTTACAGTTGAGGTTCGTCAAACATCGCTTGACTCTGGTAAAATATACAAAATCCAACCTCAACAAGACTATGGCCGGGTGAGCTTTTTCTTTATTTTCCTTGCCAAGAGAGTAATAATGTTCTACTGCTCAAATTCCTTTCCTACTCTCCTTATGTGCGCCTAACCACACAATGTGGCTGCAGCTTGGGTTTTTGGGGAAGATCCCAAACTTCTCTCGACCTTTTCGCTCGCTGTCTTCAGCCCGGGGTAGAGACGATACACATTCTGAACCACAAGTCGTGAAGGAGAAGCCAAAATCGCAGGAGAGCACCAAGCATATACCCCTGGCTGTGCAAGAACGGGAGATTCTGTAAGTTGAACAAGCCCACATCTTTGATGGATTCAACTCACCGTTAGGTAGCCCAGTCCACTCTGATTCTGAAGTCCAAGCTTTGGATCACTTCCGGAACCATATTTCTAGCAGCACCTCAGACACGTCCGTGACACTACAAGGCCATATTGAAAATCATCACAATTTAATGCAACCATGCGGTCAACCTCCGCCGGAAACGGGACGACGCCCATCTAGCCCATCCGCGATCCCCAATGATTGTCCCGATGACTACCCTATTGGTCCAAGCAATCTAACTCGTCCCCCATCTCCTGATAATCCTGAGAGCCCTCCTCCTCCTGAGCCACCCCCCCGGGAGGAACGGCCGCACAATTCTGCGTCCAGAACACTTAACAGATTAAAGGGTCATTTCCGCACATCTCATAACAAAACCTCCTCGAGAAATTCCGATAACTCATCCACTCACACCCAACCCCAAACTACGGACAAAATTCAAAACCCTGAAAACCGTTCAACATCGTCATGGTCAACAACCCTCAAGCAAGCCCTGAATTATCTTCCGCGACGGCAAAAAAGGGAAACAGGCCACGAACACATACCTCGAGACCAGCATGTTGATTCAAATTGCAGTAACCGGAGAAATTCCACAAAAGAGCCACATACAGGGAGAGTGATCCGTGATCAAAGCCCATCGATAAGGTCGAAAGCTCTCACAAGAGAGACCGAGTGCTCCACCTCAAAACCGCCCACATCGATTTTGTCCAATGCCAGCTCTTCCTTCGAGAAGCCTCGCTTGCCTCTAAAAGTGGCAACAACTCCACTCACTACAGTTAAAGAGTTTCATTGCACGTTTTGCCTGTTCGAATGTCAGAATAAAACAGACTGGCTCAAACATGAACAAAGATTCCACCTGGAGGACCTCGAAAATTTCAGTCGAACTTCTAAACTTAAAGAAGCACGACGCGATGAAATCAGCTCATCAGGCTCGCGGTGGAGCAGAGGTAAGAGTAGTCGCAGACTCCTAACTAAATCACAACCTCAGTCATCCAGCTCCTCGTCCCACAGCCAGCCTAGCGCACAGAGCACTGGAGGGAGTATCTACTCCAGTCAACGCAACGAGCCGCAAGCAGCCGCGAACATATTCTGGACCTGCGGCTTTTGTGACGAACTCCTGCGCTCCTGGGAAGACCGACAGGCCCATCTTGCCGAGCACTTCAGCAACGGCCAGACCATGCGAATGTGGGATCCCATGAAATCGCCATTCCCATGGCGCAAAGGCTCAGCCGGAACTGTTGATGCCCCGTCATACTGGGACTTGCCGTCGCTACTCACGCTACAGCGCCCCACGCTGCAAGATTCCATAAATCAGATCGGAACATCACCCAACCAGCGGGCAACAACAGCGAAGCCCTGTAAAGACTGCCAGGTGCCGCACCCCAGCCTCGACCATTACGACCTCTGGCACCAACCCAGGAACACCTACACCTGTCCCCAAATCACCGATTATACAAACCTAGCAGATTTCTTCGACGAGGACGAAGACGAAACTGGGGAGCTGGTTGTGGACTGGTGCAATGCTTGTGAGGAGAGGCTCGACAGACCCCATTATCTCGACAGGGACGTGCGCATGCACCACCTCTGGGATTTCCATGGCTTCGGTGATTGTGTGGGTTGGCATGATTGTCTGGATGAGGGCCAGTTTGTGTTGCATCTGGCGAATGCCCATGCTGTTAATATTGAGTATATCAAGGGGCTTGTTCGCAGGTGTACCAGAGTCAGGGATGCGCCGGTAACGATGGTGGTGGGCAGGGGCCGCTCATGGGATGAAAGGTGGTCGAGTGCGTGAGAGAAAACTGACTGATTTCAATCTTACATCGGTCACCCTCCTGATGAAGCCGTGTTTATTTTTATTTATTTTTATTTTATTTTTAATTCTTTTGCATAAGTGTGGCGTTGGGTGGGCGGTACATTTCTATTAAATGTGGTAGCTCTTTTCTTTGAGTTTTCTCTCTGCATAATATACCCATTCCGCAGTTATTTATACTCCATTGATACTTTTGTTTCTATTCCAATAGATTTCCGCCTCTCCCAAGGCATTATTCTATCCGTTTCAAGCAGTTTCCTTCATGGACAGATGTGTCGTGGCGACTAGGGATGACTCGCACGTAGTACAAATGCCTCAATCATTTAGAGCTTAAAATCAAATGTAAATCCAGTTCTCTCTAAATATGAATGGCAATCCCGCTGCTTTTCGCACAAGTAGAATGAATTGTTTTACAGGCAGATCATGCCAATAAGTAATGTAATGAAAGGTGAAAAGCAAAGATACATTGGTTTCTATTTGCAGACTAAATGAACAATAGCGAATCCATCTCAGAAATCGGCGGATTGGGGGGAAATATTGTACAAGAGTTTTATCATGAATTGCATCGAGCGCGAGACAAAGGTAAAACTGGAAGAAAGCACAACACGGGCCCCTAAGATAATGTTTTTGAAGGGAAAACCTCCGTTTCATGCATGAAGCACACAGGCGATTCTGGGGGGGGAATATATTTACCAATGTCCTTTCCGTCTGGTTTAAGCGGCAGATCAGGGAAAAACCATGCATCCCACGGATCGTAACATCAGTCAACAATGGTAACAAGATGGAAGGGAAATGGCAGCCCTCCGGGCACTCTAATCCGGAAATAACTATTCTAATCGACTGTTCGAACAATGGAGGCGTAGAAGTCAAACCGAATGAGGAATAGCTGTCAGAGAATACATTTGTGGGAGTAATATAAATATATAATTGCGTATGGATACAAACGTGGGTAGGGGCGGGGCGAGGAAAGGAGGCAGCCGTGTGTATTTATAATAAAACAACGAAGAAAAGGCCAAAAACTCCACGGGCATGAACCTAGAGGCCTAATAGGAGACCTCTTAGTTGTATCCTCTGCGACGCTTGCCTTGGTTCCGTACGCGTGGGATAACGACAGCTTTGTTGACACGGTTTTTTGGTCTGGTTTTGTATCCGGATTTGGCCTGCATTCGAGACGAGCAAGGTCAGTAAATAAATAGAGAAAGACGGAGTTTATGTTATGAGAAGATAATTGGGGAAAGAATAGGAAATATATAAAAGAGGTACGGGAAAAGGGATAACGTACCGGCTTGCCCCAGGGACTCTTTGGATGGACATTACCCTTCGACTTTCCTCGTCCACCACCGTGAGGGTGGTCGACTGCGTTCATAGCAAGACCTCGGACGGTCGGGCGGATATTTAACCACCGGCTTCGTCCAGCCTTTCCAAGGGACCGGTATTTGAAGTAGGCATTGCTTACAACACCGATTGTTGCACAACAATCCTTATGGATGAGTCTGACTTCACCGCTGGCAAGGCGAATAGTAACATGGTCGGCAAGCTGTTTGAGTTTGTGTCTTTCCTGTATGGTAAGAGGTTTCTCGTCCCCTTGTTCTGACGATAAGCCTTCCGCCTGCTGTATTTCCTCGGGCAGTTCTTCAGTTGCTTTTAGGGTGATGGTTGCAAAGGTACCGGCAGCTCGGCATAATTGACCACCTTTGCCTGGTTTTAATCCGATATTGTAGATCAATGAGCCGACGGGAATCATGTGAAGAGGAAGACAATTGCCTCGCCATGCGGTTCTGGCAGCCAACACACCGGGATCGACTGTGCCGCCCATACTCTGCCATAGCTCGTCGGGGATACCGGCTCTGTAGCTTTCGACGACATCACCTGCCCTCATGCCCTCCGCAGCGATGATATAGCTAAATTTGCCCGTATTCTTGGACTTAATAAGGGCAATATGCGCATTTCTGTTAGGATCGTGCTCGATTCTCTCAACTGTGTGGGGTCCTGGTTCCTTCCGCTCGAAATCAACAGTGCGTATTCTCCGCTTGTGGCCTCCACCCCGGTGTCGAACAGTCACTCTGCCGGTACTATTTCGGCCACCTTTGCCGTGGCCTCTTTTGGGAAAAGTGAGCTTGTGGAGCGGCCTTCCTTTCCACAAGTGATCGTTAATCGGCCTTCGTAGATGCCTAAGACCGGGAGTGCGAGGTGTGTAAGAGCGCATACCCAGCCCTTCTTTGTCTCTAATTGGAGGCGGCGCAAAAGCGAAGCTAGGAGTAACTTTTTTTTCCGGTTCGGCTGGTTCATCTGGTTTCTGAATGAGTGTGCTAGAATATGCGCGAGCGGTAGCTGATGAGATACATCTACATGAGCTCTGTAGACTCCTCAATGGGAGGCGTGATTGGAGCATGATGGGCAGCGGAGGGCTCCAGATTTTGCTGGCAAGGGATAGGGGCAAGCGTAAACAGGAGGTCCAATGCTCAAGGCATACCCAGCAAAATAGAGGTGGATAAAGTAAAGAGGGGTTCAGGCGGCCCTTACCGCTGTAATTGATGCCGTGTGTTGTGGTGTTTATATCAACGTAACGTCCGTCGTTCTGATCCTCGCTACACCAGGAACATTTCCTTTCCCAGATCCGAAAAGTTTCGCGGGTAGGGTGTCACATGATATGTGGTCCACGTGATTATTGAGCCACATGTCCTCGGCCACCAGCCGTAGAAGCATGCACCGCCACAAGTGAGTTTCTATTTTTCATATGAGTAATTTTGATACGGTATTTTACTAGCTGCTAGCTATGTCTAGCGTGTGCCTACAGCGTCGTAAGTATCGATACACCCTAGAACGTATAGAAACCAACATGTCAGGAGGCTTGTTTCCCGGCCAACAGTCTTTGTTTACACCCAAGACCTACTACTCGTACGGCATTTACAGTTTCTTACCGCGACTGACATCCACAGCGCGTGTATTGATTGTACCGCAGTGGTTTGATACGCTACAGTACCTGTTACCCGCTCCTTGTTCCCTGTACCATTTAAGTACCGCTGCCGTACGCAACCACACACATTACAAGCTCCAATTCTGCTCCTCCTGTGTTCTTTTTTTCTCACCAACCATCATCATTCTCTCTTCTAATCCTCTCAGACCTCACCTCAGTATTGACCACAATCTCATTTTACTACTTAACTATTCACTTCATATCACGCATCCTACTGCTTATTCTACTTTTGCCAGCTCCTACAACCTCTATGCACGCGTGAAGACTCCTGGAGTGGCTCTTGGCACTATTACTGCGCGAAAGGAGCACCAAACACTTTAGACTCGCACCCCATTTCTACTTCGAAATATATAGTAAGGAAGTTCACATCCCAACCGTCTACTCCCTCTCACTGCTCTTTTCAACGCTTGAGCTGGTGTGTGTGGAATTGTTGTCGTGCTAAACAAGATTATCAACAAACAGGGCTTCGTGAATACCAAGGCGTTGCTCTGGTTTTCCAGGGTTGTTTCTTCGACAGTCACAACAAACTCCCATCCGCCCCTCTCAAAACAACGACCCTTTTTTCCCATGAGATTTTTATCACAACTGGTGCGACATAATCCCCTCAGGCATATCATCATACTGTCTTCATCCCCTAATATGCTAGCGTGTCGCAGAACGAGTAGCAATTGTGACTGTTGCACGTAACGCCATTCTTAGTTCTTAGAAATCCAATTCACTTCGACGCGTTCCTCGTAACTCTTCACACCGCACAGGATGCCACCTGTAAGTCTCCTTTTCTCTCGGTTGTTCACTCAAGCATACGAACGATGGCCTCCTGGCACCCTTGTCCTGATAATTGTTTCTATGGGTTTATCATTGACTCCCTTCCAGGTACGGTCTCTTCGCCAACGAGGCGTCACAAACGAAAATGACGAAAATGCCCCCACGACACGTTTAACACGGGCAAAGGCTGCTGCCCTTGCCGTGCCAGACACTCATGGAGCAATAACAAAACCTCTACAATCGAAGAAATCTGCAGCCAATACTTCCAATGCTGCCACACAACGGCATCGCCCTGCCCTGGGAGATGTTAGTAATATGACAAAGGTAGATAACGTGGAGGCCAAAGAGGGAAAGAAACCAGCTACCTCGCGCGTTGGTTTGACTTCGAAGGCTTCCACACACAGCGCAGGAGTTCAGAAGCTTAGTCGAACAAACACAACACGATCTGCCCTGGGTGTGAAGGACACCAACAAACAACGAGAAACAACTGAGATAAAACGCCCGGGTAGTGGTTCTGGTGTTTTGGGAGGTACACAAACGAAGCGTCAATCAGGCAAAAAAACCGCCCGAACAGAAGCCGCCAGTGCTGTTGAGGAGCCACCTCGAAAAAAGGTTGATATTGAGAGGAAGGTCGAAATTGAGAAAATCGAGAACCTCGAGAAAGAGAAGGAGCCTGTTTTGAAAGGGGCTCGCGGTGAAAAAGAGGTTGTTTTGGAGGAAGAGGAAGACGAGGTCTTGGACCTCGACACCGAAGACCTTTATGATCCTTTAATGGCGGCTGAATATGTCGTTGAGATCTTCGACTACCTGAAAGAGATTGAGCCCCAGACCATGCCCAACCCAGACTACATCGACCATCAGGAAGAACTCGAGTGGAAAATGCGTGGTATTCTTGTTGACTGGCTCATCGAAGTCCACACCCGTTTCCGTCTCCTCCCTGAAACTCTCTTCCTCACCGTCAATATCATCGATCGCTTTTTGTCCGCCGAGGTCGTCGCGTTAGACAGACTTCAGCTTGTTGGAGTTACCGCTATGTTTATTGCTGCCAAGTATGAAGAAGTCCTCTCACCTCATGTCGCCAACTTCAGCCATGTCGCCGACGAAACCTTCTCGGATAAGGAGATTCTCGACGCTGAAAGACACGTCCTCGCAACCCTCAATTATGACATCAGCTACCCAAATCCAATGAACTTTCTGCGAAGAATATCCAAGGCAGATAACTATGACATCCAGACGCGAACTCTTGGAAAGTACTTCTTAGAAGTTAGTTTGCTGGATCATAGGTTTATGCCTTACCGACAAAGCCATGTTGCCGCTGCCGCCATGTATCTAGCACGCCTGATCCTTCACCGGGGCCCTTGGGTACGTCTCACGTCACGTGAATTGCTTTGTTTTCTGCCCTAATCTAACAAGTTGGACTAAATATAGGACGCGACACTTGCACATTATTCTGGCTACACGAAGGAAGAAATTCTCCCTGTTTTTCAATTGTTGGTTGACTACCTTCACCGTCCCGTATCCCATGAGGCGTTCTTCAAGAAATACGCCAGCAAAAAATTTATGAAAGGTATGCTTTGCGATCTTACCCGTCTTCTCATAACCCCGCTCACTAACTTTGTTTTGATAATCAGCTTCAATTGTTACCCGCCAATGGGCAAAGAAATACCATTCTCTCTACCTGGATACCGATACTGCTTCCTCGAGGGAGAGCAGCAGCAATACCAAGTATAGTCGATAGTGACACGAAGAGTCAGGCCCACTGTTATATGCTATGATTGTGATATAAAATTTATTCTCGCGCCTCAACCTGTATGTATTTCTGTCTGGACGGCCGGCGCTCACTTGCTTCATTTCCTCATTTTTGGGTCCCTTTTCTCGAGTTTATGACGGAGTATATATATATGTGGGTGCATTTTTGTTATGATGGCATCGTTATCACTCCTCGCTGATTATCTACTCTCCTCCCCACCCTCCCCCCATTCCCCCAACACTCTCTCACCTCTTCATCTTCCGTTCGGTGCCCTAGGATTCCTTTTGATATTGTTGTTTGTTTGTGCTTGCATGTCTATTTACTCTCGTTCCCGCTATTATCTTTCTCAGGTGTGACGAAACGAAAGGACACCGTTCGCAATTCTAACCTTCGCCCCTAATTTTGGGGGGATTTTTTTGGAGCTTCTCACTTGTTTCATTTCTCTTGCCACCGGTGTTAGAACATGTGTCAGGGTTTGGAAAGCATCTTTGCCGTTTTTCTTTTTCTTCGACTTCGTTTTATTTTGCTACGCCCTATATTTGTTTATTGCCCCTATGTTCTTCTCGTTCTGAGGTTCTTTTTTCTTTCTCTTTTCTTTTCCTTGATTTCTCCTTTTCTTCATCCAAAGAATAGTTTTTACGCTTATATTTGCTATTTTGCTGCTGTTGCTCCTGCGTGAGCTTCAGTGTTTGTTTGAAGAGAAAATCTCATTTTTCTATTTTATTTAAATTCTTAGGGGGCGCGTGTCCAGTTGCTTTTTCCTGGTTTATTCACCATGACGCGTTTGCTCTTAACTCTCCAAGGTCGGTACGGCGCTTGTCCTGTCTATTTTATTGCCGGTAAACGCTTTCCGGAACTTGCTTGCCTGATGATATCTTATCTCTATCTCGACATCTTGCCATACTCCGCTATCTTGCTTCCGGCGGCTCGCGTGCAGAGATGTGCGTGATGGGATCTGACACAAGACAAGCAGGTAAGGGGGCAGTAGAGGATACAGTAAGGGACACTAGGAGTAGTTTCATGATACCACCCATCTTCTATTACTAGACGCGTGGACGATTTCAACTTATCATATAACTAACTGGGGATATAAAAATGATCCTTGCCACCTTCACGCAATCCCGGGTCACCATCACTTCTTGAGTTAGAGGCCGTCATTCATCTATCTATTCACATCAGCATCGGCTTCGCCGGTCTGGCTGGGTCACTCAGTTACCCATTGCCATAGATAACATATCTCGAACCGTAATCTTTTTATTATTATTTTCCCTGGGATATTACGCGCCTAAGAAGATTCAAACAGAGCATGGTTGACAGGAGCGAGAAGTATCTCGTCACGTAATAATGTTTATGGTGATCTCCCTTCACGCTTCACGGCGCTAGATCTGAAGAATGCGCGAAGAACAGAATATTATTAGCCTTCATATCGGTTGCGGTATGGAGTTTGCTGACCTCGGGATGGTACGAAATAACCAAGGCGAATCAACAAAGAGTCAAAGGCAACGATGTTTTTTTTTGTTGTAAGGTGAGCGTTACGAGAGCCGTGGTTATGATAAGGTATTTAGCCGCTAGCGCGACTTTCCAAAGCTGGCGGGCCTCGGCTTCGCAGAGCTGGGTGGGTTGGTCAGGAACCTCCAGCCCGCAGGGGGAGGGAGGGAGGAGGTGGTAACCAGGTCTCTCCAGCATATTCATATTCCGGTGTCAGATTCTGAGCTCGAGAGAATTATCTGTCCTCTTTTAATTTCTCCGGTTGTAGACCTCGAGTATTGTTCCGTGTAGTTTTCTCTGGGTTCGCTTTACCGTCCTTGTTTCTTGTTCTCTCCACGATTGAAGTTCCGGGGTAAATATATATATTTATATATAACTAACTATAGTATCCTCTCCAACAATTTGCACCGGGCCATTTTTGAGGTATCGACGCATATCAACAGGGACACGAATCCATATAAATCGGAAAGGTGGGACGAACCCAGCTCTTCGAAATACAATGGCACCTCCAGCAACCATCTGGCCACCCCCATCCCTCAAGAAGCGTGTTAAAAAATCCCCCAAACCCAAGCCTCCCAGCTCACCAACATGCCCCTTCTGCGCTATAGCAGCCGCTCATCCCCCTTCTCCACCCTCCCGTCGGGATGTACCGATCAATCCACCTGCGACTAAGAGAGACGATGCTGGCTCCCCATCGCCCCAAGCACACCTCTTTCTCTCGACGAAGCATGTGCTGGCGTTTCTTGACATTATGCCCCTGACGAGAGGTCATGTGCTGGTGATTGCTAGGGGTCATTATGAGAAATTGGGGAATGTTGGGGTTGAGGTTGGGAAGGAGGTGAGTGCCTTATTTACTTGTGTATTAGCATTTTATTTTAAAGTTCAGAAATATTGGTCCCTGATTACAGGAGAATTGGGAGAATTGGGAGAATTGGGTTGGGGGGTTTAAATTTGATTACTAGCACGAGAACTATGGTTGGTGTTGATTTCTATATACTGATTGGAATGAATTTAACATATAGCTTGGTAAATGGCTCCCGATACTTTCTCGAGTGGTGACTAGGACGGTGCTGGGCACGGACTTAGATTCGCGCGGCGAAGATCCGGCGCAGTGGAATGTTGTGCAGAATAATGGTATGTTAGCCTCTGCTGCCTCCTGTTTCCTTTTAAAATTACATCATAAGGCATTATGTACTTTGCAATTCCTTCCATGTATTTCAATATTCATAAGCTCTTCTCTATATATTTTTTGCATGCCTTGCAAATTAATTGCCATGACGGTTACTTTTCTCACACATCCCACTCCTCGCCCCTGGAGGAGTTGAACTCCAAAAACAGGTCCGAGAGCATCACAAACGGTGCCTCATGTTCATTTCCATATCATCCCACGGCCACCTCTGGATACGAATACTCCCACAAAGGGAGGCTGGTTGATGTTTGGGCGCGGCCAACGAGACGAGCTTGACGATGACGAGGCGCAGGAAACGGTAGCTCAATTGCGGGCTGAGTTGGTGAGAGAGGTTGCCAGGGTTAAGGAAGCTGAAGGTATCGATTTAGATCTCGATGGAGAATTCGAGCAATCTAAAGGGAAAAGGAGAGGGCTGGAGAAATTGTGATCGTAGGTGGTGTTTGGATTCGATGGGTGAGGAAGGCGTTGCTTTTCGTTGTCGAGGTGTGGTATTTTGAGTAGTGGGTTCTATGGTTGCTGAAGTCTTTTTGGGAAGGATTGTTGGATGTTTTCTCGTGCCCTTATATTTTTGCGCAACATTCCCCCTTTCCGCTTGTATTCGGACTGATAAGACATGCGCTTATAGAATTTACGTGGACTGATTTTTCGCTACTCAGGGATAAGCAATAGACAAGAGATGGTTCATCGAAACCATGAAATAAGAGCTTAGATCGCATGCCCACATCATCTTCTTCATTGTGGTGTTTTGTTATCAGGGCTGTCCGTGGGAGACGGCTTGGATTTGGTAAAGTACTATTTGACAGACGTTAGTTATCGCCGTTCAGACATTCCGCATACAGTAGTAATGTATTCGTACCTTTCTTCGAAAAGCATTCAGATCATCAGCGTTCACACCATTTATCTCCTCTCTTTGGCGTCGTGGTTCAGACGATGAAAATTCCCCATCAGGTAGGAGGCGGTACGTAAGTAAACGGCGGGACCCTGCACAAACAGTGTATTAGGGGGGAGATCCAACGGTGATTATCACAAAAAAGGTTGGGACAAAAGAAGAGTTAATCCTGCGTTGAATGGGAGAACTTACAGTGGCCAAAAGGTTGTACGCAGACACTCACAAGTTCTAGCCGGGGATGGCTGGGGATTTTAAGCTCGACATCATCTTCATTGGCAGTGGGCATCCAAAGAGAAAGTCTCCCGTCTTGGACAAGGGTGCGGGCAGCAAAATCGAGGATATCGTCTAGCATTGCGTCGAAGCTGTAGGGCTTCTTGGGCGCGATGTACCCGTCCAGACTGGTTGTTAGGGAAGAAGCATATATGTTAGCTTTTTGAACCATGTAACCCTTTGCCCTGAATGCCAATATTGGACGTAGGACCGGTGAGGAGGGCTTTTTGAGGAGTCAAAAAAAAAAAAAAAAATAAGACAGGTCCCTCACCTATGACTCGGGACACCATCTAAGAAAAAAGGCTCTTGCTTTTTACCATCCCTGCTCCCTAGAACTTTCAAACCTTCTCGAACGCCATACGGAGGGTCGCAGATAATGCCGTCCAGAAATGGTGTCGGCCTGATTGGCGAGTTGGTCAGGTCTGAAACAAATGCATCCAAGTAATATTGTTGTATGCCGTATTGTTCAAGGTTCGAGACGAGACCTATCGATTTGCCCTTCTTCCTATCCTTACCACTGAAGCTGCGCCCGTCAATATCAGAACCCAATGAATGGGTTCCAAAATGCGCCATAGCAACACAGAAGCTCCCAGTCCCCACAAAGGGGTCAAAGAACACCTTTCCTGGCGCTGCTAGTGCCATGTTTGCCGTGACCAGCGTCAACTCGGCATCCATTGACGTGGTGCTGATATAGTTTCGTTTCTTCAAGTCGTATTTATCTATAACATCTCTGCTCCCACATGCAATCCATCTACCGAAATGGACGAAATTCGGATCAGGGCGAGCTTCCCCTGGTTTGATTGGGCGACAGGGGTATTCCTCGAATATGCAAAACTCCTCGTCCGGGTCGGTCATACGGATTGGGCCTTGGAAACCCATGTAGGCGAATGAATGGATTATTTGAGTTTTCTCATTTGCGGAGCGTTTTCCAGCATATGAGTCTACGGAGAACTTGAATGATTTGCTTTTGAAGTTGTTCCATCGCGCTTCAGTCCGGTTACGGATGTCCATATGGAGCTCTTCATATGTTTTGCCATGGCCCCAGATCTCATATATGCCCTTTGCAAGGATACTGCGACATATGACTGCTCTTGCAGCGGCTTCATCTTGAAGTTTAACGACGGCAAAAGGTGTCTGGTTCAAAACGTTAGGATGCCATCATAAAATAAGGGGAAATTATGGCTTTTCTGCTGAAACATTTTTCGGCTAACAGACATTCTCTGTGTATGCTAAGAATTCGACATTAGTCCCAACAAGCGCCGCGAGAGCTTCAATCTCGGGCTTCCGAAACGACTCGTGGACTTGTGCGAATCGAATCAAATACTCCATGCTCTATGGTTAAATTTGAATATACGAGCAGTCTCTGCCAGGTTTGGAATTTGGGTAGGGTGGACTCTGAGCACCTTTCAAGCATAAATGAACATAAATGAGTCCATTTGCTCCTTTCCTGGCGGTCTGATATGAAGTGGAATTTGTTCTCACAAAAATTGATATAAATTATCGCGAATCATGATTCCAGCAGGCTTGGAACTAGCCAATCAGATATCTAGCTTGATTCCATGTCTGACTAAACAGAAACTCTTTTTCTATGTCAGAATATGATCCAAATAAAAATAAGAAAATAATTTTATTTAATTTAATCTCTTTCTTGTGCTGAAATTATTAATATTTTTAAGTCAGACACCGCTTATTTTGCAGTTATATGTAACTATATAGAACAGTATAATTCTTAATGCAGCTTTCTTGTTATGAATTGTGAATTGATTGTATTTACTGCTGAACAGTTCTAGATTACAGTTCTCTTAGCACTGTGATACCTCAGCATGCTTGCTGCTCAAGATGACCACAGTGATTAGTATGTGTGATCTTTTCTCTGTAGGTCCTTATATATACTTAGGCTGTTTCTATTGCAAATGTACTGTTTCAAGTGTGTGATCACTGGCCAGGTGAAATGAACAGTGCGGAATCACCACTCTCCATTAACATTGAGAGATAAATTGATTAAGTTAGTTTAGCCATCCTGTCTCTCTCACTAGAGTATGAGTGGGATGATGAGCAGCTCATGCAACATGGTACAATGATATCCATGAGGTGAAGGTAAGTGCAGATGGGGGTGGGGCATGAGTGATTGATAGAAAATATTGATCTATGTGCAAAGTGTGGAAGGTGTAAAGCTTGTGTGATTGAAAGGTTGCTAGCTTTGTGGAAAGTTATATGGTGGAGGGATTAGTAAGCCAGATCACGTGACCTGACACCCCCACTCACCAGAGTAACTATACACGATGCTATATACAAAATTCGCCTTCAAATCAAGTACAGGTACAAAAAATGACTGGAAAATGTGAAGTAATGAAAAACCAGTCATGATATACATCATTTTTTATCCCCCTATCCCCCTATCTTCTTTATATATTCTCTTTCCAACGCGTATATTTCAAACGGTTGACCTCTTTAACACGGGCCTTGTAATAATACTTCCATTCCATGGAAGCTTTGGCGCGCGTGAGGTTTTTCGGGATCGGGAGTGCAGCGATCTCGGGATCGGTGGGTAGGTCTTCAAGACTGTCCCCCACTGAAGCTTCCCCCACTGTAGTGATATCCCTTGTAGATGTCGGAGGGTCATCAGATTCAACTGTGGGTTCCGGGGAGTTCAGTGTATTCTGCACTAAAAAGGTAGGTATTCTCGCGGAGATATCATAGTCAATCCACCAATTATTAGTGGGTACGAGAAATAATGGACACTCAGGTCGAATTTCCTCATCAATGAATAGATTATCAATTGATGGATCAGGAATCGCTGCAGTCTCTTGACAGGCCGCAGTGGGTAGGCCTGGTGTCGCCGAAGGAATCGCCGCAGCCGCTTTATGGGCCGCATTGGGTAGAACCTTCGGGTTGTGTGGAGTAGTCGGTATTGATGGATCGGCAAGACGGAGGTCCTCCTGGAAGATGATGTCTTTTGATATGTATAAACGCCCGTTGGAGGGATCCTTGTGGGGTTCCACGAAACAGGCTGGCACATTGATAACCTCTGCGAGGTTTGCCATCTGATAGGTGTCTGATCCATCTGTAATGGATAGTTGGGTTCCACCCTCACTATTGTTCTTTTCCTTCTTTTCTTTGAATTCCTTTATCCTCGCAGCGTTGTAGATCCTTCAATTATCTGGAGCACTGTCTGGATTGGCCAACCAACAGTTGCCAAAGTGAGATCTCTCGCATTCAGGACATGTAGGTGGATTTCCCGATCCCCGATGGTTTCGGGAGCCCCCTTGTGTACTACCATGACCACGTCCAGTACGGCCTCCACGGGCCGAATTCGATGTATTGGTGTTGGTAGTCGTTGTGGCCGTTGTAGCTGTCGTAGCTGTGTTGGCCGCAGAATCTATATTCTGCAGATTCTTTTTATCTTTTGGAGGATCAAGCCGCGAACGGATTTCCTCCATGAGAAGATCAACATCCAATACCACAGCTGTGGATTTGGAATCCTGTATCTCCTCTATCTTCTTCTGAACGTAATTCCTCCAATTGTTGGGTAGAACTGAGTAGAAGGTATCAAATATCCATGCATCTGGGGGGGAAGCATCCAACATCTCCAATTTCGTGATGGCGGACCGGAACTTATCAAAGAATGTGTGTAGATTGGTGACCTGTGTGCCACCAAGAGACATGAATTCCAGAACTGCCTCACGGTGTAACTGTGTTTTGGGGACAGAGTATTCCTGTTCGATTGCATTCCATAGAGTATAAGCGATCCGATTTTCATCATACTTGGAGAAACGTGATCTGACACCTGCACCCAAGGAGTTCGAGATGAATGTGTAGAGCCACCGGTTTCTGGCGTCCCAGAATGGTGCCCATTCGTCATCTCTTTGTAGAGGGTTCTGGGTCTGTTGTTTCTCTATCATATATCAACACTGTGCATCAACCAGTTTCGATTTCATGAAGATGCTCCATGTGGTGTAATTGGATGTGCCAGTTAGACTGTTTGGTCTCACAGTATTCTTGACATCTTCCTTGAATTGGGAGATTGCCTTGCCAACACGGCTATCCGGTTCATAAAGGTTGAATTCCAACCTTTCACTGAGATTAGGATTCCATGTGGCTGTTGATGTGGTGGCAGGATGATTGTTGACATCCTGTGATTGAACTGTGGAGGATGAGGATCTCTGTTGACGGAGTTTTTCCAGTTGTAGTTCGAGTTCTAAGACTCTTTGCTTCCCCTTGTCCATCTCAAGCATCATCTTGAGATGCTCCATCTGTTGGTCTGATATTGCCTCGCCCGAACGGTAGACATCTGGGTGTCCAATATTCTCATCAAGAGAACCAGCTTCATCAAGCTGTCGAGTAGATCGGGGGGCCGGCCTGACCGTGTCAGGAGCTGTATTCAAACCAGCTTCGAATCGAGAGGGTGTTTCGACAATGGAGCTTTCAAAGGCTCCAGGAGGATGTCCACTGGCAGAGCGTGAGTGTGAAGAATCATCATCAACTCCAACTGACCCAGTGGAAAGGACGCGAGATCGCGAATGTGTGTGTGGGCGGGATCGTGTTGAATCCGCCATCTTGATATTCGTTTATTGGATCCTTGCCAATATCGTTCTCTTTTCTTGCTTTTTTTTTGCAAATGTGGTGCGTTTTCTGCAAGCCTCTTTTTTAAGCGAGCAGTAGTATTATTGATCATCAAGATCTCAAACGCATCAATACTGATAGAATAAGACGATTTTAACTCCTGATGGGCGTATCGAATGAAGCAGTAGTTCAACTAATGATTATATTGACAAGGAATCCCGAATTGGCAGCGATTTTTGCGCAAAACGGGTCTCATAACCTGTGGAAGGTGTAAAGCTTGTGTGATTGAAAGGTTGCTAGCTTTGTGGAAAGTTATATGGTGGAGGGATTAGTAAGCCAGATCACGTGACCTGACACAAAGTCCAACCTCTGTCCATGTTTGTAGTTACAATATAATTAATTAGATGATAAAGATGGATGCTGCCTACTGCTGCAGTGAACAGGAGGTGATCCATCAACTACAGATGTATCCAAGTTCTACTTAATTTCCATTCAACCAGGATCTACAAAGGAATATCCGTGTGCATACGTATCCGCTGCTCGTATCGTCCCTTGATGTAGCCTGTCAGAGTAGTCAGCGAAAGCCTTTCACCCTTCTACTCCGCATGGGATCCTTTAACCAGCTCCTCGCAGTCTGGAATCAAATCGCCCCGCGGTTGCAATTTTCCCTTGCGTCTAGCTGGTGAAGATCATTCCGGACCGTCGGTACCAATTATTCCGAGGAGATGTTGGTGCCCGAACACTCTGGTGATTCTGGCCAAGCAGATGTAGTAGGATTGAAAATTTCAGGGCTCGATTAACTTTCCCCCCGGCATGTATTCGGGCGCAAGGCGCGGAATATTCATGGAAGTTGAATTTAATTTCACATAAGCTTGACGCATCATTTTTCGTGCCTGTCACCCGGACAATATCCCTGCCATTAGCTGCTACATTGCAACCCAACCCCCAAATGCCAACCTTCCCCTCACTCCCCGAAAGACGATGGATCTTCCATGCAGTTTGATCAACCCCCAAAAGGGAAGCTGGCCTGGTGCAGGTCATGGTCTCCACCTGTGCCTCTTTGTCATCAATTCGGACACCGAGTAGTATTACCCGCTATATCGTCTTGGCCGATGGAACTAACTCTCGGCCTCTTGGAATTCCTGCTCAGAATCTCTTCTTCCCCTTCTTCGGTTGGGGCTGCGAAGCTCCATTGCGCCTTCGAATATTCTGCTTCGTCAGACAACGTCGATACATCAGAGTCATCCACGGTAGGAGCTGCCTCAGAGCCCATCTGGTGTTGAGATCTTGAATGAAGAAGCTGAGATTGAGCATTTGAGTATGTTTCATTTGCTATCCTAATAAGATTCATCCCTCTTTTCATTTGCCCAGTCCCGAGCATTTCGATATGCACATACTCCTTGCCGAAATGTTTACAAGTTCCCAGTCATGCCCCAAGTATTGAGTTGGGTCATAATATATTCAGGGCGATCACCTGAGCCTTTGGACTCAGTGAGATGAGTTGTGTATAGCTTGAGTGTACCGCCATGATAAGTTGATGTAAGAGTGTAAGCACTGTTGTCATAAGTTGAGCCCAATCCATCTTGTTGGTATGACTGGAGAGCATGCATACCCCGAGCTCCTAGTGCGCCGTCATAACAAGCCTGCCGTGTAGCGTAGCCACAGCCAAGGATCCATCAGGGCTTTTTGTTTCTAAAAAGAAATTTGGTACCATTGGAAGATCATCCTATGTTGATGGAATGATATAATTGTAGAGTTCATTGCGGATCTGACGATTGAGTTGTTTAGGACGTGCACCATAGAAGTGATCTGGTCTGGTAGAAGCAAGTGTGCCATCAGTTAAGGGAGCAAGATTTCCAAATGAATAATCCCCTCCAACACATTTAAGGTCACTGATATCACTGTCAAGAATTGGAACTACTGAAACTGTAACTGGCTTCTCTTTGGATGCATATGCATTTCTCAAATCAGACAGGTTGGGTCCTCCCATTCTTGAAAACCTCTCTACCAGGCAGACAATCATGAAGAATATCCGGAGCGAAATAAAACATTTCATAGTGCTTTAGCTTAGTAAACTGTTGAATGATGGGCCTATGAAGCTTTTGCAATGGCTCTTGAGGGGATTTTTCTTCGGTCTAGCTCTTTTATCGCGTTCTTGGTTAACCAAACCTTTGATAGGTTATCCCAGTAAGACTGGCTGAGCTTCTGTGGCGCAGTTATCGGAAGGATACTCAAGGCACTGGCGCTTGCGGGATAGCCTAAAGTTGTGCGACGAAGGCATATGGCGGTCATAGGGCATTTAAATTCTTAAAAAGGACAGAAGCGGAAGTAAAGGGCGTTTTGTAGTAAATTATCACCCATACATAATAAATGAGCTTCGACAATGCCGAAGCTGGCATCACTATTTCTCAACACAGGCACTAAGCCAAAAGAGGAAGAATATGTGTGTTCTAACAATGTATATCTTCTGTTCGCCCTCGCAATCATGGTGGCGTTACTCCACCACATTATTGAAAGCTCATATCCACCACTGGAACTTTGCGACTATTGAAAATACATATCTGCCATTGGAATCCAACAAGAGACACTGATTCGTTTCAGCCTAAACGCATTGGGGCCCAATGGCAAATCTACTAGGGTCGCACTCCAGCCCACCACCAACGTTGCGCAACCCCTCCTACAGGGAGATAGTGATAAATAGTGCGAATTTCTGGCGCTGAAAGCCGAGCGTCATTGCTATGCCAGAATCTTCATCTGATATTGCGTTTCGAAAAGGTGAAAGAGTTATTTATTCGTCCACCAACAAGTGAACCATATGTTCCAACTTGCACCACGCCGTCAACAATCGAGATCCCAGGCCGGTTCTGCTCGCTGGGTTCTATCGAGGAATCGGGACACTGGTGATTCAACTACATGAACGTGCGAGTTCATCGGGCAACTGAACAGGCTGGTTTGCGAACCACTTGGGATGCTAGGGTTTGCAAAGAAGAAAAGCTGTTTACATGCTATTGGCTTTAAGCAAAGCGAATACTACTTTTGCTTTCGTGAAATTTGCAAAAAGAAACAAGAGTGTCGACATCACCAGGCATGTCAAGAGACTCTGGCGCTAATTGTTCCTGAGAGGACAACTCACGCTCTCGACGATATAATATGTATAACCCGTTAAAGATGGAATTTGTGCCATGTCCTTCCTTTGGATATCCTCATCAAGCTGGACTTGACTCTCCTTCTTCATTCTATGTTTCAGCCAATACTTTCCTTAATATATTTAACTCTTTGTTCGTCGAACTAGATATTTTGAACCATGGCTGTCCGCAATATCCCTCCCGAAACAGTTATTATCGGCATTGATTTGGGTTTAACTCATACAGGTGCGTATCTCCGTATTGTCCTCCCCATGCTCTCTTTATGTGGAACGCAATGATTCAAGAGCGGGATCTAGGCATAGTCATGCACAGTGCTTTGGGCGAGTAGGTTGATTATTGAACCGAGGCGTTTACTGATATCCTGACAGGAGTCGCATTTTCGTCTATAGACATGGAGGCTCCACTTGACGTGGATAGATGGCCAGGACAGAAGGAGGTAGCGAAGAAAGTGCCCACGAAACTCTGGTATCGTGCAGGCTGCAAGACACCCATATCATGGGGATTCGACGAACCTGATGAGCTACATCCTGGAATGGATGTGGTGGATTGCTTTAAATTATACCTTGACCCTGGTTTCCAGCCTGGTGGCTCCGAGAACAGCGCTGAGGTGTTCTGGACACATGAGGATGTTCAAACATGGTTTATCGATTTTTTGACCGCCCTTCGACAACACATTATCCAGTATATAAGACATACAGACCAATTAGCTGACCAGGTGGTGGGCGAATGGAAATTCCACCCAGTGGAATATATTTTTAGTTTCCCGACAACCTGGCAAAACCCAAAGGTGGTTGATGCCTTTCGCAGAATTGTGAGGAGTTCGGGTTTTGGAGACTGTGAAGCCCACTCAGTGGAAATTAAGTTGACCGAAGCTGCGGCGGCCGCAGTTTACTCAGCAAAAAACTTTAAAAATCAGCGGGCAGTCCAAAGCCACAAAGGAAGGAGGCAGCTAGCAGTTGGAAAAGCGGAGCGCGTTCGAGATGGCAACGTTATTCTTATTTGTGATGCTGGAGGAGGAACAACGGTTAGAAGCTCCCTCTATTGTCTACAGGAATTGTTCTTCTGACTTAATTTCGCAGGATGTATCCGTCCTTAAAGTTTTATCAACTGAAAAATTTGAAATCCGAGGCCAGGTTGAAGAGGTACTTCAGTTGGAGCAACTCGACTACGTTAATGGTATGTTAGTCTCGCTTCTGCTTTGCTTCCGGCCGGGCCGCTCATGCATAACGTACGTAAACTGTGTAGGACGAGCACTTGGTTCTGTGCAGATTGACCAGGCTTTCCAAAGGGAAATCGAAACCCGTTTGAAAAAGATCGATTACAAAAGTGGCGACAGCCGTTGGTCTCCGAAATCTGCCGCACGAAGTTTGACAAAAGGCGATTTTCAGACTATCAAGCATAACTATGGGTACCAAATAGTCGCATCCTTAGACACAAATGCCCCCCGCGTCCCCGGACTCCCAAAATCCTATGACAACCCAGAAGCAGGCTTCAAGAACGGAAGGATAATATTGACGGAGTAAGTTTATAAACCTGCGTTATGTTTATTACTAGCACAATCGAATTACCTGACCAGAAACAAGCTCTGATATCCGCTGGTTGTTTGACGAACAAATCCAACGGATCTTTGGGATGATTGATGAGCAGCTTGAACGTATAGAAGATATCACACCCCCAGTGGAAGTGGTACGTTGTGTGATTTTGGCCCCTTGTTATATTCAATCTGACCATCTGCCGACAGACGCATGTTGTCCTTTCCGGAGGGCTCGGCTCCTCTCCCTACGTTCAAGATTGCTTTAAAATAAACTATGGCTACGGAAAGGCAGCCAAACAGATTTTGATTTCAGAGGATCCGTGAGGAACAAACTTCAAAATCGGATGACTTTCTAGAACATGGCGCGCTGACCAGCCCTATAGTCAACTAGCGGTCTGCCGCGGTCTTGTAATCGACCGAATTCATCGTTTGAGACATGGACACTCTGTCCTATCTACTCGCTGTAGTTCAATCTCCTACGGTATAGTGGTCAACAATAGAGTTCGTGGGAGCCAAACCCCCCCCGGCTTCAATGGCAATGTGGAAATAAGCCCATATAACGGGAAGCGATATATCGTCAACCAAATCCAATGGCTTATCGAACGCGATCAGATTATCCAGCACCAAGATATACGGCGTAAATTCGATCGTGTTTTTGAAGCGACTAATTCTGGGATCGCCTGGAAAACTTTGATCGCCATGTCGAGGTCACCTGCTAAGCGCCTCCCACAAACCATCAACCAAGGAGATGCCGACGTGAAATGTACAATTGAGTCATATGTGGACAGGGAATTCCTACGACAGCACGCCCAACCTGTTAAGCAGAGACGGTGGAGTTCGAGCCGAAAACCAGAACTTCAGAAAATACAGTATGAAGTGCGTTTATGCATCGCGTCATCATACGTGACGTTCGAAGTCTGGTTGGGGGATCGAGTGGTCGGGAAGAGTGAGGAGATTCACATCGCTTGGCAGTATACGAGTGAGGACGAGAGTGACCGGCAGGTGACGCCAACTGAATATCCGGTGGATTGGTCAAATTATGGACGTGCAAAGGTGGCTAAAGGTAGCCCTTGGCCCATATTTCTTCGTTGAATAATTGGGGCTGGCTACATTTTATCGTTTGTAATAGTGTGGATCTTCAATTCATAAATTGACTGTCATTTATTTACGAGGATAGCAGGCACCTACATAGTAATTGAGCATGGTTAGAAACTCAACCCTGATCATGACTATTAGTAGAATCAAGGCCCTCATATCAACGTCATCTAACTGACTATATTTGAATATTAGAAGAGTTTTTCAGTTGATCATTCTATAGAGTCGCTACTCTATACTCCGTAATGAGATTGACATGACAAGATTTTCCTTTTCTAACTCCCCCTTTCTCATCTCTTTTTCAACCACCTACATTCAGCTACTACGTACGGGATACGCGGTACACCCCGGACGATAACCACTCGTGGGTTTCTGGTCACTACGTATAAATACCCAGAAGCTCAAAATGTCTTTTCTTGCTCCTCTCTTTTCTATAGAACGGATAAACAGAAACACAGAACGTGCACAAATTAAATATCTCCACATCCCCAGTGTCCGGATGAGAAGACAGCAGAACTGGGAATTCTCATCATAGTTTCTAACATCTAAATATGCCACGTCAGAGCCTGCCTCAAATAGGCTAGAAAGGGCATACGTGCCACAAACTGAGGGAAAGGATGCATGCCGACCTGATACTTTCGGTGCTGCTAAGGCCTTGATTACCTTTGCCCAAGCGGAAACATTGTGTTGCGCCGCGCTTTTGGCAGTTTCATGCAAGGGTTTTTAGGCTGGGATATGGCAGTCAATTTGTTATGTGGGGGAGAGTAGAGAGAGGTTTCCAAGAAACCCGATTCCTCGGCCGATGATGCAAATGACTTTTTTCCACGTTGCTCAAATAGTCATAATGATAGAATATCAAAATTATATATAACAATGTAATTTTTTTCCACAGGTGATTAAGGTTTGAAGTGGGTCTCATGATAATCTCCAGCGAGTATAAAATATAATTGGGAGGTTTTTGTGATGAGATCAATTCCTTTTTGAGGATGATGTCAAATATCTCTCGGGTTAACTGAGATAAATGTTGAGTTATCAAATATTTTTTGCCCGGGCCTTGTTGAGAAGGTGAACAGCGATGGCACAAGTTGACTGTTGAGAAGCCTTCATTATTATTACACTTCCAGCCGCAGTAAGCGCGAAAATGAAGAGATGGTGAGGCTGGCGTTTTCAGGATAGAAATGCCTGTGGATGTTTGCGCCTGGATGAAGCCCGTAACTAGTTATTTATTAATCTGTAAGTTAATCTGCAAAATTAATTTTTCATTTCTGCCACATTTGCAAGCAGGGGTGATAAAATAGTTGGGTTTTCGGGCTTTCTGTCCCTTTATTCAACAAAATAACCCAGCATGCAAAACATGTGTCATTTTGCAAATATGCATCAAATTTGTAGGGAGAAATGGGTGACCCCGAGAATTGAGCACAGAGTTGTCCATCTTAAAAAAATAAATTTATAAAAATAAAAAAATAAAAAAAAGCTAAGCTTTGTTTAATATTCGTCAGAAGCTAGCTATTTACCGAAGCACCACCACCATGTTGGTGGGCAGCTAACTCAGGATTTTTCCCAACAAAGGAACTGCCCAGCGCCTGGGTATTATAGCTTTGAAGACTTAAAGGATGACGTGGTGGTTTAATGTCATCAATAGCTCCGTGCCGGTTGAAACATGGGCCTTGCCTGGGGGTTTGCCGTTAAACAACATTGCCGACCCGGGGTGCACAAAACAAGAAGCTCATTTTCCTAGGCCACGACATTACAAAATTCTCTCTTGCGATCATAGAATGTACTGTACTTCTGAGGCATAATCATTTTTTAGTGCAAACAATGCAGGTATTATGGGATGTGGTTCCAGCAAGGTTCAACGCGACAACGATCCTCCCGGTACCAGTTATAACAAACCCCGTCCGGCAACTCGTCCAAATTCACATCGAACGCAGTCCCAAAGAAGGCTTGCCACAGGCACCGGGGCGAGAAATCGGACCCAACCTCTATCTGCAGTTCCAAAACCGCACTCAAGCTCTAAGCCAAGGACGCATTCGCAGTCGACAAGTTCGAGGACACATCTTCATACTGGAGCGAGGACGCGGCCATCGAGAACAGGCACCCGTCGCCGTCATCCCACAGCACTGGGGACAATCCATGATGGCCAACCGCCAGAGGATAGCGCGATTCGGGAAGAGATCAATTCGTTTCGGCTGTTCATTGATCAGCACGCGATCAATTTTTATCGCACACAATGCGACGAGAGCGGGGCATCGATATCCAGATATATTGCGCGAACGATCATTTCCAATGTTATAGAGAAGCGTTCGAATGGTAAAGTAGAGCCCATTTATTCCTTTTTGCAATATCCCTTTTCATATTCAACGGTCCCCTCACTTTGGAATTGTCACTTAAACATTTAGTAGAGAACAGCGTTGCCATGAACCTAGCCAGCGCCCTCGAAAAGTACGCTAATGATGCGACCAGCCAAAAGCGAGGTGAACACCTTCTCATATTGTGTAGAACGGCGAGTATGATAGGGAGCATGATGGACAGGCACCCAGAAAGCTGGGAGTTTAGTTGGCGTGGAGGGGTTGATATCGTGTTTCCCAGCGTGATGCGGGGCCACGCAGAATTTATGCAGGCAACGCTGGATATATAAATTTTTTCACTTCGGAAATCTCAGTTTTCTCGTCGCCTAGTTGCCTGGCTGCGTCTTCGAAAAGCCAATTGGATGTATTTTTCCCTGCTTCGTTTCAGATACCAAATTTTAGTCTATTAATCTTCTCTTCAATAGTAGGAAATCCTCCTACACTTGTCCAAAATAATTAGCCTCGGACCGAATTACGATGATATTTTATTTTCAATGATTAATATATGAACAGAACATATTTATATCAAAACAATATTCGTTCCCGGAAACATAATTTCGCCAGAAAACGCAGCATTTATAACGCATGAGCATAGCGAGACCCACATAAATATTGGAGAAGAAAGATAAATATTCGAGAAATGAGGCACCGTGAGATGAACAACACTTCTAATCTCGCACACGGTCAACGTCACAGCGTTGCTGGAGAAGCCACAAGCCCAAATCTTCTGGATCCGAGTAACGTGGGGAGATTGCAAAGCGGTCGTCCGCGTAGGGTAACGAAGACATTGTAAGAAACCGGTGCCGAGGCTGCGATGTCGGGAGTGAGTGCTGGCTGCCATTTGAGCGTTCGCCTAACATATCTCTAATTAGCTTTGTCAAGGGTCTGAGGTGAAGTATTGAAAAGTATGCTCGAACCTTCAGCCCAGGTTAACACCCTGGGTTCCTTGTTCATATCGACCGGTGGTCCTAAACGTGGGTTTGAAAATGTTCGCAGTTCCAGGCACAAACGATTCGAGGTCCAGGGAATTGTGCTCTCCAAGAAGGCCAATTCCGAGCGTATCTGTGATAGTGTGATATGATATAGACGAAGCGCAGTTAAGCACGTCTGTAACTCTGCTTTAGTTTTTAGGACCCAACAGATGTCGTTGATTCGGCGCTTGGCCGCATTTTTGTCCTTGCTGCCAGCGATGATTTGTTGCGCCTTTTTGAGCTCTTTGTCGGTGCGGTCAATCTGGCGTTCGGTGTATCTTCTGCGCGAACTTGGTAGATAGTTCCTAAAATTTTCGAAATCATATTTGACGCCGATAAGTAGGTCGGACGTGCAATTTATAATGTCGTCGGCGGTTCGCATTTCTCCTGCTGCACCAGCGAACCCATTTATATACTGGATTAGGGTGAGGAATGACACAATAGGGCTCCATACTGCGAAATCTGTCATGACGGGCTAGAGAGGCTGTTGTTTGTAGCTGATGGCGATTTTGATAAAGAGTAAATTTGGCTGTTGATAAACATGTAAAGTGAAGTTGCCATGAGAAAGGTGGCTAAGATATACCGTCGGAACGAAGAGTTTATAGATACCGTCGTCGAGCGCTTTATGACTCTCTCGTATGTGGGGGCATTCGATCCTTAATTGGAACCACATGTAACATCCTCATTTGGGACGCGGAAACTCAAGTGATTAAGAAAATTTCGAGTCAAAGACGCCACTGAGGATTGCTGAGGATTTGCAGTCAAGGAAGATATATGTATGTCCCTTTCCAGTGCAATAGGATTCGCAGCATTGCATCGCCGCTTGGGCTTGTTGGTGGATGCAGAAAGAAATGGTTCAAATTAAATTGTCTTCAATTAAGCCTAAAGACATCTCCGGGTTTGTTGAATGGATGAGCCCCAACGAGGCTATACAGCTACCGACAGAGGCAGATGCAGAACTAGGAAGAGCCGCGTCGGGCATTCATAAAGAGTATAAAGCACTAATCATGCGACAGGAAAGAGGAATCCTGTCGAGTTCCAGATGACACGCACTACAACAGCTTTGGCCACGGAGCCTGATTTCATGCATGGCATCGCAGTTCAAAGTGATCTCGAGTAAATTGAGCCTTGTCATCACGTCACGCCCTAGGTGGTGATCTCTCTGGTGGTATTAACCGGTTCCTGAAACATGGAGAGGTGGACAAAGATAGGCCTGGAAATCGGTTTGAAACGAAGTATTAGTATTGGGGCGATTCATCAAAAGGTCGAGGAGTGTCCAGCACAATTCTCGGCAATGTACATACATCTGTAGTCAACGTGGTTAAATATAACATTGTTGACATGTTTTAGCGCGCATTTCTGATTTGATATTGTGAGCTGCCAAGCGACCAGTAGCCTTGCGATCTGGAAACTTGATGAGCCCACATTTTAAATTGATAGGAGCCAGTGTCTTGCGCAGGAGTCAAAGAGCGTATCTGCAATGAGCCCTTGGGTATCTCCGCATTGCAACTTTCTGAGTAACTAAAGACGGCCATCCGATAAAGCCGATCAGAGAACCCATAGCAGGTATGGAAATCCCCCACCCCAGGGCCCCGGATCCAGGTTCTGGCGGTGAAAAATTTCTGTTTTCGATTCGGAAAGGGCTGTCATGCGCCATTTGACATTCATTATTAGAAAGACGACAAAACTCCATGATGTTGAGGCGCGTACATGCTCAGCTACAGTTTGGGCTGTAACCTGACTGTGCGATCCGGATCGCGCGTATTTAAGGCTCTCTTGAACTAGGCAACACGGCACCAAACCTTGTCAGTAGTATTTGACTCCAATAATAATAAACTGCAAGGTGTACTTTACCCCAATGATAAACTGCGTGAGGAGACAGACTGGTGGGGTTTTGGCGTGGTGTTAGCGGTCTCGCTCTGCAGCGCGATGACGTGAGGCTGCATTTGTCAGAAGTGACGTCAATGCTCGGCGATTTTCATCTTTTTCGTCCGCTTGTTGAAGAACCTTTGGAAGAGACTTTGGCGACTACGAAACCTTCATATTGTTTCTATAAGGTATGCCGTCTTCGTCCTGTTTTCATGGTAGAAATGACGATACATCTCCCAACACGTCTCTCACAGATTTAATGGATCTCATTGAGCCTTCGGAGGCCGCCCCCCCTCCTGCATCCAACCCATCGCCATCGCCGGGCAATGGATCGTCAAACCGCAATAGAGATGGGTCTCTTACAGGGCGTTCACAGAGGCCGAGTATACGAGTCCTACGCTTTCCCTCCAATCCTACACAAACAGCGACGCTTCGAACCAACCGACAGCGCGACAACAAGACAAATGTGTCTGAGATTGCGAACCGGCGTAGAAGTAGCTCGGATCCCCAATGGGTTGGGCCATTTGCCAACCACGGCGCTGATATAGGTCCTGCTGCGGCAACAAGGGATTTAACACGAATGCCTTCGTTAGTAGAGGAGCCTTCATATGAGGAGATTGTCCCACAAGATAGTGGAAGCTCGCCTCCACGTCCTGGTAATTTAGGGAGACTGTGGCGGACGAGTGCTTTTGCAATATCGTCACTAGGTTTGACGCGTGCTGCCACAGTCAGTGGACATGAAGTAGGTGCAATGACTGACCGAGTGGTTGATCTTCTCGACGTTGTTGGTATGAAATTCCCTATTCCGCGGAGTTTTGTTGGAACCCAAAACTGACTGGCTTGATGTGGTAAACAGACCCTGAAATATCGACCCTGACTACCCTTACAAATGTTCAAAATTCCCTCTTCGTACCTGATCTTGGGCGGCTTTTAAATCGTAGACCGTCGTACCAATTGACTCCTAGAATTGAAGAGGCCTCCCAGCCGGAGGAGCCTGAGAGTGATCGCGAAAGCCTGGCAGGGGAAGAGAAAGATATATCAGAACGATTTCGTCTACAGAGCTCCAGCTCAACAGTTATTGATGACCTTTGTTTCGCAGTTTTACCCGACGGGGAAACGCTTCCTGGCTGGAGTGAGGCAGATAAGCTGGAACTCAATGATCATGTTAGACATATGCTTCATTCGCGGCGATCTAAGTTCAAACGATCTATGAAGGGCTTTGGGCAGTATGTTCGGAAACGTGGGTCAACCAATTAACTAACTCCCTTACGCACCATCATGTCACAGTACTAACATATTTTCATATGCAGCTCTTGGGTTTCTAGTCACGCTCTATGCGACACTAATTACACTTTTTGGTCTTGCTTGGGTCCTGTTCCTCATAGGTGTGTTCTCTGATTACAATGAGCGCTCTACGTTTAAACTTCATAAAGCACATTGACCTAATGCAATATTCGTGAAGTTAGGGTGGATCAATGTTGGCGGGCGTCAGCTCTATATCATCAACGTCATAGACAATGTTCTCGTCGCTTTATTCGCCATAGTAGGAGACGGACTTGCCCCGTTCCGCGCAATTGACACATACCACATGATTTTTGTCGCGCGCTATGCCCACATGACCTGGCGTCTGCGGAAGGAAAAAGCGCTCCCTAAACTCCACAACAAAAACGACCTTCCCAAGGAGAGGATAGACGACACCAACCAACACATCGATACCGAAATAAATACCGTGGATAATCTTAGTGACGGACGCCCCAACGATGAAATCAAACCAGAGGAATACTCAGTCCTCAACGCAAAGCAGCAGAAGCGCCTGGAGCACCATCAAAAGAAGCTCTCGAGATCACACACATTTTACAAACCGCATGAAACAAGCACCCACACAGCCTTCCCCCTCCGCCTCCTGATTGCTATCATCGTGCTGCTGGACTTCCACTCCATCTTCCAGATAGCATTGGGCACATGCACGTGGGCTATCCATTACGAAGTTCGCCCGTCCGCCCTTACGACTGTACTTCTCTGCTGCTCACTTACATGCAACATCATGGGTGGTGTTTTGATTTGGATTGGGGACCGTAAGTCGCGCAAGAAGGAAGTTATTGAGAGAATGTTCCGGCAAGAGTTGACACAAGAGGCGATGAAGAAGGTGGATAAACGGAGAAGGAAGGCTAGCAAACGGGAGAGTATGGATGTGAGGCGGAAAGTATCTCATGAGGGTGAAGAGAGGAGGATAGAGAGAAGCAGCACTGACACGAAAACTTTATCCTAGAGGTTTTTTTACGATTAAACTTTTCTTTTAATGGCGTTCATGGGGTGGGATACAAGCGATATATACACGAACACAAACGTACCGTGAGGGTTAATAATTATACGTACAGTACGATCCGTAGTGCCTTGACAAGATAATGTATAGTAAGTCAATACTATTTAAACCTGAATAACTTAATGAATAAGGGACTGGGAGTTTTGGAAGGTCGATGGATGGAAGGATCCATAGGCGTTTGTCGACGGGTGATGGGATAACGGGAGGAGGGATCTAATACTCACACAGCTTCCGGATTTTCCATTTTTCCGGATGCGCCCCGATGCAAAAAGAGCCACCACCAGAACTATCTGGTAGTTAAGGGGTTGAACCATTCCTTATGTCAACAGCTTCGCTATATCTAGCTCTGCAGATCTTATAAGACTTTTCTGATATTTTAAAATTTCAGAGTTCAATTTATTATAAAGATGTTTTTCTATGAAATAAGTTAATAATGGCAGCATAATTTAATAAACTGAATAATGTGGATATCATTTACATTTTTCACTTTCAAAATTCCGTCATTCTCTATGTGTCGGATTGGGTGTCACGGATGAATATGTTGAAGACATATGAATCTTATCTGTATCAAGATCTGCTTGTTATATTATCCATACACTATCTAATATATCTATTTCATACAAAAGATAGAGCTATTTATAGTAAAATATATGTGTGAGCCAAGAGAGCTAGCATAAGCGAGTATTAGACAAGTGTTGTAGTAAGCTGATGATGATGAGAAATATTGTAGTAATACAATGTTGATGGCGTTCAGTAGTGTATAACCTCTTTTTCCTGACACACCCCCTTCAGCGAATGTAACATGTAAATGAAAGTGTAAATGAAAGTGTAAATGAAGCTGCAACAAAAAGAGTGTAGATGAATCTGTAGAGATTACATCAAGATAGACCATTTATACCATCATTCTGCTTACGCCTTGATGATATCTGATATATCAACTAGGCCTAGCATCTTGACGAATTCTGTATGTTTCTGGCGTGGCAGAGCCTTAGTGAGGCCATCCACTGGCATCTGAGCCGTAGGCACTCAATCAACTGTAATATCACCGGATTGAACACATTCTCAGATTGATATCTTTCATCTGAATCCTCCCATTGAGATAGGATGATGATATCATTCACATAGAAGAAGACAATTAATTGATCATTTGAGAAGAGACAGCAATTCTCTGATATAGAGATGAAGTCTAGCATTCTCAGATTCTTCATAATGTGAGTGTTTTTCAACATCTGCTCAGTGATTTGATGAATCTGACAGTTGAGATCTATGAATTCTTGAAGTTGATATGAATGCTGTTGATGTAGCTGTATTATTGATAACTGTGAAAACAGTATTTGAAAATAAATATTGAGACTTGTTAAAGTCTGTGTGTGAATGTGAATGAGAGAATGCATCTTTAATCATTTGAAAAGAATTGGCTTTGACATTTGTAACTGTTATAAGATGAGCAGCTCTGTGATTTCAGACTTGTATACAATTATCTATCACAGCTGTATATGTATTGATATCAACATTGCTGTTCTGTGTACAATTATCTATCACAGCTGAATGAGTATTAATATCAATATTAAAACCTGTATCAACATTAGAATCTGTATCAACATTAGAATCTGCTGACTCTGATATAGGTTCAGATGTTGAATTCAGTGTATGAGATTTAATGTGAGAATGTCTAGATATTTGATTTTCTGCATTAGATAGATAACAGAGTTTGCAAAGCTCAGTGATAAGCTTATCTACAGCATCTTCTTGATAAGTGATTTGAATATCAGTTGTATCATTTGTAAGTTTTTAAATGATGATTTTCAATGAATGTTCTAATCTCTTATACTATGTTGACTCAGTAGCTATAGAGATCTTAGGTTTTTGAGAAGATTTTATGTGTATTGACAGATTGAAAGAAGAATGATTTGTAGAAGTTGAAGAATTTGAAGATATCATTTTTTCAGATATAGTGATGTTAGATGTGTGTGATGTGATAGCTGCATCAGCTTCAGTAGTTGATTTTTCTGAGATAGTTAGTAAAACAGCTGTTTCACTATTATATTCTGTAAGTAGCAATCTCTTAAATACTTCAATACATGCAAAGATTGTATTATCTGTGCATTTTCACAATCTGAAGTCTTTTTCATTATAATAGATGTCTTCTATATAAAAACATGGTTTCCATGCAATAATATTTGTATGAAAATTCAGTATATAAGCTGTATTGATGAGATTGATATTGAACTGCTTTTCTGCTTCATTTATCATGATAGTTCTAACAGTTTTATAATCTTCAACTTTAGTGCTGAAATTGTCTGTATAGACTTCTGCATTCTTATTTACAGATGTAAAGAATAGAAAATATGTTTAATTATTACATATATACTGTTCTGCATCAGTATCAAAGATTCAGAAGTTTCAGAGATAGAAGTGAGAATGTGAAGAGTTTATTGATATTTTTCAGATTTGCTGATTAATAAATTGATGATTGATAGATTGATAATCAATAGATTGATAATTGATAGATTGATGATCAATAGATTGATAATCAATAGATTGAGAAACTGATTACTTCAGAATCATTTCTTCTAGAACTGCTTCATTGACATCTATTATATCTGTATTTGTGAATAAATCTCTAGATATTGCATGATCAATATATCTCTTCAATTCTTGATTCTTAAGAGCTTGATTGATCTGAGTTCTCTTCTCCCTGTTTTTCTTTCATTCAGATGACTTCCTTGATGAATTGAGATAGTAGCACTGAGTGTATCAATGACAGGCTCTGTAGATGCAGTTTTTAAATATCACTGATCTTTCATTAAGAGTAGTGAAGTTCATAGATTTATCTTCTTTGAGAATACTCATTTCTCTATATCATTTCTTGAAGTTCTTAACTAACTCTATCAAAGATATGACATCTTTATCATGTTGAACATTCTTTATTCATGCTTGTACATATTCTGTATTAATAGCTAGATTTATATTTAAGAAGTCTTTCTTCAAGTTGAACTGTTTAGCTATATTTATCTCTTTGATATCATCTTCAATGAGTGATCAGTCATTTAATCACTTCTCTATATCTCTGTTTTTCAGTGCTTTGCAGAGATCATGATATCAGGTTCTCACATTATCTTGATAGTCTGCAGTTATGAGTGAGAGATAATCTCTTAATAAACAGATAATCTTCTTCACATCATCATTCTTGCTGCATACATGTCATAGCTCTGTGACATTCACTGTTCTTCATATGACATCTCATATCTTTGTCATACCTTCATTCATTTTTTCATATTTCATATATTTGATTTTTCACACAGTGATCTTGATATCATATGCTATCTTAGCCTCCGCGGTGGCTTCTTCTGAACACTCAGGTTTCAGAGATTCTTCTAGTTCAGAGAAGATATCAGGTTTATCAAGATTGATGAAGTCTGATATCTTCTTGTTCTTTGCATATTCTAGCATATGCTTGTACCAAAGTTTCCAATCTTCAGAAACACTAAGGTGTACAGTTGCACTAGACATTGTCTTGTCTGTCATATCAGTCAAGTATTTCAGATAGATATGATCAGAATTCAGGGTGTATAACAGTCAATTATATTGGAATGTATATGAGTGAGAATCTATCATCTCAGTTTGAATGATAGTTATCAGTTTGAATGAGAATTGGGATTAGTGTATGATATAATGGTCAAGTATTTTAAACCATATACAAATGAGAAACAATCATCTCAGTTTGAATGATTGTTATCAGTTCAAATGAGAATTGGGATCAGTGTATCACACTTCTCTTCAGATGCTGCTTACTGGGAATCAGGTATAACAGTCAAGTAGATCAGACTGTATATGAATGAGGATCAATTGTCTCAGTTCAAATGATTGTTGTCAAATTTGAATGAGGATTGGGATTGTGATGTATCATGCTTCTCTTCAGATGCTGCTTACCGGGCTCATAACTGTCGGATTGAGTGTCACGGATGAATATGTTGAAGACATATGAATCTTATCTGTATCAAGATCTGCTTGTTATATTATCTGTACACTATCTAATATATCTATTTCATACAAAAGATAGAGCTATTTATAGTAAAATATATGTGTGAGCCAAGAGAGCTAGCATAAGCGAGTATTAGATGAGTGTTGTAGTAAGCTGATGATGATGAGAAATATTGTAGTAATACGATGTTGATGGCGTTCAGTAGTGTATAACCTCTTTTTCCTGACACTATGAGCTTAGTAAAAGATACCTGTTGTGTCTGATTAATAGTAGCACAGTAGAGTAGAGGGTGCAGGCACTGGAGGAATTGAGTTAACACAAGAAAAGACAAGATCAAACTGTTATTATAAATATATAGCCTGGCCAGAGCTGCAGCTAAATCAAAAGTGATGGTACTTGATCAATCGGGGGGATCTATGCCCTCCCAGAATGACTCTGTCTCTTTTATGTATCCTGTATTCTCCAACGGCTGCTCCCACTCCGCTCGATGCGATTCCGCTATAGCCATATATGGCCCCAAAGTCTCATCCAGTTTCTCTTTGGGAGTCCCCGGAAAATGAACCAGGAGATCGCCAGGATGTACCTGGAGATGTGAAGGGGAGTCTGGATTCAGGTCTAGTCCGTTTGGTGCTCTCATGTAGGCATTGAACCAGCGCAGCGGACAGTATACAGTGGATCGGCGGAAGTAATCATTCTCCTTTATAAGGTTACCCATTGCTGACTGGTCAAACCAGCGGAGTTCGACGTTTGGGTTGTAGATTGGGTAGGCGGTTGTGGCAGTAAGCAATTGCACAGACCATGGGTGCACGCGGATCAGAAAGACACCGCTGTTCATTCCGTTCCAATCCTTGGAGAGAAGAAGATGGACGTGCGGCAAATGCGGCGGAGGTAAGAAGGTCTCCAGTGGCATGTTGGGATTCATGAGTACAGTGTCGGCATCGAAGTAGCTGGGGGTCAATTATCAATCATTTGCAAATAAGAACACCGGTTCTTGATGGGAACAAACAGGGGGTCGCAAACTCACAGCAGCCACTCCAGTCGATCATCCACAGGCTTTTGTAACTCCTGTAGTAGAACTGATAGAATGATGGCCATTTTGTTCCAAAAACCATCAAGAACTGGAGCCTGTAGTTTAAATAGAGGATATCCTAATCGGCGGCTGTGTTCTTCATGCGTCTTTAACGCCCTCTCGTAGACCGGGTTGTTTCCCCATAGCATTGTCACTTTACCAACTTTTGGTTGGACATGATGCTTAACGGGGCTTGCTATGGCTTGATACTTAACGGGGTTCGCTATGGCTTGATACTTAACGGGGCTCCCTATGAGTTCTAGTCAGTCCTATCCCAATGGATATACAAGTCTCTCCCCCCTCCCTCTCTAGGATGCAATAATTAAAAGGAATGAAATGAACACATCACACGATAGTTCAAAAATAATTTGAACAACCAAAAAAAGGCAAAAAAGACCAGAGCTACACGTAGGCCAAGTTTTAGCCCAGTGTGCAGGCTTTGAGTATGATAATGCAGTCGCCATCGCCGAATTTGTTGAGGATGTGCCATCACTTTTCGCTCTTGCTTGGTGGCTGGCCAGACAGGGACGTCTGCGCAGTGCGTAAGTGCGCAGTATGTCAAAAATATAAAAAAAATAATAATATTAGAGAAATCCTCCAAACGTGGGTTTGAAAACAATCCATAAATAAAGAAATCACCATTCTGCGAAGGTGAACGGGTTTAAAATCCTCCCTACACCCGGTGGGATCGGCTCATCAACATCATGGGTTGGGGTAAATATCGACGTCAAGTGCTTGAATCACCAGCCAATTATTTCAGTTCGGTCAAGCTGAAACAAAAGACTTTGAGTTACGCTTAGGTACGTATGGACATTGTACGCTATAGCCTTACAAGCTAATATCGTTACCGCTGGAAAATGTTTCACATGTATGTATGTATAGTACATACATGTACGTTGTCTGTAAGGTTTTGTCACTCTACCGTGTGAAACTATGCACCAGCACCTTTTGGTCGAATATTTTTTTCTAACATCACCCGGTTTAGGTCAGCTTTGGGACATGGAAACACTAGGGGGGAATTTTTTAGGGGGAAAAAAAGAAAAAGAACAAAGAAAAATGGAATAAAAGGGGGTTGAATAGGAGTGCTCTTTTAACGGAGTGTGACGCGCGCCTAATAATAATAATAATCATTAAGCTTTTTATGCGAGCCAGCTATGGAACAGGTTCCACATTTACACTGGAACCAAGGAGAGTCAAATTACACTAGTCCCAAAGCAGTTTGGTTTATGCAGTGCTTATTGTAGTTAATTAGTATGATTCCACTCAATATTATAAGAGAATAATACGAGAAGTTTCATTAACTTGAAGAAAACATAGAAAGAATATAGAGAGAGTATTATTTTGAGAAAAAGGCGTGAGAAAATAGGGGTAAATGGGTGCATTTAACTATCATTCAGCTCTTAACTTCTGCTAAAGACCAAGTCTCGTATTGGAGTATAGAGTTTTCTCTAACACGCTTAGACAAAGATAAGATTGATAGACGGGGTAGCTACAATATATCGTACCAAAACTTATATTATTGAAGAAATTAAATGTACATACATGTACTCCGTACACCAGGCAGGTATGAACAAGGCGCATGTATGTACAAGTATATAGCTAGAGAGAACAAATCTGGCCAAAGTCAAAGAGTGCGACAGAGAAGAATATTCTCGAGAATGGCCGTCACGACAAAATGAAATGAAGGAAATACTGAGAAGGAAGAAAGGGTATATAGAAAGTAAAGAATCAACAGGGTGAACAAAAAGCCTTCATCCATGTTTAGTCGCAGCCAATTCACTTGATGGTACATTTCTATTCCCTGACCAAAAAGACGGGGATTTGTATTGCCCCTCTTTGGTATGGATGATTGTTGAAAACGGCTACATCATTCTTGCTCGCCTTGCGTCGCCGCTAGTGCCAAAGCCCGATCGCAGCAAATATGGCAATGCCGCCCACCCCGAGTCAAGCCCCCCTGGATAAACCGTAGATCTAGATTGCGGAGAGCTTGTTGGGGCACCTGAGCCGGTCTCCGAGACCTGCGATGCGGTTGAAGAGGGCTGCGCGGAAGAAGAAAAAGAAGAAATAGAAGACGAAGATGCAGATGTAGCAGTAGCCGCGGTGACGAATAGGCTAGAGTCTGAGGAGGGGAGTTGTATCGTGATGGGTTGCGCCAACATGGTGATAGGCCCTGTGACCTGCGTGCTTGAGTCTGCTGTCTTTTGGCGAACGGTGACGATTGTGGTGCCTGTAAACAGTTTGTGCCTTGTGCATCCGGCGTATATTGCCGTGCCGTTTTCCATGAGCGCAGTCATGTACTCGTAATCCCTATTAAAAGCGAGGGTCAATAAATTACCAAAATCGTATTTTCAAAGGGGAAAAAATGGCTCATACTCTCTATCACACGTATGAGAGGCAACACACCGCAATGGTTACTGATCGTTCGATATTCACATCGGCAGAGGTGGATCCCAGGGGACAGTAGCCCAGGCTATACACCGTGTCCGCTGTTTCCCTCCCATGCCTATTGAACCCCGAAGGAAAACACGATCGATCCGCATTGTTAGACGTAGTAGCATTTTGCACCGTAGGCCCTCCGGAACAAGATTTGCCGCCGAAGGCTCGTACGTCCACGAGCTCGAGCAAGACGCTGGGGGGGGGGGGGGGGAGGTGAAGGCCGTTGTCAGAGCAATTTGGGTGGTTGGGCCTTGAGAGGCAATCTTGAAAATGAGATCTCTGCTTGGAAATTCCCGTCGATGGGATATACATACAATTCAGTAATAGAACCTTGGTGTAGGTCTGGTATATGCCATGTCCTCGGCCAGACAATGAGAGACACACGCAGCGGGATAAGGAGCTGGAAGGATATAAAACAAAAGGGGCGGAGGCCGTTGAGGGTCAGCTCGGAGTAGAGATTACTACGGTGGCTTAAGTCGAGTCGGGCGCTAAGTAGGCTCTAGCAGCGACATGGAATCAAAAGCACTGCTTATTGCTCAAACAGTGGACAAGAATAATATTAGAGCTGCCAATCTGGCACTGCTCATTTTGCAGCAAAATACTCCGGACTATGATTTTAAGTGGCATTTATGTAAGTACATGTACATTAGCAGGGAATAAATGAAACGAAAATAAACGAAAATGAAACCCAAATCTAGCGTCTCTTCGCGCGTTCGTGAGTACGAATGAAAAATAAAACTGAAAACTGACCTAACCGCCCAGTAATCTGCAAATCCAAACAATCCAGCTCAACCCTGAAAACTCAAAAGAAAATTAAAGCCCATCCATCTAGTCAATAAATATGCCAGCCATACCGAGTCCCACTGAAGAAAAGAAAATGAACGAAATGAAGAATGAATGCATGGAGGTACTGGTACAGAGGCAGGAGTCTATGAGAAACCAGCGAACACGGTCGAAGCAAATGAAACCAGGGGGTTAAAAAAGGATATCGACTCGAAAAAGGGTTATGGGGGGATCAAGCGTGGCAAAAGTACAACGTAACAAGAAAACAGGAAAATCTATCTAACGATCCTGAGGAATTGCTGATAATGGGAATAAACAGAACAGATTGGGGGGGTCCAAGAAACGATGGGAAAACAATTCATCAAATGAAGGGAGAAATGCACAGAAAGGTAAATAAGAGGAGGAAGAAGGATCCATCCTATGGGGTCGCAGCGGTGAACCGGTATCGCGAGACGTGGCCTTCATCCAGCGCAACTTCAACAGTTTGGTCTTTGGGTATCATTTCATGCTGCAAATCCCAACCAGCGCGACGGCAGAGCTCGGAGACCACAACGTCGCATTCACCGAGCATGTTAATATCAAAATCAATGTGGGACACCGGCTATTAGGTACGGGAACGCGTCAGCAAGATTGATCGCGATATTTATTATAGCGGCAGGTAGCTTGTCTTATCAGAAATACTTACATCACGAGAAATGAAAATTTGAGGAACATGGCGAGGTAGAATGCCTGGAACTTCGGCAACTGGTGCCACTTTCAGCGATGTTCCAATGACAATAACGAGGTCCGCTAGATCACGATCGTGACCAATAAGACGCTTCGAGAATGCGCTCGGAAGATCTTCACCGAAGAATGTGATATCAGGCTTGCTGGAGTGTTAGGAAATGGAAAAAATGGACTTTAGTTGTTATGGCAGTGAACGGAACCTACCTTCATCACACCAGGCGTGGGAATATCATAGTCTTCATCATCCGAGCTGTCGTCAAAATCCTTTCTTCTACGATCTTTTGCCTGGGATCCATTTGAGCTGCGCTTTCGTTTCATTCCGCAAGGCCGAGCTGCGAGCAGCTTTTTGCAGGCAGTACATTCAGGAAGTGCTCCCTTTCGGACATGTTCGAAGATTTGCTCACCCGGGACCTGGTACTTGCACTTGACGCAGGATGCTGTCGCGAAAGAGCCATGACATTGTATTAAATTCTCAGGCAGAATCCCCGCATTTGCTTCCAAGTTGTCAATATTTTGGGTGAAGTTCGTTAATAGTTTCCCTTTATCCTGAAGGAGACGGATAAAAGCATGCGTTGGAGAAAACTTCTTCTCTGTCGGAAGAATGTCCTTTGCAATGGAGTAGAAGATATTGGGGTCCTCGTGGAAGAGGCGTATATCGAAAACTTCCTGCGGGTCGGTCAAACCCAGATACTCCAACTTTGAATACAAGCCGGTATCTTTCGAACGGAAGTCGGGAATACCGAGACTGGTAGATATCTAGGAGCCTGGATATCAGTATTATTTTATTCTTCCTTCCCTGAATAACATAACCAAGTTGCTTACACCTGCTCCAGTTAGGACGATGATGTTTTTTGATTTTTTCAGCAGCTCAACTGCGTCATCAATCGTATTGTACTGTGATAGCTTCACGCGCCGTGAGTATTCGCGCGAAATTCCGATAATTAGTAAGGGATGATAAGCCCTGTCTGGTGCGCCTTCAAGAAACGAGGGCGGCATGATCCCAAACGCAGTGCAGAGTTTCTTCGCGGTAATGGTTCCTCGCCCTATTGTCTCTTCCGCGAAAGCAGCCTTTCCGATTTCATGCAGACGCCTGCGAAAGGCAGCCGCCTCCTCTAGAGTGCACGCATCAGGGACTGGAGTACCGTTTAATCAGTATTTGCTTTGTTTTTCTTGAATGAACGGGCGATTAAAGGACGCGTGCCGGGGCGCAAGGGGAACATTTCTCTTACCATCGCGCAGCTGTTCATCGCGGACAAACTGTAACGAATCTTCATAAAACGACTCAGTCTCCCAGTTATCTTCGGAGTCGTCAGAGTCCCCTGAGGCATAAGAATCGCCGTCCTCCGTGTCGAACTCGGGCTGTGACACGTCCTCGCTGGCGTCAGGGGCGCCTGCTGATATCACCCCGTCCTCTGTGGCTACGTCGACCACCTTCACTACTGCAGATTTCAAAGAAAGCTCCTCGTTCGGTAGCACTGGCGCGACATCCATCTCGGGACGAAGGACAAGACCCAACCAGTAGTAAGCTCCGCTCCGGTAGCTTACATTGGTAGAAGGTTGTTAGCGATTAGGTGTCGGGAAAAAGGCCCTGGTCTCGCAGTTTGGCACGCGGCAGCTAGGCGCGAGGTATTAATAATATCTCCGAGGCTCGGAGGTTTATGATAATCCGGCTCCATCGCCCCTAAAGGCGACGAACAAAGGGGCAAATCCCGAGCGTTCAAATATATCCTAGGTATGGTATGGATATAAAAAACTATTATGTTAATACCATACATCATGATGATTAAAGTGCTCATGAGGGCATGATTTAATTTCTCATGAAGGTAGTCTAGTTTGTATTTTTCTGTATCTAGTATTTTCTATTCCCCTAACCAGGCGGAAATGTGACCTGGTCCATTATTTCTGCTGTAATTGGTATCATGAAAATGTGGACATGGAAGACATCACAGGATCCTTTCTTCTCCTTTCTATTTACTCCTTTCTCTTTGGTGGGGATTCATGAATCTGTCATTTTGTGATCTTCGCCCTGGACATTATCATCGTCATCATCTGAACCGTCACTTTCGTCTTCCCACTCTCCGCCCACGTCTTCGCCATCATCGCTGTCACTAACATCGCCCAGCTGGGTTTGGAGATCTTGGACGAGTTCCTCAGCGTGTTCCTTTAGCTTCACATCCTCATATTCTACTAGCTCGTAAAGTTTCAAACTCTGTTTTAGCCAACTTCGGCTGGAGCGTAATGTAGCCTGTCGTAGTTCAGATTCTGATAGGTCGCTCTTATTGGGGGGAAGCTTTTCGCCCTTTCCTAGCAAATATAGACACCATCCTCCCAAATACCACATCTCAACGCTATGGTCGTCTTCAAGGGCCATTCTTTCTAGCACTTCGAGCGCCTCAATTTCCATCTGGGCTTCCATCAATAGTCTAGAAAGGCTTATCCGTGTGGGAAAGTCTGGCACCAAGGGACTTTCTGGAGGTAGATCTTTCCATAACTCAAGGCTTCTCGACAACGCAGCTCGGGCGTCATCGTGTCGGAGCTGTGATATTCTAACCGAAGCCAATGTTTGTAGGCATTCTGGGGAATCGGGGGCAACTAAAAGAGCCTCCGTAACCAACGATTCGCATCGAGCTTCCGCGTCCTCTTCCCATCTGATTGAAAAGCTTCGATTCAGCATTCGGCATTTTCTAAAAAAAAATTAATTTGGATAAACAGCGAACTCACGATAGATCGGTCATGTATATTTCTACCACTCCGCATAAAGCATGTGCTAGCTTTTTCTTCTTCTCTTGCGCAGCCAACGCATCGTCTGTCTTGCTGCTTTGCTCTAACGACTGTATGTTCCGTCTCAAAGTTGCGACACCTTTTTCGAACCAGTTTACACTATCCTTGCCACCGGCCTCGTTCAATTGCGCAAGCCATAAGAATTTCTCTGCGCCTCCTCCTTCAGACTCAGAAATTTCCCCGTTCGGATCTAGAGCCACTGCTCGCATGAAGTGTTCCCGCGCGGCATCAATCTCTCCCAGCTCAACATATATTTCGCCGATCAGGTTCAGGCCTAATAACACATTGGAAGATCCGGTTGAAGCGATATCCAACCCGCGTTGCGCAAGAGGAAGAGCGGCCTCCGGCTGCCCCGTTTGGAGGAGAACGGTGGCTTGGTCGAAGAAAATTGCGGGATCTTCAATCATTTTCCTCGGGGCAGACCGGTTGGCACCAAGGCCAGATTTTACTCTTTTCTTCGAAGATTTGTTTGAGGGTCGCGTTTTGGCCATATGGATATATATCGGCTATATTCTAGTTAAATAATAATAAGTAAAAAGGAGAAAAGTACGCTTAGGGAAATTATTGTTTGAAATAAATTGATTTTTATTTCTCGGTGTTGGGATGAATTGGGTTTGTCAGTTCCTGGCAACTTTTCTTCTGGAGTTTGCTCTGTTTGCATGTGGAAACGGAACTTGATTAAATATCATCGCGGTGAGAGCTTCAGGGTAAAGAACAACGGTAAAATACCCCCTCAGCCCATGCTGAAAAATCCAGATTTCGTTTTGAATAGCACATTGCAGAGACATTACTTGTTAACACCGCTAGAAACTCGCGTTTGATTGCTTTGAAAGTATTTATTCCGGAAAAGGGGATCAAACCATCAAACGACCAAGCCTAGTTAACCCCTCTCCCTCCTACGTGCTTCACCATTGAAGCAAGGGCATTATGGGCATCGAAGATCAGCAAGAAGAGAGGGAGACCCTCAAGTCGATTTTTCCAGATGAAATTACAGGTATTCTAATACAACCACTGCCTGCCTTGCCTCCGTTGCCACGGCGCGCTGGGAACTAACATATTATCATACAGATATATCTGATACCGCATATCGAATATCGATAACCTTGGATGTTACCTCCCAAGGGGACGATGACCAAGAGCCTCCCGTTCTCATCCTGCAAGTTTCATATCCACCACAATATCCCGATGTCGCACCGGACCTCGACCTCTCCGCGCCTCCTAATGCACCCAAACACCCCCACTTTGATATCCAAGAAGACCGGGCCCGCCTCCTGGAGTCGCTGCAGTCCACCATTGAAGAAAATATGGGAATGGCAATGATTTTTACTATTGTGGATATGTTGAAAGAGGGTGCCGAGCTTCTTATATCCGAGCGACAGGCAGCCATTCAAGCCTTAAAGGAAATGGAGTCTGCGAAGGCAGAGGAGGAGGAGAATCGCAAATTTCACGGCACGGCTGTGACACGCGAGTCGTTTTTGGAGTGGAGAGATAGGTTCCGGAAGGAGATGGAGGAACTTGAACGGAGGAAACAGGAAGAAAAGGAAGCGGATGAGAAGAAGAAGAAGGTTGCTGGCAAGGACGAGAAAAAGCTTACTGGCAAGGAACTTTGGGAGAGGGGCCTGGCTGGTAAAGTGGATTATGATGAAGACTATGTTGATTCCATACCTACAGATATGGAAAAGCTACAATTGGTGTCGTGACATTTCATTCCTAATATACCTTTCCTTTCGTATAAATATAATGGATTTTGAGTTGATTGCAGGGCGCTTGGAAGTTCATGATATTAAGAGTAAAATATCTCCTGTCATTCAAGCACAAATAGAAAATATCACACATATGTTCTTTCTTCGGCTGCGGAGTGGTATTTGCAGCAGGCATTGATGATGATGCTACTGCCCTGATGGCCCTTTGGCGTGCTTGTATCACTCCTCTCTTGCATATTTCGCCTCATACGAGCCGACGATGCATACTGCACATCTGCGCCTTTACCGAATTTCTCATTATAAGCATCGATTCGATGTTTGCCATGAGCCATATATCCGGGTCAGATTATTCTGCTGTAAGGTTGGGCTTCAAGCCACACTCAATTATCATCACGATTAGGGGTGCTTGTCTTTTTGCTCAGTCGCACTATCTTCTTCACTTCCTTCAGCAGTGATATCCTTTGCTTCATCCTTGGATCCACCAACCTCAGCAGCCCCAATGTCAGATTCTGACTGTGCTAACCGGTGCATCCTCATTTCCTCCCTTTCCTTTTCTGCAAGTTCCCGCTCCTTCAGCACGACCTCCCACATCTTTTCCGCAAGCTCTTTAGTCTTCTCGTCCTCATACTGAATCGTTTTTATGGTATAATCAAGTGACTCAGTAACGGTTAACGCCCATGGAGTCCCATCGTGCTGCTCCACAATACAATCCCACTCATCCTCCTGCTGCGCTAGATAAACATCATCCTCCAACTTATCCCGTTGAAGGATCTTCTTCCACCGCGAGTCTAATTTGCTCCTCAATGCGCGACTCAAGCTTGGAGGCTCTGGCTTTTTGATCCGAAGGAATGGAAACCCACGCGCAGTAGCAAGAACAGGAACATGGCGGGGCCCATTGATTTGTAGCCTTGGTCGCGATAAAATCGGTTGGGTATCCGGGTGTGGACGGAGAGCTTCTGGGCGTCTCCTTGCTCTGCCTTCTGCTCTTTTCCTTAATGCGCGCGTGTTGCGGTTTTCAGGACGGTGTTGGGCACGTTGAATTTCGCGGGATTTGTGGATATTGACTTTGAGATCCAGCGCGCGCTGAACGATTGACTCAAGGCGGCCAATACTTTCTGGGTTTGCTTGGGCGCATGAATGGAGCAAGTCTAATGCCTTGCGTGAGTTTAAAAGTTTAAAAGTTAGTGTCTGAAAGATTCCACCAGGCCTTGGTGATGGCTAACCTCGTAGCCTGCCTTCAAAGCATTGACAATCTGGCTGGGACTTTGCAAGCCTTTATACTTGTGAAAATTTGATTTTATTAAACCTTGGATTTCCGCAGGTTGGAGGTTAATTAAACGCAGGCGGGCGGATTGGGACAGGAGGGCATGGTAGAGCGAAAGACCTAGAGTAGCTATGAGTTTGGGCATTCGATCACATATCCACTGTAGGAGAACCTACATGCTAGTCTATGGGCGCCCGAGCTCTTTGGTAACAAAAACCGGGGCATTCGAAAAATCTGAGTTCTCCGTTGGCTTTACTTAAATATCTCCTAAAATTGTTTCGAGAAACTCGGATGAAGATATTCATAGTCACGTGATTTGATATCAGTTCCAACTATTGGTACGCTTGAAACATTCCCCAGTTGTATAGAATAAGCTGGAGACTTGCATGAGGCAATTGCTTATAGGTCGTAGGGTAGGAAAGTATAGCATGTTCATAGTCTGTAAACTAGAAGTTTATGCCCGGTCATACAACTTAGTTACGCTAAAGTCCTTAAAATGAGGAGATGTAGAACGCTTCAGAGCCTAAAGCAAAAAGAAGAAAAGGAAAAAGCGCCAAAGCAATACCCCCGTCACGTCATAATGAGGAGGCATCTCCACAAGAAAAAAGAAACCATTTAGAAGTTAGATCCTTCAGGAGGTTGAGGGATCTTCTTATTTTCCGGTTGAGCCATGAATCTAGGGAATTAGTTAGTAAATAGACTGAAAGCCATTTCTTTGCTTATATTGCTTGCCTTCTAATCTCCAGCAGAATGGTTTCCATCGTGAACTCCCTCTTCCATACAGTAAGGCGGGGTAACTTCGTCAGATCGACCTATTGACTGTTAGCATAACGTTGGTTGGTTTTCAAATAGGACATCACAACTTACTTTACCGTTTCGGGGATCGACACACGGAAGGTTCACCTTGGAAACAAAATTTATCGTGGGTGGAGAATCGGGGTAATTTTCGCCGCATTTGATATTGACACTGTATATCCGGTTCTCATGCACACTCTATTTCACCAGATGTTAAGCCGAGTTGCAAGCAATTGCTGGGGTGGGGGAATTGTGCTCACATGAGGGGGTCCTAGAATGGTCCCATTCCAATTTGTCATTGTGACGTCGTCTCCATTCGCTAAACCATAGGAACATGCTTCTACTCAGAAAGAAGTTGAATATAATTAGCATGGGGCTTGAAATTGTTCTAACTGGTAGACCAACAGGAGAACATACCTGCACCACGCCCTTTCTCTCCATTTTCAAGCTCTTCCAGGAGACGGAAGCTTCGAGGTACGACGGCGGACATGTTGGAAAACGATATGAGGAATCAGTGAGGTGTTATATCAAAAGCAGAGAGAGTATGGCAGTAAAGAAGGGGTTCGAGGTTGTCGCATGCTCGTCTATATATAAAAGTTTACCTAGGTAGGCTGAGAGGTAGAGTTAGACTCAGCGCGGGACACGTGCTGCGTCATCTCATGTGACTTCGGCCACGCTATCTACTAGCCTAGGTACCTCCCTAGGTAACTTACCTAAGGTAGTTAACTAGTTAACTAACTTATTAGTAGATATGATTAGGTAAGCAAACATGTCTTGCTCTCTAGCTAGGTGGACAAAATGCGAGATGGCCACAGTATAAACATCCCGAACATCCAGGTGCTTACCTCTGTTTCTATGATATTTAGGTGTTTGCCCGTTTCAACTATCTTTTATCTCTAACTAAACTAGTTGTTCTTCTTTACCGATGCCATATGTGGCCTGATCTTAAAGTTCTTCTGTGACTGAAACCTTAGCCTGTTCCTGCTGAGGTTGAGACGGACCGCGCCGATGACGCTGAGTGCAGTTTGATATCTGACATGACCTCCCATATCCTGCAGACGGAACTCTCAAATTTGATACAGGAGTCGAAACGGAAGAATGCAAATCTAAAAAATGTAATAATCTAACTTCCGTATTTTCAAGATGAGAGCTGCTTACATTTTGTCCAGGCAGCGGAGCAGTCCTTGACAGAGCTCAAGGGCTTACCATCAACTTCGGAAACCCAACTGGCAGCAGGTTTGCTTAAACGCTAGAAATACAGATTGATCCATATATGCTAACTTTCCAAGAGATTTAATTCGGAAGCCCCATTTCGTAAAGCCCTTTGTGATTGCTTGCCAGACTCGCCATGGCCGGCTTGCCGCAATTGGGGTGGTCTGCATCCAGAGATTGGTGGCATCTCGGGCACTGCCGCCAGAACTCCTCAGAGATGTCCTTGACGGGCTTCATGAAACAACAAACCTAGGTAATCCTTGCTCCTATTTGATAGCTGTTGTGCTAGTGCTAAGGCCATGACAGGTCTCGATGTCCAACTTAAGGTTTTGCAAACTCTAGGGTCATTATTTCAGTATTATGCGATAGATTTGAATGGACCGCTTCTCGCTAGTACTTTGGAAATATGTTCCACTCTCCAGAATAGCAAAACATCATCTGTTGCGAACACAGCGGCCGCTACAATGCAGCAGCTCGTGGTGTCTATCTTCGACAAGGTTTCGAAAACGGATGGTATGTCAACTGGTTGTCTCCACGGTCGAATTTTTATATTAATTTTGTTACTGACATTTTCGAAGCTATGCCAGACGCTGTTATTAGCTCGGCTGTAACAGTATATGACCAGCAGATCCATATATCTTCGGCAAGCCATGACGCTTTAAGGGTAAATTATGATTTGCAATGGAGCAAATATGAGTTTCATTACTAACCCTTTTTCATAGATTTTGGATGACCTCTGCCGCTTGATAGAAGGAGAAAAGTTGGAGTTCCTCAACATCAATTCACTTTCCAAGATTTTCGTGCTTGAATTGATTGAGAGTATTCTTGTCAACAACGGTCATGTTTTTGCCAAACATCCAGAGCAAGTTCAGGTTCTCCGTAACCGGTTGATGCCGTTGACCGTGAGACATCTTTCCGAGAGGTATAGCTTTCCTCTAACGGTTCGCGTGGCTAGAATATTGCTCCTTCTACTCAGGGAATATCTACCCCAATTAATATCAGAGTGCGAAATGGCACTAGGGCTTCTAATTCATTCACTTGACACTGATGCTGCGGTACCCTGGAAACGTGTTCTTTGTATGGAAATCTTCAGAGGGTTGTATTCCGACCCTGGGCTTGTCAGACTTATTTACACACTATTCGACAGCGAAGAAGGTCGCAGAAATATCGTCCGCGATCACATGGCTTGCTTGGTGAGACTGGCGTCCGAAAAGCCATCCCTTATTGGCGTTAGTCACCGATCGACTTTGCCAACGGGTACATCGACCTCAAGAAATACGATGGATGAACAAGTTGCGCTTGAGGCTGTTGCTGTCGCTGGCGTCATTGGAGGCCCATCCGCAAGAGAGAGCGCGTGTGGTATTAGTAGCCAGTGGAGTCTTGTTCGGGCGCCATATATCGAAACTCTAGACAAGATAGACGCGCCAATGCCTCCTGAAACATATATTTACAGCCTTGTCCTCAACTGTATCAGTGCGTTTTCGGAGAGCGTTGCAAAGTATATCCTTCCCTTAACGGTATCTGAATCCAAAAGCAAACGGAAACATCGAGCTTCGATCTCGAATAAAGAAGGCGACGGATCTGAACTTCAGCGTAGAAGTTCCAGTGGAGCCTCGAAGAAATTATCTGTTCCTCTAAACCCGTTGGAGCTCAAATCTCATCCCCAGATTGATGGCATTCAGGCTATCGCTAGCATGATCGACACCTGCTGGCCTGCTATTCTCGCCACATGTTCCACATTTCTCTATGCCTCGTTAGACGGGGAATTTTACCACAATCTCGTCCGATCTTTTCAGAAGCTAACCCATGTTGCTGGACTTCTAAGGTTATCTACGCCACGAGATGCCTTTCTCACTACGCTTGGGAAGGCAGCTGTTCCAGCCGATCTTGGTATCATCAGCATGCCACTCAATTCTCCTGGCACAGACTCCCAGAATGCCCAGACTGCCCAATCACCCATGCCGAAGTCCCCAATGGCCACGGACTCGTTGACTTCGGTAATTGAAAACACTGCCGCTACTCTTAGCACTCGTAATCTGTTGTGTTTACGAGCTTTACTGAATCTTGGAATTGCGCTAGGGCCAACCCTAGATCAAGCTGCATGGTCAATAATTCTCGAAACACTGCAACATGCAGAACTAATAATCAGCGTTTCGACCGTGGCTACCTCAAAGCCTACATCTGCAAACAATAGAAGCGACGTGAATGCACCACTTACCCCAGAGCCATCCAAATCCAACCTTGGTACCGAAATAATGGCGGTTGAAGCAGCAGCATCTAAAATGTTTGAGAGCACTGGAGAGTACCCCAATACTTCGTTTAAAAACCTTTTGACTGCTCTTTTACGCCTTTCTGAAAAGACTGATAATGGCATACCCGGTGTTACACGTGAACATCACACCGGACTGCCGCAATCTCCCCCATCCTCCAAGGTACCAGGGCGGATACATCAGAACAAACGCACTATTTCTATAACCCTGGGGAAATCGAGGATACAGGATGACGAGTTGAAATTCGTACTAGCCAAAGTGAACGAATTGGCAAAGTCGAATATTGAACGGCTAGTTCTCCCCGACGATGAGGAAGGAATTTGGCACACTTTGGTTGGGGATCTCGTCTCTATTACTCAAAATGCCCAAATTAAGCAGTCCCTACGTTCAAATGCAAGTCATGTTCTTGACAGCCTTGTGTTCCACTCCATCAAACTCGGAAACTTCGATGATCCGGCCAAACGGAATCAGGTCCAACTTCGCGGATTGCGCGCGTTGAAAATTCAGATCTCGACATTATATAAGTCTAATCTGGGCTCAAAGTCTTCTCAACGTACGTCCGATTTCGAAGTTCACGAGATTGCTCTTGAGACTCTAAAATTGATTCTCGAAGAATGTGGAGAGTCATTGATTGCGGGATGGGACCTGGTTTTTGACTTGATATCGAGTGTGTTTGATGATAGCGGGCTAATGTCAGGGGAGAGGGACGAACCCGCCTCGTCTAATCATGTTCACAAGAGTCAGAGAATTTTAAACGTCAAGTCCGCAAGACTCGTCAGAACAGCTTACAGCTCACTGCAGCTTGTCGCTTCCGATTTCCTTAGTTTACTATCGTCCCCTTGTCTCTTAGAGCTAGTTAGGGCATTCTCGAACTTCGCGTCACAGGTGGAAGATTTCAACATCTCCCTTACTTCTACTACCTCGTTTTGGAACCTCTCTGATTTTCTACGAAGCCAGATCGACAAGTTTTCCATCGAAAGTCATATAGAAGTCGATTCTAACGAGGAGATATTGACCACATTAGCTAAAAATTCAGATCTCCTGATTTCAAGGAACTCATTATGGCTACTTCTTCTGTTACGAATTGTCGATTTAAGCACAGATAATCGCGCAGAGATTCGTAATACTGCAATCCAGACCGCGCTGCGCATTTTTGATGCTTATGGCCACCAACTCCCGCCAAAGGCCTGGCATTTATGTCTGAATAAGGTTCTATTTGTTATGGCAGAGTCGGTACAGAAGGAAGTTCTGATGGCGTCGCAGGCCTCAAAGTTCCCTGACTCAGGGGAGATGAAAGCATTGGTCGAAACCGCTGTGATTTTGACGAAAGGACTGTCCAATTTAATTGCCGCGTATTTTGACACCATCGCACAGCATGAGGACTTTGCTCAATCATGGAAGCGACTACTAGATTTCTTCGATGCGATAATCAATATCAAACTCCTTGAGTTAGATGAATCGGTCTTTTCGAGCTTTTCGGAGGTCCTCTCACGAACGCGGGGCTACGAACAGATCAGCGTGGAATCTTTAGAGTCTGCGTGGGCTGTCTGGGTCAATGGTAACCCAATTACACGAGACGAACAGCCTGATTTAGCCGTGCAAAATCAAAATGCTTTGCTAGCCTATCTAAAAACCTTTAAGCAACTCTATCAACTCCTGAAGGACAGATTAACCGAAGGACATATTCATCAAGTGCTTAACAACTTACGAATCGCCGTTTGGGGTTCAGTGTCCTCACGATATACCCCGGATGTGGACCACCTGTCAGAACTGCAATCGCTCGCTATGGAATGCTTGAAGACAATATGCTCTGAAAGAGCTTCTTCTCAACCTGCACTTGTTACATGCCTTGCGGAGTTTTCCGATTGTGCGTTGACAAAATGGTCTGAAGGTCAAGATAGCCGAAGGCCAACATTCGTGGCATTCTCGAAGTCCGCAATGCGACTGCTTGGTTGGTATATTGCAGAATATGGGATTATCACGGATATTTTCTCGGACGGTACTTTAGTGAGAGCGCTTGAGCGTCTCTCCAACCAAATAGCTCATAAATATAATTGGAATGGAAGAGATCGTGGACCTGCCCTCTGGAGAGTGGGAACATCCGTTTCGCTCGATATTCTCCAGGTTGCTGTTCCCTATGTTGAGAAAGAACATGCCAATTCCAGCGAAGACGAACTTGTTCGTTTCTGGAACTGCGTTGTGGACATTTCAAAAGGGATCGTTTCTGCCCACGGTTACGAAAAATTGAACATTCAGTCCCACGAAATTTACGAAGATGAAGAATTTGACATAACAGCTTTCTCCCGCCTCCGTGACATCGTGATACCATCGCTTGGTTCACTTCTAATCCCGGATAAAACACGGCGTGACTTCGCCTGCGCGCTTTTCCACTCGTCCTTTGTCTACCCAGCACAGAATTCGGACCTACCCCGAGGAACACTCGCAAGAGAACCGCTGCGGGATTTATATAAAATTCGTATGGGACGTACATATGATCCGCCTCCAATCCCCCGATCAAAGATGGCCTACGTGATGATGGACTCATTATTTGACCTTGTATCAGTGCGCTCCAACAATTGTCCTTCCCACAAACAATCGGTATCGGCGTCTCCGTCGAAAGTTTCACGTCAGGACGCAACAAGTCCCTATATATTCCTCGCTAAATCCGTATCCCCGTATCTAATCCTACGTTGTGCAATATCTCTGAAATCCTACATCGCAGATCAGCCACTGCGTGGGCTCATGCCCCAACCTACACCGGCACGAAAGGAATTGCTATGGCTGCTACGTCGGCTCGTCGAGCTGCGAAGCGAACCGGCTGCGATCCCCGACGCGGGTCCTGTTGTACCGTTAGAGGGGGAAAGAGGTGGTGGTAATTCAGCGATGTACAAGAAGCATCTAGGCTGGGTGTATCCGCTCGTGGTGAAGGCGATGGGAGTTGCTGGGAAGGAGAGTGAGAATAGCAGCGTTTTGGACGCGCTGCAGAAGGTGTTGGCGACTATTTCGCGAGATCAACTTGGTGGTAGTGACGAAGATGAGGAGGAGGAGGAGGAGGACGATAGGGATGATTGATTCGCTGACTACATTAAAAATGCAGCTCAAATGGGGGTGCTAACAGTTAAACAAAACAACATAAAACTGTATGTACTTTCCCATACTAAGATTATTGCAGTGGTTACAAAGTGATCAATGGCGTGCTGTGATCGAGGAATTGAAGTACGTGCCTTCTTCCACTTAATCAGTTGTTTGCTAAGCTGGGTTTAGTTTTATTTTACGTATCATAGCATTTTTTTTTTCTTTTTTTTTTTTTTTTTTCGCCGTTGTCCAGTTCTTGTCGTCAATGGGAGGATATAAAATTTCATTGAGGTAGTTATGACCCGTTGCATTGTGTTAGTATGCGGCGTAGAGAGGTTAGCTAGCTTGATAGTATGAACCGAATAATCTATGGATTATCATAATTCATGATACACAATGTGGTTGTCCATACAGAACCAAATAAACAAGGAACAGGGCCAAAGCCCATGACCACTACGCCAATAAGTCAAGCGGCTTCCGCCGCGTACGATCGAACAATCCTTACACCCGTTTCATCCTCGCTTCTTTCCATCCACCCTCAATTACACCTGGGCCGCGACCTGCTGCTTTCCAAACGATGCCGTCTGCATATCTTTTGTTGGGCCCGCTGAGGTAGTAGGTTCGCCCTGGAGCTGTTTCTGTTGAGCAATTTGCTGCTGTGCAACTTCAGGGGTCAAGCCAATTTCAGGAGCTTGGCGGTATAGAACGATTTCAGATTGTTTGAAATATCGACGGGCATCTAGAAAAATCCCTTGTTAGCGATTGATCCCGATGACAGATTATTCCCATTTAGATTGCTAGTATGAGCGCGCTGAAGCCCCGCATATAGGGGCAAAGTGTAAATTATCGTGGGGTTAAAGGTTGTTGGCCTCTGCGCAGTGAATTGTGCATCTGGCTAGCCAAACCAGAGTTTAAGGGATACAGAGGACGTGGCTCGCTGTGAGGGAGGTGAGGGAAGAGTGATTTTTTCTACGTGGGCCTGGGGTGAAACAACTAAACGTGAAGGCCAAATTGGAACAGGCAGGTCCCCATTGCAGAGAACAGCTAATTGAATCATTCAGCTGAGCCGCGTAGTTGCTCTTTAAGAAGGGATACTTTTCACCTGCCAATGATAAAAGCTTATCAAGAAAGCTGGGTTTGGGGGATGGGGTTGGATGACGACGGAGGGTCCGAAGTGATCCCAACCAAAGCAGCCTAAGCACGAAGTCGATAACTCACCTTCGTCGATAAGTACCAAGCTAAGATAGTATCGGGTCGAATACTTCTTATTCACATCACGGAACGTCGGAGTCAAATCGAAACCGCCTAGGAACAATCGAATGGGTATCGTTTCTCCTATTCGCGCGGCAATAGTATATGTTAGCCTGATCTATATGTAGCACCATTTCAACGGTCAAACGAAAGCTATGTGGAATATATCAATAGGCCAAGGGGGTTATCAGCCATACCTCTTGATGGAGAGCCGTCCATAATCTACCAAGACCGGGTTGATTGTTAGCCAAGGTCATATAACTACCCGATTTTCCAACTGGGATATCTCGCAGGAATAGGAGCCCCGCTTTTGGTAAAGGAGAATTTAACATTACCTCAAACCGCACCAGCGTTTCGCTTTCATTGTACTGATTCGGCGGTGATCCAGTGGTTTCGCGGCGGATAATCGACAATTCCATATGTTTTATTTTCAGCCTCACGAGCAAGAAGTATATTCTCCCCACAATGACATCCTTGAGATGGTATTTCGATTTTGAATACTCAAACTCGATGTGCAAACAATCCTCAATCCCCACGTCCATTTTGATAGGGCTATTGGTCTCTGGAGGCATGCGGTACGAATAAACCCAAATATCTTTTTCCCGCACAACATCCGCTATTCGCCGGGAAACCGTCACCCGGACAAAGTATCGCAGCTTCACATTAATGCCGTTGTAAGATTCGTATTGTTTTTCAACGTTTTTGAAGTTGAAAGGGAATGTCTGTGGGTGTTGTAACTCGCCGGGGGCGGCAAGCTCTTGACCGAGGGAGAGAAATTCGTAGTGGTTACCTCGATCGAAAAACATCTCTAAACAATTCTCGTTACATTAATTAGTAAAAAAAGATATTTAATTAAACAGATATAAAAGGTAGAGGGACTGGCGCATGTCTGTCATACCAATTGTTCCGATAAATTGGACCTTGATGCCCGTGTGCTCTAATCGTTTCCCATCCTTAGGCCGCACCGTTACTGCTCCCTTCACGGATTCGCCATCCATATACAATGGTGCCTTCTCCCTCCTGTTCTTGTCCAGCTTGATATCGACAGTTTCTCGTTCATCGCTATCCTCCAAGACGACGTCGATATCGACAGGGGTGGAAAAGAAGAACGACGACATGACGCCGGAGGAAGGATGGTGGGTATATAAGTCGAGTCGTAGGGTAATGCCAGGTATTAGTGCGCGAAGTTATCTATAGAAACAACAGTCAATTGCCGGTTTGTTATACATATCACTGTTATAAGGCGCTGTTTTGCGTTGGATTGTTTATCCCGCATTGTTGCGGGCTCGTGGCGATGAAGCTTATCCAGCAGCCTGCCAGCAGGCCTGATTATATAATCTCATGACGCTCTCTCTTCATTTAATATTCATTATTGTTCATTCACACAATCCATCGACAAAGCAAACCTTCAGCACAATTCACCGCAGTTGACTCTGAGGATGGTCGCGCCGCTCACTGGCACTAGAGAATAAGGCTCGTCAAGATATATCAATTTTGATGCTGGTTGAGCCATCTAAGTAAATATACCATGTATCCGCAAGCTTGTGGTTGTGATGCGTTTTACCTACTCAAGCGAATCTAGCTGCCCCTAATGAGTTTCCAAGCTCGAACCCGGAACAATTGCAATGGTTGACTGCCCTGACCGCCGTTGCCTCCAAGAATATTGTTTAGTGCCAGCAAGATACACCAGGCACCCGCCAAGACGTGTTCAGCAATTTGATTGTCTCTTCTCATTTTCCTGGGTAACTCCCTGGAAATTCATACCCAGTCGAACAGCCAATCCCGCGTCGGATACTCCAGACATGGGGATATCGAGCTATTTTGAACCCTCGAATTGGGAGATGCAAATCTAAAACGGAGACGAGCATTCGGGGCTGGCTATGGCTTAGTGATGCCATTCTGGTGTCGTTCTCCAAATGAAATTGATAGCAAATAAACTTGCCTGGCCCATCATCCATTTGGGTGCGAGAAACCATGAGCCAGAATTGAGAATAATCCCCGATGGCGGGGAGCCACGGGATGCGATAGGGGTGCAAGGAATACAGCAGCCCATGTTTGCAGTAGTCCTTGCCTTCAGTCAGGGTGATGTCAGAGATATTTACAGAAGTTGGTCGGATTAGTCTAAGAAGGGCTGTTCTTGAGCTAAATTTAAATCCTTTGCAGGTCACCGCATTTGAGCCTTCTATGACACCCCTACGCTCCTTCTCGGCCGTTCATTTTTAGGATGAGAATTTGTATTTGCAGCTTGCGCGTGTCCTGTGCCAACCATGAACCAGCAGGTGTAGTGCCAATGTCCAGTGGAAACGACATTAGGATACAAACACGCTCGCTTGCAAATGACAACATCTTTCAAGTGACATTCTAAACGCGATCAAGCAGGTGAACCTGCAAAGTCACAATCCAGTTCCAATACTATCGATTGATGCCCAACTATCCTGCTGGCGTCCTAAAGAACAGAGTATATTATTGGCTAAACAAGGGTTGGGCAATCCAAACCCGAAAGCGCCGAAGCTTCTACCCCGCATTTTTCAGGCGCATCGCAAGCATTCTCGTGTGTGGAGGAGCAGCTCCGATGAAAGCGCGAGTAAAGTCGAATTAACATGTACTACTGGGCATGGTTAAAAGTGGAAAGTCTGCGCGAGAATGAGACTGTCCAACTCCCCCCAGCCTCTTCAAAAACGTTGGAAGAACATCGCCTGATCAGCGATTCTTCAGAATTGAAAATGTGGAAGAACGATAAAAAAAAAAAAAAAAAAAAAAAAAAAAAAAAAACAAAAAAAGAAACCAACCAGTAGAACTAAGAGCCATAATTTTCAAAAGCCAGTTCCTCACTGTCACCTACAATGAGGGGCAGGAACAACTCAGTTAACCCCGCATCAAGTTTGAAATGTGGCCTTTGAACAAGGCCCAACACTGCCCCAATGACACTCGTTGAAAATATTCTGGAGCGCATTATTGTGCGTGTGGATCAGATGGGCCAGATCACAATTAGTGTTTTCTCCCTGCCACTGCAGGGTGCTTGTCACGCACCCCGCCATGTAGAGGAGTAGTATCTCTCCTATCCTACATTAATAAGAGCTGATCCCGCGAGGGACCGCGGTGTGCGTATCGCTTTGACATTAGGCCTCAAAAGCTGGAGATGCATGCGTTTATCCGTGTGCCTTCGACGGAAATGTATGTACATACAATGCCTGATATAGGTCTAGTTACAAACTTTGCCTGATCGCCCGACAGCTAGGACGAAGAGTTAGTAGATGCGCCAAAGATTTGTTTGTTTCCCAAGGAGTTGACTTCATTTCTTGGAAGCTTGAGGGGCTGCGGCTGGAACCCTTGCTGAATCCTGGTAGTAATCGTCTGCATGTATATGTATAGGACATGGTAGATTTCCAGTTCATCCGCGCTAAGAGTGCGGAGCACTGCGGGTTGCTGCATCCCCGCAATATTCTTCAATTGATCCAAAATCGTGGCTGGTGAACGTCAATCTCGGCAAACGAAGAGGAAAACGGCCATACTCTGGAATTCTAATAATTGTCCTCCGCAATGACATTGAGAGAGGCGAGGCTGGAGGGCTATGGGGTAAGGCGGCTGTTGGGCTGCTCAAGTTGCAATTAACTACTCCGTACCTAGGATCTAGTTGACTGCTGAAGTTGTAGCAAAATGGGCCTCATCTCTCACCACCAAGCTGTGAGCTAGCAAAACCAGACAGCCCCAGTTATGTATATCAGTTGCGTCGATAAGGCACACTCAGGCTGATATCTGTGAGACCTGCTGGAGAACTGATGGACAACTCGGCCCCTCGATGCTGCCTCAAGTTGTACGTTGGAGCAGCTTCGCACCCCAATGACAGTGTCCGATTAAAGCAAGGGGCTGCATTGTCGAATTGGCGGCTCAAGAGAAAGATATCAATCACATTTTCGCACATGAAGCTCTTCCAAGCACCTCATTCAAATCAGTCGCAAGGGAAGAGTTTTCGAGGCTTCTCCAATGATGCATGTCGCGTATCCTTGCCTGGCCCAGGTTCTATGAAACGATCACAGAACCATTCCAGCCAGTGAGTCATGATCCCGTTTTTTAAATATGCGGCAGCCTAGGCATCAAACAACCCCGGAACAACGTTGTCTTGATGATGTCGTGATACTTACTAACGTAGATCGAATGAGCGTGCGTACATGGTAGTTTGCTATCGAAACGAGGGGGCAAATTTCCAATTTCGTCATAATATTAAACTGTAACTAATAACTAGCTGAGAGAATTCTCCAGCACGCAAAACAGTCTTCGACCAGCCGGGACCGTTATGATCATTTCCCCCCCAAATCTCCCATCTGCTTGCGAAGAGTGACAGGTCACATATAAGTTACGGTCCGAAATCCCGGCTCTCGCATCCCTGACTCCCGCGACTAATTTTAGTGTGGGGTTTGACTTAAGTTAACTTAGTTAACCCTGGAGAGGCGTTAAATATGCACTAAAACTACCTGCCCTCCCCATTGCATTGCATCAGGCTGCATCAGACTGCACCGTCAGACTTCATCGACCAAGCATGCTATGGTTGTATGATTGTTTGCGCGCTCGCTGGTTAGAGTCTTTCTCTGTTGGAAGGGATCCGTTGTCAATTGCCAGCTAGTGCCCAAGAACTCGGTTGGATCTCGATGGCATCTTGGCTCCAAACCCGAAGTAGCACTAGGTGGTGCAATAGTTAAGTTAGTTAGTTACTAGTTAGAGCAAAAGAAAAAGCAAAAAATAAAAATAAAAATAAAAATAAAAATAAAAAATAAAATTTAAAAAAATAGAGCAAGTCACCCCCGCTCTAGCTCTGGCCAACCATTGCCATGCCCGTCTGAGTAACTTATTATTATTCAAGATTAGTTATGACTCCCGCTTGTTCATCTCTTATTATTGGCTCCGGCTCACCAACGTCACGTCACAGGCTTGCTGTGAGGTTCAAACCTGACAGGATTTTCCCCCTCGTGTTGCTCGAACTCCGCCCACCTCGGTCCACTTGATCCCAGCTTGATCCCAGCTTGATCCCAGCTTGATTCCTAGATGAGATGGCTATTGGGCCCCGATCGGTTTGCTCCTTTTCTTGAAGCAGAACGAGCATCGATTTTCTCATCTTCCACATATTATTCTGCGGCTTACGGAGGGAGTGCTTTCATGCCCAACCAACCAACATTCATATCAACCGGGGGGTTCCTGTGTCCTGTAACTGCATGTCACTCTCCTGACTTCCCCATATCTACAGCGGTCTTGTCATAATTATCCAGTTGTTATTATTCGCCGAGGCTTTATGCTTCATCACTGCCCATCAACACCATTTATTGGCTCCCTGGGTGTCCATTGTTGGGATAGGATATCATCCATATTTGCCTTTAGAACATCCAGGTGTTGGAATGCGATGGCTCCAGGGCGGGCTAGGGGAGCTTAAATATCAAGCTATCCCGCCCCAGGGGGGTCCGGAGCTTTGCTGTCCCGCTCGATCGCTAAAATAATAATAATAATAAATGGAAGTGGTTCGGGTCTCGTATATAGTAACTTAACTAGTTGAACTTAGCCCCTTCCGCTCGCGTGCTTCCCTTCCCCGTGAATCCGCCGCCTGGATCTAACGCCCTTTCGTGGGTTCTGAAGCCCAAGCTGGCCTATCAAATCCCCACTCGGATCTTTGCCGGGTCCCAGAACCGTGACGGCGGGCCCAAAAAGTAGCTTGAATAAGTCCCCAAATTACTCCGTAAGTTACTATTCCAAGGCTTATATTATTATTATTATAACTTAATACTTCCCCACATTTTCGCCGCCTGATATTTGGCATATATACTCCTCCCCAGGTTACCTTACCCTATCCTCGTCGCGGGGGCTCTTCTAACCTTTTGTGTGAAAAAAAAAAAAATTAAAAAAAAAATCTGGTGAACTAAACATAACTAATCTATGCTCTTAACATCCATCATTCCATAATTCCCTTGTGACCAAAGATCCCTCGTCATTATTCTCCCCTACCTACGGAGTACTCTAAAACAACACTCTCTTCGCGGACTCTGTCTTGTTTTACTCCTATTATTCGACTCTCTCCGCCAAGGCCCTTTGGTCGCTGGTCTTGTTATTTCTTGAGCCATCAGCCCGCTTTTCATTGATTTGCTGAGCGAGAATTCCTGGCGTTTTCATTTATTTTGGAAGCCCAGTTGTGACAAAATTCCCAACGGAAACCATCCATCAACTGTTTTGCCAGACAAATTTCACTTCAACCAAACCAAGATCTTCATCAAACTCAAAACTCAAAAAAAAACTAAGTCACAACTTTAACCCCGCCATCATGTTGTCCGCCGCACAAGACACCAACCGCCGACGTGTGCATATGCACCCTACAGCTACTACTGGTATATCCCTTAATTCACAACATACGCCTATCTCACGATGCAACCCTATGTCCAATATGCCGTATCAAAGACAGCAAGGAGCCACGGAGCAAGCCATGCGAGCACCAAACCAGGATTTACAACATATCTGGATCATCACAGGCCCTGCAGGCTGTGGGAAAACGACTGTTGCCAAAAGTCTAAGTAAGAAGCTGCAGGTGGAATATATTGAAGGTGACGATGTAAGTGCAACCTGCCCTTCTTACCTGGCCCGACCACCAAAAAAAGATGTCGCTCCAGAAACGAAGTGGTCCTTTAAACCCTGACAACAATGAAAACAGTACCACCCAGAAAGCAACAAGCAGAAAATGAGAAACAACATACCCTTGGATGACGGTGACCGCTGGGACTGGCTAATCGCTCTTCGTGATGCTGCTATAGAGTCTCTTCAAACACGCTCAGCCGTCGTGGTGACATGTTCCGCCTTGAAGAAGAAGTACCGTGACGTCATCCGTGTTGCCGCTTATAACCACCCGATGGTTCAAATCCACTTCATCTATTTAGACGCCGAAGAAGACGTTCTTGTCCAGCGCGTTACAGCGAGGAAGGGCCATTACATGCCGCCTACCATGGTCCATTCGCAGTTCCAAGCGCTGGAGAAACCGGTTCCGGGGTCAGAAGGGGATGCGATCACTGTTTCGTGCGACGCCAAACCGAGTGTGGTGCAGGATCGTGTAAATCGCGAGGTGAATCGAATCATGGAGCAGAGGACAAAATAGACGTTTGGAGGCTTCTCGGGACTACATGCGAAGAGCGTCGTAGTGTCCCTCCGCGCCCCTGATCCCCTCCTCCTTCCCCACCCCCCCGACCATGGACAGAAATGACGATTGGATGCTGCTTCCTTCCTGCGCTGCAAATTGAATGCGAAGTTGAAGCAGGGCTGGGTTGGGTTGGGTTGATGTTTTCGGGATAACGCCACCACACTCCGTCCTCCCGACTTCGATTTGATCATGGTCCATTACCCGTGCGAAAGGGACTTAAATCTTCTTCTTCTAGTGATGGCACAGTTGGCTCCCAGCTTCTGAGGACCGAGGACCGAAACAGGCTGATCTTGGAAATTTCACATGGCACAATTCCAATCAACTCGATACCAACAACTGTATCCGGATTAATCCAATCCTCATAGAACTACCACATTGCCGACGAGCCTTTTTTCTTTCTTTCTTTCTTTCTTTCTTTCTTTCCTTCTTTATATTTTTAATAAAACTTTTAATTTTCCATCCCGTCGCCCTTTCCCTATCTCCTCTTGCCCCAGTTCCTCGCATCAAATATCAAATATCTTTTGGTTAAAGTTTTATTCCTCTGTCAAGCAGCGAAGAAAGCGTGTCTCTTATCATCTCTGTTTTACTTCCTCTGTCTGGCCAGCCACATTTTTCGTTCCCTATATCCTGATTTTTCCTCGTTCTCGTTTTCCTTTTTCCTTTCCCCCCCTCTTTTTTTTTTTTTTTTTTTTTTTTTTTTTTTTTTTTTTTTTTTTTTTTGCAAGGCGTGTTTGGGCGTATTCAATCTAAACAAGGGCAAATTTCCTAACCCTAACGAGAAGGGCAAGACGGGGTCCACGGGTACACGGTACTGTGTTTCGGCGCAGGAAAGACTTTGGAAAGAAGCAATGTTGGAAATTAGCATCGGTCTGTGTTTTATTTTTTGTTATCTTTCTTCGTTAGTTACCTTTACCTAGGTTTTTCACCCTATTTTGCCTGCCGCTTATCAGCTCTTGTACTTTCTTCTACTGTTGTTTATTCAATAAATCAAAGACTTGAAAATATATATATATATCAATCACAGAGAAGAAGCAAAGCTTAGACCACTCGTTCTATCTGGCACGCTACTCTGTCTCCCTCACCTCACCGCCTAAGGCTATCTATCCTTTCATAAATGATCTATCAGTACTGAATATGGGATATAAATCTTGCTGTACAAACACTGCATTCAATAAGACAAGCAACAACAACTCAAATAGAATTTTATCGTCATCCTCAACGCCATGCAGCAAACTAGGCATATACACACATCGCAACGCTAGGGAATACGAGGTGGCCAGGTCCTCCGTAAAAATCTTCCCGTAGCTCGATCTTCCTCTTCCATATCATATCGTCAAGCATGATCGTAAATTCCTCATATATATTACCTCCCTTCGTACATTCATCTATCGAACGGGTAACTTATTGATTGGGTGGGAACCACTCATTCTCTTTGTTAACCGGACCTCAAAGCTTTAAGAGGCCTGTGCATGTTCATATGTAGAACTGAAAAACAATGTGTCGTACATCCACCCTTCGTTAGGCAGGGGGGGTGGTTGGTTTGGGGAAAGTGTTAAACACAGCTGGGAGAAAAAGTAACAAAAAGCCTACTACTCTACTTCGCGCTTTTAAACAATTACAGAAAACATATGCTTTATATTAAGCTCTATATACAAACCAAAAGACAAGGGAAATACACACAAAAAACAACAACAACAAAAAGAATGCCTATCTGAGAGCCAAAATCATCGACTCAGGCTCCTCCAAATACAGCCTAACCTTCTCCGCCATCCGTGCCATCGTCGCCCCATCCACAACTCTATGGTCCGCACTCCAGCTGAAATTCACCTTCTCGCCCTTAACCACGTTCCCATCCTCGTCGAAGACGGGGACTGTCTTGGCCCGTCCAATGCCAAGAATCGCAACCTCGTTCGGCACAATGACAGGACCAACATAGGTGCCGCCAATATTACCGATGTTGGATACCGTGATGGTTCCACCATTCAAATCTGCGAGGGTCAATTTGCCTGCGCGAGCCACTTTGCGGAGGCGAGTGAGTTCTGCGGCAATGTCCAGGATGGAGCGGACTTGGACGTTTTTGATATTAGGTACTAGAAGACCTGTTGGAGTGTCCATGGCCACGCCGATGTTGTGGCTTGATCGCATGACGAGGGCGGGCTTGTTGGGATTGGTGGTGGTGTCTACTCTTGCGTTTAGGAGGGGGTAGGAGTTCAGGGAGAGGGAGACGGCTTTGATGATGAAGGGGAGGTAGGAGAGTTTTAGTGGTTCGGTTCGCTGTGATGCAAGTTTCTTGCGGATGGAGGATAAGGAGCGGATGTCGAGTTCATCGGCGTAGAGGAAGTGAGGAATGTTTAGAGATCGGGTCATTGTCTTGAACATTTGGAATTGAATTGAAGTTAATGGTGTTGTGGTCTCGGTTTGTGGGGTGCTGATGTCCAATGAGGGTTGCGTAGGCTGAGATGCTGATGGCGCAGCGTCCCGCTCCGCCACGTATCGGAGGACATCTTCCTTCATAACTCTTCCATCCTTGCCGGTTCCGTTTACTTTTAGAATATCCACCTTGAGCTCCTTCAACATCCCACGAACGGCCGGGGTTGCAAGAGAGGCATATTTAGATGGGGGAGGTGTAGCTTGTACAGCAGGTTCTGGTGGTGCTCCTGCAGCCGCGGATACACGAGGGGCTTCTGCAACCACCTGCTCTGGTGTCGGAGTGATTGGCTCGTTAGCTGGTGGCGGGTGAGGAGCGTTTTCATCTGGATATTTAGACTCGTCCACATCGATGTCACACAAAGCCTTTGCATCACACGTTAGTTACCCTGTGTGTCATGTATTGATTCGACTTCATCGATTTCGGACTTCTTTCCATACCATTCCTGTAGGCACTGTATCATCTGCCTGAAAGTGCAGCTTCTTAATGACCCCGTCGTATCTCGATGTTATCTGCAGACATTTGTTAGCATGAACCGGGGATCTGGCGGTACGGATTGGCTCAAGTCAAGAACACCTACATCGTCAACTGCTTTGTCGGACTGATATTGACATAGTGGCTTCCATTCCTCAATCTTCGCCCCCTCCTGCACATACCATTGTATAATCTGGATCTCGGTGATTCCTATATAAGCCATCAGTTAGCACGATGTCCTTTTGTTCCCGGAATCAAATCAAAAGAAATAGCATACCTTCACCCACATCCTTCAAAATCTGAGACCTGATAGCGCATGGTGCAGGGGAAGGGTGAAATCGCCGGCGGGGAGAATAGCAGCTGGGGGAGATACGAGAAATAGATGGGACCAGGCGAGCTGGAGAACTGCTTGAAAGAAGTGCCTGGGCAAAAGGTCCTCTGCAGCGTAAAGGCATCATGTCGCCGGTTGGATATAAAGAGGAAATGAAGCAATTGAGAGGACGCCGGCCTCTTTTAAGCAGGAGAAGTTCTCGATGCGTTTCTCCGCCGCCGAGTGCTCGGCTATGGTGGACAACCGCCGACAGTAGCCGTGCTTGCCTCGTCATGTGACAGCACTGAACTGCCGGGGGAACAAGCGATAAGATGTGTCTTATAAATACAGGTAGTTAAAGGTAATATCGAGGCACAGTATATCATAGGGGCAACGTGTAATGGCTGTATTGCCAGAACGTGCCAGACGAGACGGGGGCTTCATGGCGTATCCATTGGTGCCGCTGGTAAAGACAGCTTTTGGGCAAATTCTCAACTCCCGGAGATATATCACCATGGCAAAGCAGGATTGCTAGTTGAAGCGCTGATACCCCACTTGAAGATGAGAGACAGCATGGCTTCAAGTCAGGTCGAGGGGACCCCTGTTTACTTGTGCTTAAGTCAACCAGTAGCTGTGTCGACGGGAAGTAGTAGAAGTCGGTAAGGAATTTGATATTCAGCCTGAAGCCCGACATAGCTAACGGGTCAAAGCAGGTGTGGATGTACGAGATAGGCTGTTGATGCTCAGACGGGTCGGACGCAACTCCAGTTCTACCTAGCCCAACTACTTCAAGTTAATTATGGTTGCACTGAGCTCTCTCATTTTGCTGAGAGCGCGTTGTTAGGTCCTGGCTCTGTCCAAAAATCTGCTGCCGGAGGCCTGTGTTGCTACATCTCTGACACCCTTACCAATCTGGAGATCACTTTGCCTCCCAAGTGATGGATTCTTAGCCCGGATGAAGTTAACTGGCGAAGAGGGCTAAGGAAGAGAGAGTTGGAAAGGAGGCAGGCGCTTAGAACTGCGAGTTGAAATTTCGTGCAGTAAGTTTCAATCGTAACAATTTGTGATCTTTGAGCTGGAGAACATATAGGAAAGTGGAGTATGGCCTCTCCCTGGTAGCTATGATTGCAGAAGTAGTTATTGTGTCTAATATGAATACCTAACCCAGAAGCACATGAGTGAGAATTTATACAGTAGTTTACATTTACCCCCCTGTCCGAGCCAGGATATCTGTACACCACATACATGAATCATCCTTTGTATGCCGACTCGTATGACAAAAAAGACCGCAGGTAGAAGAACCCTATAGCCTCCTTTTATTTCGTTTCTTTACCACACTTTTGAAACTGTCCCCGTCCACTAGATGGATGGTAGTGTTTGCAGAGTTGACGTCTGTCACACAACAAACCCACAAGGACGGATGGGCACCGGTCATTGCTTCCGATCCTGTTCCTCCCGCCAGAGATCTAATGCATCCTCCCAGGTTACAGATCCCCCACCACATCGCTCCGTAACCAAACCCCACGTCCTCGATCGTATAATGCGTTCAACCCCCCTTTCATTTCTCAGCAACATAGCTAGCGATTCCGTCCTGGATTCGCGCGGGAAAAATCTGGCCGAATACGGATCCAATCGCTCGTCGACCACCCTCTCTCTATCCTTTGCTGATTCCCCCAGGCGCAGTAGGAGATCTGGGTCGTGTGGGTCAGGACTCGTCGCCACGCCAGCGCAGTAATTCAGGACGTCGGAGCGGTTTTGCCAGGAGGGGAAGAGAACATCATTTTGGAACGAGCGGCATTTTTCTGGCTCTATCTGGCCCTTATTTCCCAAATCTGTTTGTCGGGTAGTTGTCATACTAGGGTCGAACCCTTTCTGTGCTGGGGTGAGGAGGGCATTTAGATTTTGTGTAATGGAGTCGTCTATTGTGGATCGGGAAATGCGGAGGAAGTCTAGCGGTTCATGCCAGTGAAAGATATATCCGTTAGTTTTTAGTTTTATCTTATCATTTTTATGCTTTACATATCTGATGTGGTTGGGTTTGTTTGGGGTTGTGTCAAATGTGAGAAGGCGGCATTTACCTCGAAGGGCCCGCTCGTTGAAACAGAATTGCGGAGACAGAGTTGGCTGAGAAGGAGCCCGGGACATTTCCCCTTTTGCCGGTGGCAACGGTTGGTCGTCTGAGGGAGATAGCTTAGCCCAAAACCACTCCGGCATGAATCTGTTTGTGATAGCTCGAACTGTTGATAGCTGGCTAGTTGCGGGTTGGATTTTGTTGTATCCGGGAGATCATTGAAGTTGCGTTTGATTCAAAAATAAAAACCCCAATGACTTTTTTCTATATTGTAGTGAAACATGTAACAAGAATATTTAAATATTTAGCTAGGAAATTGTCGGCAAATTGCATGGAGCCCCATAACGACGTCAGGTCACCTGACTGCGTGTTGCGGAAGAACGCGTCCCACTTTCTTTCCTCTCCGCCGGAAGAAATCCATTCTTCTGCAAGACTCATCATACCCGGCGAATCGATCAAACTCTCGAATTCACCGCAGATATGTCCCAGGTCCGGATCTCCCAAGCTTGCCATTCCAGATCATCCATGCTGGGGTTTAATTCTGCATGTCCGTGATGACTAATCCCTGCTAGCTTTTTAGCCTGGATGCCGTCTGCCTTGAGTACAATAAATACGATATGAACACCGCGCAGCCAGAGTGCTTCTGATATTCCTCATATTTTCTGTTCACTGGCTTTCCCCAAATAGACCTAACTTTATCAGGATTTGTATGCTTTTTTTGGACGAAATTAAGCAATATTTGGCTATCATACGCTCCCCCAAAGCTCGGAGACACGCATCAAAACTTTTACCTTGATACCGATTGAGGGTCAGGCGCAGTCATTCAAATTCAAATTCATATTTAATATAACACAGACATCGGCCCTCCAGACACACCTCAAGTTTCGTCTTAAATTGCTGCAATCATGCCTGAGCTAGCCGAAGTGGCACGAATTGTCCACTACATTCGCAAGTATCTAGTCGGCAATACCATCACCAAAGTCCACGTCCAAGATGACCCAATCGTCTTTGGCAAAGCTGGAACAACAGCTGCGGAGTTTAAGAAACATATGGAGGGAAAGAAGATTGTGGGCTCGGGACAACAAGGGAAATATTTCTGGATAACCATGTCCTCCCCGCCTCATCCTGTTATGCATTTTGGCATGACCGGTTGGCTTAAGTTCACAATTATGAACACGCATTACAGGCGAACCACAGCGGCGAATAATGAGGAATCGCAGTGGCCGCCCAAGTTCTGGAAATTTATACTCCAGATTGACGATGCCTCGAAATCCGAAACAGCGTTCGTTGATCCACGGCGACTTGGCCGCGTTCGCCTAGTCAACTGCCCTGGAGCCGATATTAGAAAACATAGCCCGCTGAAGGAGAATGGGCCGGATCCTATTTTGGATAAACATATTATGACGTTGGATTGGTTGTCGAGAAAGCTGGCGAGCAAGAAAGTTCCTATCAAAGCCTTACTACTCGACCAATCAAATATCAGTGGAATTGGAAATTGGATGGGGTTCGTTCGCTCCACATATATATACCCATTGCCTTTTTGACGGAGCGTAATCTAACTAACCAAAATTCTTCTACTACCAGAGACGAAATATTGTACCATGCCAAAATCCACCCAGAGCAGTACAGCAACACCATCGAACAGGGCCAGATCGAACAGCTCCATTCGGCAATCAGCTATGTATGCTCAACTTCCGTTGATCTCCTGGGGGATTCCGAGAAGTTTCCAGCCGACTGGCTGTTCAAACATCGGTGGACTAAGGGGAAGCAGAAGCATTCGCAAAGGCTACCCAATGGCGACAAAATCGTTTTCATTACCGTTGGTGGTCGCACCAGTGCTGTAGTACCATCTGTACAGAAAAGGACAGGTCCAGTTGCAGGAGATGTGGAAGATGAGGCTACGGAGATCGATGAGCCACCGCCCCCTAAAAAGAAGAAAGTCGCTACTACAAAGAAGCTAAGCAGAGGAGCGGCGAATGACGACGAGAAACCTTCCACCACCAAGAAAGCTACGACTAAGTCAAGGGCTGAACCAACGGTAAAAAATGAAAAGGAGGTTGCAGCTCAGACTGAAGCGCCATCCGCCCCCAAGCACGGGAGATCCTTACGTTCAAGAAAGTAATCAGGGAGGAATTCAGTTGCATATTTGATAAATCAAAGCACAATAATCGAGACGTTAGCCGGGTTCGCTATTTCATAATTCGTGAGCCATATATCCTTCGTTCAGTAGTTTGCCTGCCCATGGCTGAACATCTCCCCTCATCTATTGTCCGTGTTTTCTTTCGTTGGTTAGTCGTCGATATAAAACACAAGACGATCTATAATAGAGGAGTGCGCAAAACTATCCCCTGCTATGAATCAAGGGTATCTGGGTATACATATCAACCTTAAACAAGCACTCCATTTAGTCTTCGATAAAACACCCCAAAATTGCCGTCCCCGTCTTCCCCCTCACCCCGATCATCCATCACAGCAAATATGATACTTTCCCACCACCCACCACTGAATTCCCGTTCCTGAAAGACCTCAGCCCAACAATCCGCTACCTCCTCCTTCGGATTTGCGAACGCTCCACAACCCAGGGCCCCCAACACCAATCTCCGGTGTTGATTCACTACCGCAGTCCGCAGAGCCACTCTCATCTTCTCCTTCATGATTTCGCGATCGGTAGGGTTTTTATAAACCTGCCTAACTCCCAATCCTGGCACTTCCCTCGTCCTAACATCTGGTACACAGAGCGCTGCTACACTAATCACACTGACAACGGGCAGCTTGTCCGGCTGCGACAAATCGAGCAGCTTATGCTCGCCTTCATCCATGTTTGCCCGAATCACTAGCACTGTCGGGGAGTATATCGCCCCCATCTCCGGAAGCGGATAATAGCGTAACTTTAAAGAGAAGCTGAGACTGCTTCGATAACAGAGCGCTTCTTCCTGCGCCAAAGCCCCCCGCTTCCAGCCTCCGCCTGCATTGTGCGCATTTGCCATGTTCAGCACACATACTGGCTTTTTGTCCTTAATAGTGATGAACTTGGAGCATTCTTCTAAGCCAATGGCTGTGTCGAAGGTGTCTGCGTCGTGGATGCGGATGGCAGTGGGAGGAAGGTTCGGACAGAAGTGATGGGAGAGGCGGGGCGGCTGTGGAGGGGCGTACAGGTATCCCTTCGGAGGGGCATGAGGAGCGGTGGCAAGGATATTGGGGAGTAAGGAGGTGGTTTCAGCAGCTATGGCGGAGAGTTCCTTGCGGCGGGCTTGAATTGCGCGTTTCCGCTCTAGGCCCGCGTCGTAGCTTGAATCTGTGGATGTGCTGATGTTGGATACCTCCTGTGACTGCAGTCTGGGTGGAGTAGGTTGTATATCCTCCATCCTGTCTTGGGAGTCATTCGAAAGGCCGTTTGCTACATCGCCGTTTGGGGACTGGCGGACGAAATATGGGGAGCGGGAGGTCCCGAGATCCCGTCTCCGCTCCGGGTGGAGATTGAGCACGGTCTGCACCAGTTTGCGATTTGGAGGATCGGCCATCCTCAATAATATTTAATTGGGATAGCAAATTCAATGGGATTTAACAGACTAGTAGCATGCCGCACTCAGAGTCTCCCCGGATAAAAGAGATATGCCCAGTATTTAATTGCGAATGGACCAAGTCAGGGTTCGGGTTGGAGGCTGGCAGGTGCCTCAAAGGCGGTGAGCGCGATAAGAGATTCTGCCGGCAGAAAAACAGGCTTAGTTATCTAAGCGGTAAGGCCAGAACAAACCCATACCGGAAGAACGTAGGGTTAGACTGACCGTGTGACCGTGTCTGGGACCAGGACCAGAATATTTGATGGTCTCATTACCAATTCAACTGATCTCATTACACTGTTTTAACATTAGATAGTAGTTTCATACTGTTTCAGTGAGACTTACTGTCTACTCTTATCACATTTTTCAAATAAGATTATGATTTCACTTCTTAATTTAAATTATTTTTATTGCTTTAAATGACTTTAAATCTTATTTAAGTGTTATTAAAAAGCATTACTTTTTAAAAAATTAAAAATAGTCTAAAAAAAACCTTAAAATGTCTAAAAATAGTAACTTTATATTAAGAATAAGACTAAATGAAATCAAATGAAATCACTTTCTTATTTTTTTTAAGTCATGATTTCATTTTAAAATCTGATATATAGTTACTTTATATATTTTTTTAATAATTAATCTCAGTGAGATTTATATCAAGAAATGTATGAGATCAGATCAAATGAAATTAAATATGAAATTTATAATCTTAGTAGTCAGTCTATGTAGAGTTAATTGTTTATTATTATTATTATTATTCTTTAATTATAGATATATATAGTCAGAGACTATAATATCTATCTGAGAACTTTTAGTTCTTAAAGTTTTTCTAATATCTATAAAGTTAACTATTAATTATACTTAGACTGACTGCTGAGATCATGAATTTCACATTTAATTTTATTTAATCTGATTTCATACATTTCTTAGCATAAATTCTGCTGAGACTAATTATTAAATAAACATGCAAAGTGACTATATATCAGATCTCAAAATGAAACCATGACTTGAAAAAAATGAGAAAGTGATCTCATTTAATCTCATTTAGTCTCATTCTTAGCATAAAGTTACTATTTTTAGACATTTTAAGGTTTTATTTAGACTATTTTTAATTTTTTAAAAAGTAACACTTTTTGATAACACTCAAATGAGATTTAAAGCCATTTAAATCAATAAAAATAATTTAAATTGAGAAGTGGAAATCATAATCTCATTTGAAAAATGTGATAAGAGTAGACAGTAAGTCTCACTGAGACAGTATAAGACTACTATCTAATGTTAGAACTGTGTAATAGAATCTGTCAAATTGACAATGAAACTATTAAAAATTCTGGTTCTAGTCTCAGACACAGTCACACAGTCAGTCTAATTATGCTATACTTACTCACTCTCTCTAATAAGTGTATCACAGTGTAGCCCCAGTGGCCGAATGATTAATGCGGCCACCTGGTAGCGCCTTGGCATGGGAAATCAAGGCGCGTGGGTTCGAAACCCGCAGGAGATACATTAAATCCGGAACTTAAGCACCTCAGGTTTCTAATAAATACAGAGATGTACAAATCACTTCAATGAATTGCTCTATGTTTCTGGGCTGAAAAGTTATTATTGTATGTATCTAATTGTCACTTCTTTGTATTTTCCTATGTTCTTGTTATCTTGATATGATCTCAACACCTGTATTTCCTTCTGTATAATCAACACTTGACCTGTATTTAACATCACGCAAGAACTCATCATAAGCTTCACTTGTATATGAGTATAATGAAAGAATAATAATAATAATAATAGTATCACAGTGTATGAAAAATTATACTATACAGAAAATATTTTCAATATCTTTATTCTTTATTTTCAAATAATAATTATTAATTATAATCATGTTTAAATCTTCTAATTACACTGAGAAGCAGTTGCAAAGAGCTGTTAACATATATAAAAGTAATTTAAAATTAAAAATCACATCTCTGTTATAAGAATTCAAAGTCTTATATATTATCTTATATAAGAGAATTAATGAGAAGAAATTAAGAACTATAAGAGTTTCACTGAATAGAGTATTGAATAACAGTTAGAAAGAGATAATTAAGATATAAATTTATTAGTTAAATATTAATTTTTACTCATTTATTATTAAGTATATTGAAGTTATTATAAACTGTATATTAAGATAGTATTATATAGATTCAGAGACTGCATCTCTTATAGTAAGTAAGATATAAGTATATCAATTTATCAAACATCTGTCAGATTATAAATGAATTAAGCAAAAGCTTATAAATTTAAAATAAGTGTTTTGTGAGAATATAAGCTTCATTATTAACTGATTTAATTAATATAAAGCTATCTTTAATTAATATCATTTTTTTCACTGTGATATCTACAACTTTGATGAGATTGAATTTCAAGAAGAAGAAGAATATGAATAGTGAGTTATAACTATCTTTAGAGATATGAATTCTATTATACAGTTATTATACTTCTGTGAGTTAATAATAGTGATAATGTGGCGTGCTTCCGCCTTCTATTCAAGTCAATTTCCTATTCAGCTCTAGCTTTCACTTCATTTCTTGCTGTTTTCTGAAGCTTTCACTTCTACCTTCTCTCTCTGTTCTTTTCTTCATATGCAATTGCTTCTTCTATGAGAGCTTTCACTTCTTTTCTACAGAGTCTTCATTCTTTTCTTCATATGCAAT